TCCTTTTGCAGTGTAACTGCTGAAGAAACTAAACGCTGTCGCTCAATTTGCCCAGAGTCTGATATATCTGATTATCCACACTGCAACGTGGTCAATTCAATGATCTGACGCGACTCCGTTGCTAAGCACGCTACAACAAACTCCCTTTCAAATAACCAACTGTCAAATGATTCAAATCGAGCATAATGCAACGGTGTTGCAGTGACTAGCACACAAGTATGCCAATTACCTCCGCGGTTGGATTACCGCCGTCGACAGCAAGGACGGTCCGACTGTTTCCGGAGCTAGCGGACCTTCAACTTGATGCATCGGTCGATAGTTCTGTTCACTCACTATCGCAGTCTCAACCAGTTATTCATTTTTTTTGGATTGATATCCATGAGGATAAAGGTCTTGCTGACAGCAATACTATATAGTGTTATCATGCGGACCCACAACCGGGTTTGCGGCAATCTCGGAAGCGTATCCATATCATCACTCATTTCGTTCCGGACCCTACCTCTCGGGTTTGTTGCGTGGACGGCCAGGATCCCCCGCACCGCCCCACACCCCGGACAGGTTCTCCATATACATCCTTTGTCAGGCTTTTGATTGCTCCATCAAGATCTTTCCCGAACTTATCCCGTGACATGAGAAATCAATAATGGAGATACAAACACTATAAAGGAGAGCTGCATCTGTGATTGAATCCAGTCAGCAATCCTTTTTTCTCAACAACAATGGGTGGAGGCCATGCTGGAGGCGCAAGCCCTTACGCTGCAAAACATCGTCAAGCACTGCAGGGCCAGTCAGGATGGGTAACTTCCGTTGAATAATCCTGTCTATTGCTGCGTACTCAACACATTACGCAGGCAGGCCTTGTCCACAATCGCAGAATTTTTGCCAACGCAATCTTCGCTTCTCTGGGTGGTTTGCTCTATGGTGCAACCCTATCACTACGTTTTTCTTCAATCTCGTACTGACACGCTGCAGGTTATAACCAGGGTGTATTTTCCGGCGTCTTGAGGTAAGCTTTCATGCCACCTCTTATTCGGAAACTGTGATCCTCAAACTGTTTCAGTATGTTTTCATTCGACCAGCGGATGGCGTCCGCCATCAGCAATCCTGGAACCAAGGGTTGGCTTGTATCTATTTTAGAACTCGGAGCTTGGGTCGGTGTTCTCTCTGCCGGGTACTTGGCTGACAAGCTCTCCCGCAAATACACCATCATGCTTTGTTAGTGTGCTTCGCTTTTTTGAGGGGGTGTAGCTGATCTATTCATGCAGCTGTCGGTGTATTCTGTGTCGGTGTCGTCGTTCAAACTGCGGCATTCCAGCCCTCATCAATATATGGCGGTATGCTCTCAGAGTCTGTCCAAAATTTTGTATCTAAATCTCATCTCAGGGCGTTTTATCACTGGTCTTGGTGTTGGATCGCTCAGTATGGCGGTTCCTCTGTACAAGTATGCTATAGCATTGCCTTTGTATGTCTTTACTGACACTTTGCCAGCGCCGAACTTTCTCCTCCTGAAGTCCGTGGCAGTCTGGTTGCCTTGCAACAACTTGCTATCACCTTCGGTATTTTGATCTCCTTCTGGATCGACTACGGTACCAACTATATCGGTGGTACTGGAAGCGGGCAGAGCGAGATTGCATGGCGCGTTCCATTGGCTATGCAGCTTGTTCCTGCTATCATTCTAGGCGTTGGTGTGATTTTCATGCCTTTCTCTCCAAGGCATGTCTCAACTCCTGTTACGGCACGTCACAAAACTTATGGTGTCCAGGTGGCTTGTCAACCAAGGTCGCGATGAAGAGGCTGTCGCCGTCCTTAGCAGGGCTCGCCGCCTTCCTCCGAACTCTGACCTCGTCCAAATCGAGTTCTTGTGGGTTATAAGATCATTGCTCTCTTGATATTCCTGATTATAGTCTTCTGTAGGGAAATCAAGGCCCAGTACCTCTTTGAAAAGGAAATGAATGCTTTGAAGTTCCCTCAATTCCAGGATGGGTCGTTCTCATCGAATTTCAAGCTCGGTCTTCATGCCTATATGAGCTTACTTACCTCACGCAGTACGAATTGATCGCATTGGTATCAATTGTGAACGCTAATGTTACTCTCGCCAGCTCTCTTCTACCGTGTCGCTGTTGGCTCATTGTGAGTCGCTATTTCCATCGATAGGACTCATCCCAATGAATTTTCAGGACCATGTTCTTCCAGCAATGGACCGGCGTTAACGCCATCTTGTACTACGCGCCCAGCATCTTCGCTGATTTGGGTTTGACGGGCAACGCAACTAGTCTTCTTGCCACGGGTGTTGTCGGTGTTGTGTATGCCTCACCACATACTTTCACGTACACAACTGACACATCCCAATCAGCATGTTCCTCGCAACTATCCCTGCCGTTATTTGGATCGATAAGGTCGGCCGTAAGCCAGTGTTGATCTCTGGTGCTTTCATCATGGCTATGTTAATATTATATTCTTGCGCATGAAACTTGTCATTCTGAACATTTTACAATAGATGCCATCTTGTCGTTGCAGTACTGACCGCGTTGTACCACGATTCTTGGTCATCGTGCGTCTCATCCAAATTTCATTATCTCCCTTGAACTAAACATCTCGCCAGACACCCTACTGCTGGTTGGGCGGCTTGCGCTTGCGTTTGGGTATTCTCAGTCGCCTTTGGTTACAGTTGGGGTCCGTGCAGCTGGATCCTTGTTGCTGAGATTTGGCCGTTGAGTATACGTGGCAAGGGTATTTCTATTGCTTCATCGGCCAATTGGGTTCGTTCTAGGCATATTCGTAGGAAAAGTCCACTGATCGTCATGGCAAACAGATGAACAATTTCATTGTCGGCCAAGTAACGCCATCGATGCTAACTCATATTGGCTTTGGGACATTCGTGTTCTTTGGCGTGAGTTGTCTGTTCATTTACTTCTTTCGATGTCTCACGAAAATTAACAGTCCTTCGCCCTCCTCGGCGGCTTCTTCATCATGTTTTTCGTACCCGAGACCAAGGGACTCACTTTGGAAGAAATGGACGATGTATTTGGAGACCGTAACGGTCTTGCTGTTGCGGATCAACAACGCCAGAACGCCATTGCGGACCGTATTGGTTTGACCGCCTTTGGCCAGCACAAGGGCGGATCTGACAACGAAAAGAGCAGTCACGAGCTCTTTGACGATGAGGGAAAAGCTTAATGACCATCGATGGATGGCGCACATATTCCTATGCACTCAATATTTGACACGCTGTATTACATTGTTCCACAAAGCATGCACCCTAGTGGTGAACATGGAGATGGAATAATAAATTGAATAATATTAATGTGAATGAGCACCCCTCACTGGCAGTTGTCATGTTTTGCTGCGAAGTAAAACCTAGTAAGCCATCTGGCGCTCACTGGTGCGGCGCTCTACGGAGCTCTATGAATTGAACATCCAAGACAGACCGTTGAACCCGGGGAGCCCCAGCCTTTGCGGATCTCCATTGCTCCCCATTTAGCTCTCCGATTAAAGGATCTTCCTGGGGTATCCGAATCTGTTGCCTGGGGAGCTCGTGTAACTTTTTTAGCAAGAACTTGAACAGGTCTTCTTGTAGATCTATTGCTATGGGATACCATGTATTCGGCGATCAATACCGCTAAAATCCAACGCTCCGGCTCGCCAGCAGTTGCCAGCTTATGTTGCTGGCAAATACTCGGATTCACTAGGAAGGTCATTTTTCTAGCCATGATCGTATCGTGATCATCGAGAACACCCAAAATAAATATGCTCCCCACATGATGACATTCCCTCGTTCCCATTTAAATCGTGGGTTCTCCACCTCTCCACGGGGTCAGCGCGGACTGTGGTAAATGTGCGTTGTCACTCATGACGACGTTCATCGGGTTTCATCGGATGGTCCTCTTGAGCAACTGCTATGTCCGGTATTTCAAAATTTGGCAGAGCCCCTTGGAAAAGGCGGTCATTTTGCTTATTAATTTGAAAACCCTCGTTTATTCGACTGGTGGGATACGAAGTTCACTAGCTAACAACGATTTCCTAAGCAGTGGAATCCGAGAGTCTGAGCTGCTGGCACGACGAACCACAGGCCTATAATTGGGCAATGGCCAGCGCGATACGGGAGGATACGGTGTGGCTAGCCTTCTGGATTCTCCGTCATCAATCGGTGCGCGCCACGTCTTGTTCTTTGGCAACTTGCACGCCATGTAATTATTTGTCGCCGCTCCTCGCTTCGGTTTATGCAATTAATCTGAGAACGTGACAGTAACTTGCAGAAATCAAATTTTGTGTTTGTCAGTAGGTGGCCGGAAGTTCTTTAACGCAGAGCACCATTGATGATGATTCAACTTTAAGATCACCCAACTGAAACGTACTGATATCTTCAACATGCCGAAAAAACCCTCTCTGAGACGGCCGACGTTGGTGCAGTTGCGAAAATCAACGTAAGCACTTACCTCGCGGAGGAACACCAGTGAACCTCAGTGGACCCTGGAATATGGAAAGATAATTCCTACGGGAGCACTTAAACCAAGAGTAGTGTGAATGTCGTGCACTGCCACTGGGGACTGTGATAGCACACTAGCTTAGCTAAGCATTTAAAGTTTGTTTTGACCTCACCTCGGAGATCTTTATGTTCAAGTTGTAGGCTAGCCGTGCTTCTGCCTCGAACGTTACCGGACCGAACTTGTTCTCGAACAACTAGCCATGTCGGAGAGTTTAATGATCGGCGATTCTACTTTGCATCCGTATTTGTGGACTCTGATTCGCTTCTTAGAGCGACTTACCCTCACCACACCGTGTCATCGCGGCCGCAGTGGTGCATCTCAATTGCTTGTCAAATACCAGGCCGAGTGCGAGGTGCTATAAGATGTTGGACACATTGTAAGTCGCTGAGACCGTCGTCCCTCGACTGTTACGCCTACTTATTACCCGTTGGGCCAAAAGGCAGTGATAATATATTAATCAAAGCTTACGCTTGATTAGTATCGCAGACACTGATTATGGGAACTCAGGTAAGCCGCAGCACATCCGGCTTATCAGACGCACATTCTACGTCGATTCAGATATTGGAGTTGCACGTCCATCTTATTCCAGCCCACATTACATTATGATGCTGGAAGCTCTTACTAGGAATACCAACTATGCAGCTTGCATCGTCACAGTCGTAGCGGTACTCGCTGTGTTATACAAGAGATTCTCGTTTGAGGGCAGGAAGGGCATCCTCCTTCCACCTGGACCTCCCGCCCGTTGGTTTTGGAGCAACGCTTTGCCTGCTGTGAAGTGAGTTTTGGCAGTATCATACAGAATGTTAGAGGTTGACTTAGATTGTCTACTCAGTATGGCCTATGCGCTGACCAATTTAGTTCGAGAGTATGGGCCTGTTGTGTCGTTCCGACAAGGCAGCCAAGTGATAATTGTCATTGGCAGCGTGGAGGTAATCTGCGCAAACCTTGAGCTTTCTCCGACAATGATCCATGTAACAGGCAGCTGTAGATATTATGGAGAAAGAAGGTGGATCACTAGTAGATCGACCTCGTTCCATTGCCGCGAGTGAGATGCTCTCAAATGGATTGAGTCTCACCATGGCTCGTTACGGAGAACGCTTCCGGCGCCTCCGAAAAGCAGTGCACCCTCATTTGCAGCCAAAGGCGGCAGAGGAATACCAAGATATGCAGCGCGAGAACGCGATGAGCTTCATATTGGATATGCTAAATGACCCGACGGCCCACCAGAAGCACGCACAGCGGTATGTCACTACCAAGGCCCTTTGTGATCTTTTCATAGATATGGTATCTCAAGGTATGCAGCATCAGTCATTCTTCGGGTGGCTTATGGGAAATCTGTGCCTACTGCCAACACCGATCCCGAAGTTGTCCGTATCTACAAAGTCGCCAAGCATTTTCAAGCCACGGTTCGCCCAGGAGCTTATCTCGTCGATCGTGTGCCCCTTTTGCGCTACTTGCCTGGTTACGGAAAGCAACTTTACGAGTGGCATCGTGAGGAGCTTGAGCTATTTAGGCATCAGCTAAGGCGTGTCAAGAGTGAAATGGTGAAGGGCTCTTTGTTTTGATGAATGTATGTCACTTATATCTTGTTGTACGCAGGATCAAAACAAAGCTGGCCTCTCTTTCACCAAGGCACTATTGGAAAATACTGAAGAACATAAACTCTCTACAGATGAGATGTCGTATCTCGCTGGATCACTCTTCAGGGCGGGATCTGATACGGCAAGCCATGAAACTTATTTATCTCTGCGAACTTACTCCTGGTTCAGACTGCTGTTGGAATTACTGCTACTGTTATGGCTGCAGCATGCCACCCACTGGCTCAGGCAAAGGTGCATGAGGAGCTAGATATGGTGATCGGGTTAGACAGAGGTGAGGGTACAAAGATTTTGATTTCTCAATTACCTGATCTCTCGTTGTAGCGCCGACATTTGATGACTCAAGCTCCCTCCCGCAATTACATGCGTTCTTGTTGGAGACTCTGAGATGGAGACCCATCGTTCGCATAGGTAAATTTGAATTTCGGCACGTTCTTGTACGATGCTGACATGTGCCTCAGGATTTCCCCACCATGCCACAAAGGATATCTTATGGGTCAGTATCTTAATTTGCTGTAACCCACGTTCTCATTCTAGTCCGCGTACAATCAGCGAGGATACTGCATTCCCAAGGGCGCAACAGTCTACGGCTGCCACTGGTATGGTGTTGCTTCACGATGTGCATCGTTTCGTTGACCGTGTTTTCAGGACTCTTTCTCGCGATCCTGTTGTCTTCCCAGATCCTGAAATATTCAATCCCCAGCGCTGGCTTGATTCGGAAGGCCGCCTTCAGGAAAACAATATGAAGTTCATCACGTATGGCTTTGGTAGGCGGTAAGTCGTGCCGACATCGGTTTTCGGACGTCGATTAACGAATTTTATTTGTCATTAAAAGTACATGTCCCGGCCAGCACCTCGCAAACCGCTCGTTGTACATTACCCTCGCACTTCTCTTGTGGTCTTTCCGCATTGTTCAACGACCTGACGCACCGATCAACACTCAGGCTTTCAGCGACGCAGTCGTTTCCCATACAGCGCCATTTGAAATCGATGTCATCCCGCGGGTCGAGGTTGCGAAGCTGAGAGCGATGATGACAGAAGGGTGTATGGATTAGAGTGTTTTTGCTAAGTGACATATCAAGGTCTTCGACAAAGCATTGTTCAACAGTTTGACGCACCGATCAACACACATGCTCTCAGTGACATAATCAGGCCACGGAGGCGTGCATAAAATGTGTTTCAACTGCTTCGTGCTGCTATCCGCACCCACCGATTGCTTCCCGCTGCCTCATACCATTCATTATATTTAGGACCAAAAGCCCCAATCTCAATCTCAATCTCACTCAGAAATCAGGTCACCAAAACAGTGCTGGGTTTTGCCTTCTCTCAATCAGCTCGTATGTGCGTCTAGGCAACGCCAGTGCCACCTGATCTTACCCCTCCATCCCCACACCTGGACAACAGAAGTATGTTTGCACCACGGAGCGGAACATAATCACCATCTGCTGGTGCGTCAACATTACAGACAAGGGTTTAATGTTTGATGCCGGACGTCAGTGGTACGTGGATAGGCCATGACACTGATGGGTCCAGTTGTCAATACGGTATTTACTGTCAAAGGAAAGCTGCGGATGGTGATAGTCAGTCAGAACAGCGAGGCTTCAGCCTACCCTCAAGTGTCATCGTCCATCTCGTGATGGGTACTGATATACTGATAAATATTCTCATCTGGTCAACAGATAGGCTGAGTAAGGCGTACTGAGCGTGGCCATGATTCCGTTGTCTTGATGTGACTACATATACCAGTCTAGTTGTACTTGCCCAAACTTGTAGTCGAGTTGTTTGAACAACACGATGGGTTCTGAAGCAAATTTAGGTATGAGATTCAACGAAGACAGTCAAAAGACAGTGATAGTGAAGTGAATAGCTTGACTTATGAATAATTGTTATGTCGTTGCTTGAAGTGCCATAGATACACACCCTGAGCATCGCTTCAAATTTTTCATGTAGCGCTAGGACTGTGATAGTCTCACAGCTGCAGCTCCTGAGTGGTGGCATTAGCTAATAACTAGCTTAGTAAGCACTTAAAGTTTGTTTTGGTTTGACTTCTTTCCTGTTCAGGAATATAGTTGCTGTTGTGATGAAGTCCATCGGATGATCACCTCTCCCTTGGCAGATGCCCCCAGTACACAACTGTCCAACTTTCTTAATTTATACACTGTGAATTATAATCTTGACGATTCACCATGTCGTCGTGTGGAAACCCAGCCGTAGAAGAGCAAGCCCTCATGCCCCGTGAGTGTTTTCAATCATGTCTACCTCTGTCTCATTCGCTTGGGGCAGGTCGTTCGAAGTTTGGGAAATCAAAAGACTGCGTCAGGTGCAGGTTAAAACCAGGCAACATCGTGATCCGTCATGCGGTCTACTGCAAGTGAGCGTTTTGTTCATTTCAACAAGGGGCGAATTTGACTAGCATCCCCCACAAGAGAATGCTTCACCCCGATAGTAGAACTGAAATTTAGAAAAGCTCTCGAACCTTCGGTCAATGCTAGAGCAGGCACCTCGAAGCGACCCAAGCTCAAGGCATCGGGAAATCTGTGCCTGGGATTCTCTGGCGGCCTAGGATCGTCGATTTTGCTGGATATGGTCCATAATACATATTTCTCCAACCAGCCACCGTTGGACGACTCAGGTAAACCAAGAGGTGGTATTAATCATCCACGGAACGCCAGCGTATGGCCGTCCTGCATTGTTTGTTATGTGGAGGTATGCGGCGCTTTTCCTGGGGTGAGTCGTGGCTATGATATCCGATCGAGATTCAGTAACATAATGGCAGCTAGATGCAAGACAAAACCGAAGATATTCGAACTATAGTTGAGCAATATCCATCATTCGATTTTGTGCCTCTGCGAATAGAAGATGCATTCGACGAGTCTTGGTGGACCAAAGTTTCCGGATCAAACAGCACCCCACAGGTCTGGCTGGAACTCAGCAAGGAAGGCCTGATTACAGATGGTAGAACTCCAACAATACATCCATTCAGCATACTGAACTTTGTGTTGTCAGGACTCCATGTCGCTTCCAAAGTGACTGGTCTAACGCCAGTAGAAGCTATACGATTATATTTATCATCACTGCCCACGCAAACTGCAATTTCTAGTGCCTTACAGAATCTCACCCGTGTACTTATCCTGCACACGGCCCACTCCGGAGGTTCCTCGCATTTACTCTTTGGATCATCTCTCACGTCGCTCTCCATCTCTCTTTTATCAGCTATTTCACAAGGTGGAGGGTACGCAATCCGTGAGGAATTACAGGAGGAATGGGCGCCCGTTGCTACTTCTGGTTCGAAGCCTAGTAATGTGCTCAGGGTCATCCGACCTCTCAGAGATGTTACTGCAAAAGAATGTGCTGTGTATGCGTGGTGGAACAATGTATCTGTGATTGGTCGAGACAAGCAGAGGCGTGCGATATTAGGAATAGCAGCCTTGACCAAGAGTACGAGAGAACTTTCGCGTGTAAGACACAGAACTGACTTTTTCCTCAGATTTTGTAGTCGGGCTTGAGAAAGACTATCCTTCGACTGTGTCGACCATCGCTCGGACCTGTGAAAAACTGGAGCCCAAGGATGCGCCGAGTGGGCAATGCAGGTTGTGTAAGCGGTGAGGTTTATTGACTACATTTCATTCGGTTCAGGTGACTAAGACAAGATCTGTCAGGCCGATGCAATCTGCCATACAGGAGTGGAAGGGACGTATATCAATAAGATCATACTCAGACGACAAACTTGCTGCAGACTTGGCCCACATCCCATTACCATGCAGAAGCAATCTCGACACGAGTACCCCATCCCAAGTGCCACCATTACTTGCCCTGACCGATTTCCTTTGCTACTCTTGTCACACAACGTTGACAAGCAGGAGTAGTCGTGGTGTTAAACAGACAGCTCCTGGTATCTCCTCAGTTACGCCTTTACCCATCTGGGTGGGAGATCGTGGCCTTCATGGGGATGGGCTAATGGGCGGTGGAGCTCGGCGCAAGATTCCTGAGCAAGAGATGCTCGATACCGTGGCAAATTTTCTCATCGACAAACAGGATGACGAGGAATGAGGTACTGATGACGCCTTCTTGTAGCAGTCAGAACGTATATCGTTAACAACTTTACTTGATGGAGGCCAAGCTTCAAGAGTGTGTTTTTGTACTCAATAAGCACAATCACACGTGAACCTGATTTCGGCTGGTGAGCTCCTTCGAGCACAATACTCGCATTCGCCTCGTTGTCCCCGCGGCTCTTCTTACCTTCAACGGTGAGTTGGTATCTATTCACTGGTCACATGGCTTGTTGACTGCCATATTCAGTGTATGATAATGATTCAGGCTGGGCGGTTTATTCCGTCGCTCGCGAAGTTGTCGAGCAGCTTGGCATTAACACTGGCATGGACAAGATCTTGTTGACTGCGATCATGAGTATCTGGAAAGGTTCATCAACGATTGGCAATCTAGTACCCTGAGACTCAACGTCAAGGCAGCAAGTGATATCGTGGCGACCTCGATGCAGGTTATGATACGTACTGATGCGTGCGAACATAGGCTTAGCGTAAAATCCACTGCTCGTTATCCCGAATCGAGTCCACGAATCGAAGCTATCTAGTAAAGTCTAGTAAAGGCATCAAGATTCCTCAGGAAGAGGCTCTGATACGCGACATCATGGCGGAAATTCTCAGCAATTTAGAAATGAATGTGTTTTCAATGACAATTGGAACGGTTAGGACGTGTATCATTAGCAGCTTCTGCCATGCGGACCGTGCCAAGCTTTATGGCGGCTTTAATCTTCCGTGGTTGGGCATTAGCAGAAGGAAGACAGCTTGATTCAGGCTGATCACGTAATGATAAGGATGCTGTTTAACCTGAGAGTGCCTCGGATCAGGATTCAGAATCAGGCCCGGGGTTGCATGCAGTAACAGATTCAGAATGCATCACGTACTGTAGACTGGCCCATCATAGCCGAACACCTTAAATACACCCAGTTCCCTGCCTTCTGGTTCCCCGTCGATCGATTATCTTGCAACTTGTCTCGTGCACTGCGATGCTTGCAGAAGATTACTCTCATCAGTTTTTCGATGACGAAAGTCAACACTCTTTGGAATCGCACCAGTCAAAGAAGAACACCCTCTTGAAGTCTCACGGAAGACCTCCTTGGTAACTTTTCGTACTGGCATTTTGTTGTCGTTCAATGCTTGACATCTACGTGTCACCGACAGGTACGGGGAAAACGGCCTACCCATTTGCGATGCATTCGTAATCGGGATAGCTGGTGAGTGTGACTACGTATTGTGCAGTCTTGCATTTTGTCAACCTGACAAATGGATCCAGGTGGATCAGCAAGTGGGAAGGTGAGAATGCAAGTTGAGAGAAGTTCAGAAAGATGAATTAGGCGATGGCAGACACATGTTGCTCGGCAAATCGTTCGTTCATTGGGCTCAGTACCGACTGTCGTTATCCTATCCCAGGTCAGTATTACAAAAAATATCAGGAGAGTTCACAGGTGACACGGTGCCCACTGCTTAGGACAGCTTTTACAAGCGACATACCGCAGAAGAGGTTGCGCTGGCGCATGCGAATCGATTCGACTTTGACCACCCGGATGCCATTGACATGCCAATGTTTGCTGCTGTCCGTACGTTCATTTATGTCTAAGTTCTTTACCGAATCTCTTCTAGTGTCTCGCGGACTTGAAGGCGTGTCAGCAGACCAATATTCCTGTTTACTCGTTTGCCGAACATCAGCGGTTAGACGAAGCGAAGTATTTGTATGGTGCAGCTATCATAATAAGTCGGTGTCTGACTCCTTCCTGTCACGATCCTGGATGCTGACGCATACATATGTTTCAGCGGAAGGTATAATGGCTTTGCATCATCCAGACTTACGCTCTTTATATGATCTCAAGGTACCCCATCATTCAGCAAGTTGTATATTGTCTCACCGTTAAACAGGTATTTGTGCAATGTGACTCAGATTTGATGCTCGCCCGGAGAATACAACGGGACGTCAAGGAACGTGGAAGAAGTGTTGATGGGGTCATCGAGCAGTATGTATTCTTCTCTACCAGGATTATGTGTCATGGTAACTATCCCTCACGCCTAGATATCTTCGCTATGTTAAGCCCGCGTTCGATAACTTCGTTTTGCCAACCGCTCGCCATGCAGACATTGTGAGTGGACGTGTTGTTTCAATTGTTTCGACGTACCATTGTTTTCAGGTCGTTCCAGGGTCAAACAACGCTGTTGCCATTGATTTGATAACGACCCACATTCGACGTCAAATGACAGAACGCGCGAGACACTTTCGGAAACACATGGTTTCTCAATCAGTTGGGTGTTGCTTGAACACGTCAGACGGTAACCCGGTGTCCAAGAACCTTATAGTGCTCCCGCAAACACCACAGCTAAAGGTCTGCCCCTCGCCCTCAATGAGGGTCGCTGCTTATGCTTCTGGGTGAAGGGTATATACACCATTCTTCGTGATGGGGCATCGAACCGCCAGGACTTTATATTCTTCGTAGACCGACTGGCAACGTTCTTGATCGAGAAAGCGATGGAACATCTTCCTCACAGACCTAAGACGGTTACGACCCCAATAGGAATAGATTGCACCGGCAAGGAACTTGACGTCAAGGTACATCATTTCGCTGAGAAATTGAGTGTCTGGCTTAAGAGTTGTCTAGAACATCTGCGGTGTCTCCATCATACGCTCGTACGTTTCAGTGAATCAACCAATTCTGCACTAATCAATTGGTCCAGAGGTGGACCTCTAACGAAAGGATTGCAGCGCGTTCTTAGTGACGTTGCAATTGGCTCCCTTCTGGTGCAATCAGACGCTAATACTGGAGAGCCACTACTTCTACATGTGATGCTCCCCAAATGCCTGCGAGAACGACATCTAGCCGTCGATGCATGGGTATTTTTGCTAGATGCTCAAATAGGCACCGCTGCCTCAGCATTCATGGCGATTCGGACACTATTAGATCATGGGGTCCAGCAAGATCACATCATCTTTGTAACTTTCCTCATTGCCCGCACTGGTGGTGTCACTGTACTTCAGCGGGCCTTTCCAGAGGTCAAGATTGTGACTGGTGCCGTCGATGAAGGTCTCCGTGAAGCATGGCTTGAACATTACAATGAAAAAGGCGAGGGCCAGAGCGAAGGGGAGGGGAGGAGAGTCTGGATCGTAGAGCCTGGTATGGGTCAAATTGGTAAGAAAACGCATGTGATCGCAGCTTGCCATGAATCCTTTTTACAGGTGACAGATACTACCTCTGATTTTGGAACACTTAATTCCGCTAAATGTGTGTCCGAGAGTTGTGTTAATCGTGAATATTAATGGCTCATCAGTACCGTGTGGTCTAGTTGGGATTTACATACACCATAACCTGCTACTACCAATTACTAGTGCTCGAACTTTTAAATTGGGGCCACGACTTGGTCAATTGCAACGGCCGTATTCGTTCACCAATATACAATTAATTATACTCATCATCATAAAGCCGACGGACTTCATACGATGAACTTGAACAGATTAACACAACTCCTGTTCTTTGCGCAAGCGTCGGAAGCAGTACGAACCTTTTAGCACAAGGACATTGAATTTCAAATTCCAGATTTGAGTCGACAGAATAGTCATACTCTACTACTACCTCCACTGGGCCTCCCCATCGTACAGCCCTACCACACAACAAAGTTCAAAAGCTCGGCACTCAGGACAGTCATTCAAAATGTATCCGTTCCCTACCCCTGCTGAAGTGCGTCAGTGTTCCTGTCCATTCTCGATGCTACGCATACTTATCATGAACGTTTGTTTGTGGCGTAACTGATGGGTGTGTGGTGTTTATAGAGCCTGGAATTTGTGTCCGTGCATGATTCTTATGAGTCCGCATGCTAGCAGCATCGAGAATTTGACGTACATCATCCCACCCAGACTCCTCCATCGCGCTGCATTTCTCGGACATCCAGTTATGGAGGTATGTATCACTCATACAAGTCGATCGCACTACTGGATCCTTCGCCACAGTTTCGGACCCAACGCTTATCCGACGACTTTCTCGCATCGCTCTTCAGTGGTCGGCTGCTGAAGGGCCTACGTGTCGCAGTTTCATCTGAACAGGCAACCGCGCTCCATGAAGGTGAGTTTATGTCCTTTGACAACATCATCTGTGTCTCAGATGTGGAAGTTCAACCCATCACCCGGACTTCCCAGGAATCGGAGGCTGAGACTGCGAAGCCTACGCTAGGGAAGCTCGGATGGTCCATCGAGAACTGATGATTTCGAAGGGCAGAATGACGCGGAGCGTGAGGAAGGAGACGGACTGCGCTGACCAGGACAACACTAATTTGCTCCCGGTGGACAAATTTGTTGATTTCAGTGCTACAATTTATACCTCTGCCAAAAAAAGGCGATTGTAATAAGGAGACGAATGGATGTGATCGGAACCTTGTCTAGTGTTGTCCCCGTGGAACAACTTCCCCTCCCCCAGTCGACATTTAGATGCCGGTCTCCCAGATATTTGCATCTCATGCACATTGTCCCTCACGCTTTACAAGCATCTACCAAGTCAGAGATGGCTGATGGTTCAGTATTGATTTCATTGAGACTCCCCACTTCCATGCATACACTGCCCGTAACTTACTCTATTCCAAGACTCTAACGCAGCATGCAAGTCATGATTAGGGGACTAACAATTACCGACCAAATCTCTCCAACATCTTGCTGGCTGCAGTCCTCAACTCCTTCGCAGCAATGATGATCCCCTCTACCTGCTCTAAATCTTGTATCTCCATTCCCATCTCCTCTTGCATGTTCCGCTCCAACGTTTCGACAAACTCATCCACATTTCTAATGAGCTGCTCGAGATCAGATTTCGAAGCAATCTGCACATACTTCTTTGTGCCATCCACAAGGACAAGAAGGGGCTTGAAATAGCACGCGTTGTTAATGGCATTGGGAGGATCATCCCATGCGCTTCTCATCACGTCCCGCCACTGCTGCTCTGCAACAGAATCGAGCGTTGTGATCGATGTCTGTTCAGGTATGATTTGGAGGAGGATACCAGCTATGTAAAAGGCATGCTGTGTGGGTGATTCGGAATTGCAGTACCTTGGAATCATGCTGATGCACCGATCAATATGGCGATCCCCAGACAAACGGGGGTGCCAGTCGGAATTCCTCGCGAGGGCACAGACCAGTTCGAGATAGCACAAGTCGCGGTCATAATTGGAAAAGAGGTTGAGATCATCATTGGCGGGTGTTGTACCTGGGTGCGGACAAAGCACGGACAAAATAGCAGGGGAGAGCTTGGTCAAAACTGTGTCCCGTAGCCTCGCATCATCAATGGCATCGATCGAGGCAATTTGTTCTTGGGCACTGTGAGCAGCGCGAAGAGCAGCATGGCGTAAATGGAGAGGCATGTTACTGTCCATGCAGGCGATGAGCCTCTCGATGAACAGATGTTGTTTAGCAGGGCTGCAGCACACCCCCATACTACCCAGTAGCACAAGGACGTCATATGCCGCTTCGTGGTCGTCATAATATATGAAGTCGAAGTAGTCCACTATCCAGTCGAAATCCTCTGGCGAGTAGGATAGGACTTCCCCCAAAAAACGATTCCACACCTGGGCAGGGTCCCGAGAAATGCCGGCAGCAGCGAACGTGAAGTGCAGTGCATTTCGCAGAGCTGCCAACAAAGCCGAGGCATCGTTTTGTTCGGATGACCTCGCTCGTGAATAAATCTTCTTGCACACGTCCAGGTTCCGCATGGTGTGGAATAAAGGACGATATGGATGTCTAGCAAGCTCGACGATGCGACAAATAATATCGAGCAGGTTCCATGTTCGGCGTGCGACTCCTGTCCTATCATTGTCGAGCTCGCCTCCATCCCATGCCCAGAGAGCCTTTTGGAACTGCGCCAAGAGAGACTCGCTGAGTAGAGGCAGAGCAGAGCTACACGATCTCTTTGTTAATCATGGCAAAAACTACAAAATGAGCCGATGGCACCTTTTATCAATTCGAACAATGTCCTTCTTGTCAACCTGAGCCCCGACCATGACGCAAGCAAGAATAATGCAATTGGCTAGGATTTGATCTGACGGAGAGGATGGAGATGGGGATGATAGCAATTTTGACATCACTTTTATCGCGAGGTTTTCTATGTCTTCATTCACTCGCCCAGTAACAAAGTGATAAGGAAGAACATGTGACAGCCACTCAGGGACGGAGTCAGGGCAAACCTCTGACCAAAAAATATGCCACGTATTGCCATCTGGTTGACAAAAGTTCATAGTTGTGCTAAACACCGTCCGGTCCGCTGTGTACATGCCTGGGAAAATGTCAAGAAGCACGTGGAAGTCTGGTCTTCCGTGGACAATAAAATCGCCATTGTCAGGATATGCCTGAAGAACACATCCGTAGTATAGATGAATTAGGGCCATTGCACATGCCGAGGCCTTCTCCTTCAATGATGGTATGATGTGTCCTTGAATGTCGACGCAGCTCCTAAGAATATCAAATAGTTGATGCAGCATGTCTGAAACATCAAGATCCAGGGGCCATTCGACCTGCGGGACAAGACAGGCAGCAGCGAGAAATACTTCAGGATCCGTAGATGTCTCGAGTAGCCACTTGACGCTAGGCGCTTCGAGATCGCTGGTGGGTATGTCAGGGAGGTCGAGGTTAAGGGCGTCATTATTCTCAGCCAAAACATCCAGATCCTGGCCGAGCGGTTGTGCCTCTGAGTCTACCACCTTTGTTGAAGAACGCAGAACCAAAGAACACAGCCGGTTATGAAGCCTAGTGATTAACTGCTGAAGAGATCATCATGTGAATGTACCTACCGCATGCACAGGGCCTAGGGAGCGAATGAGCCCCGAGTATCTTGGTAATAGTAGATAAGATCGTCACCTCTAAATACTTCAGACAATCGGGTCCATCCCGATCTGATAATACTAAGCAATCGTCCCAGCAGGCCTGACATGAAACGGTCAAAACCTGTGCACATGAAAGAAGACATAACTCACCCTGCAGTGACGTCATGAGCCACTGGAAATAACAGAAAGTTCGTTTGAACCACAGGTGTAGAGCACCTGCAATGTTGATTCAGACCGGGGCGACCACCAGAATTCGGCAAAATGATCTTACTGTCGATGCGCAACACGTGTAATAACGTTGATACCGGTGTCTGAAATGGACAAGCGGGAGATATCAAACACGCCATCACAGTCAGGGAATGAAACAGAAATCCGAAAACTGTCATTCCGATGACGACCCAGGCGATGCTCGCCTGCTCGTACCACAAATTAGCGCCAAGAGCGATCCCAAAGAGAAGAAGAGAGTTCTGAAGTAAGACCGGAAAGGATTGTACGATAGCATCAAGATACCATGTGACGAGGCCGTCGAACTTCTCTTGCCTGCGCTTGCTTCGTTCCTCCTGCGAGCCGCGGCCATATCTATTCGACTTGTAGTACCCCAGCCACTGCTTTGCCAGCACGGCCCCGAATGCAGCGAGTAAGCTCATGAACAAACTCGCATATGCGATCGCTTGAATCCATAAGGTTGGCGTGGTCGGAGACCACGTAGATGCTGGGTCTACGGGAGTGGAGCCTGCCTCAGCGAGATTGCCGAGTCCGATTTGTACGAGTTGCTTCAAAAGGGCATTCGTGGTGTCGCTGGGGTCGGGACTGAGATTTGACTCCATCGCGACAATGAAAGACGTGCTGACAGCGGAGAAAAGACCAGACTCGTCGAACATCAGTCCGAAACCGGAGTACAGAGAAGCACGCCAAACTTACGAAGATCAGGACGATGTCCATGTCAGTAGTGTATCGCTCGAGGAACTCGCTGTCGTGTTCCTCTGCGACTCTTTTGTACACCCCCCAGAAACGAGACCGTTCGTCCTTTCCACTCTTCGATGCAATCGTCGAGTCCTGGAGGACATCTAATACCTGCTTCATGACATTTGCTCTGCGTATAGGGCGTAGTCAGCTGCGATCGCTTGGCTTCAAGTTTTTGGCTCACAATTCGCTTAGAGTTGGCTGGTCCGTCTCTGCCTCAAGCTTTGTCACCTCGCTGAGACAAATGAGGAGTATGTTTGGCGTCGTTATTGACAAGGACTCACGGAGTTAAATCGTCGACTGGTGGAACATTGGATGTACTTTCCTGTACCAAAGGTCCCGACGGCCATGAAGGTTCAGCATTCGAGCTGCAGTTCTAGTAAGGAGTGGCGCAGACTCCCGTCAGGGAAGAAACACGTACATCCCAGATGGCAGCTCTGCCAAAGGTTCAACATTGATCTTCTCCCTGTCTTGCTGTTAGACAAGTGACAGATTTCAGGAAGCTGTAACTCACTCTTCGATGAGTCCTACGACGTCGTTTTGCGGAAGAAGCTGCTCGTCCGAGTCGTTGTGGGTGCGTTTATCCTCGGCGTCCTCGGTGGCTGATGCTTGTGACATGAGGAAGTTATAGGTACTATAATGGATTTCAAGAAAAGCTAGTGAAATTTTGGAAAGAGTCTCAGGAGAGCGGACAGAGCAGCTCGAGAGATGGTTAACAGCAAGTCGTTTAGGTAGCCACGACTCGGACCATGACGAACACGCGTTAACAACGTTGACGCCTCGAGTTTTCGTGATATATCTGAGTCTCACCAGCTTACTGATGCGGCCGGTGAACTGAGAGTTCGAAATGGGGTATATTCCACATCTGTGTCGGGTACCTGAAGGGGCAGCCTGAGTGTGTACCAAGTACTGGTGTAGGACTGAGAAACTCTAAGTTAGTAGCTCGGGACACATGTGAGATAATTTCAAATTCAGGTTTGGTAATAGTAACTTCGTACGGCGGCCCGCCCGCCCACACAGCGCTTCGTACTGCGACAGCGCCTCCTCTCGTATCAGTCGTCCTCAACGACGTTGTCTTCCCTCCTTTTTTTCCCCCACCCGCCGCTCCCTTTTCAAACACGCGAAATCTCATTCGAAACACTCGATCTCGCTCACCGCTCTTCCCCTTCAGTGGTCCGGACTGCACACATTCCCTGACTCAGGAGGTTCGCGATGGTTTCCTTTTACCTCCCACCCTCGCAGCTCTGGACCGGGAGGCGCTGCCCGCCTTCGCCCAAACTGCTCAGAACTATATCTGCCTCGGTCGTAGATACAATACTCTTGTAGAACAATGGTAGCGGCAATATCATTTCGCGTTTCTGTTTCTTGGAGCATCAGACTGCGACCTAGCGTATGCATTATACCCAGGTGGGTGCGTAGCACAGCAATTTTTGAATGACACTTAGCTCCAGCCTCCCGCACTAGCCCCAGGCTGTTCGCCCCTGTTCCTGACCCGGGAGCGGGCGTAACAGACATCATAGCCGGTGCAGAATATCTAGACCTGGAACGGGCAGCCCATGACCCGGATGTGATTCATAGCCACTCCGCGCGCCGTAAGAGCTCGCATTAATAAAAAGGTTTCCTCGTCTCTCGATTCCTAAGTTCACTCAAAATCAACTCTCCTCTCATATAAACGTTCCTAGAATGCCACATAATCAGTACTTCATGCTAATACCAGCTAGTATGACATAGACTCGTTCGTCCTCCCACAAAAGTTCCGCGGAAGCAAATGATTTCCTGTGCGAACTCCAAAAAATCATATTGCACAACTCCTGAGTGTAACATACAAATCACGACGCATGCCAAGTGTTTCTATCCCGCGTATTTCTCCGGTCTCACCATCGTGGGCTTAGTAGTTAGCATCTTGTTCAATGAGCCCAAGGGCAGTTGCAGAGCGAGGCTTGATGGAACACTTGAAGGGTTTGGGGTGGCTTGGAGCGTGTCAATCCAGACCTGCCCAGACATGACAAGATGTGCAACATACCTGGCCGTACCTGGTAAGGGTTCAACCTCGGGGGTGATCTCAACACCATTCTCAACAACCTTGGAAATATCAAATACGGCTAGTGACATTGCAGCAGATATCCAAACGGAAGCATCAGCAAGGTGGAGGCCTGTGCATCAAAAGAAAGTAGATGTCAGAATACTGTTAGTTAATTGATGCGAGTTGGATATACCTGGGCAAATACTGCGGAGCAGAAAGTTAGCATTCCAATCAGATTCAGAACCAATTTCGTGCTTACCGTCTACCGAAGCCAAAACACACCGTACGAGGATCCATCTCAGGTTCATTTCCATCCTTGGCCAAGAAGCGTTCAGGATTGAATTGAGAGGGGTTAGTATATGTCTGTGGATCGTTGAGCATGAACCTGTCGCAATTATGAGTATTGTTGTTCATCGATCGAAGGGGAGCACTAACCAAATGTTAGGTAGTACTAAGGAGCCTTTTGGAATATAGTACCCGTTATGGATATCATCTTCAGCCACACAGTGAGGAAAACCTGTCATTGAGATACCCATTGCCAGTCGGTAAACAAATAATGTTATGATCGATATTCACATACCACTGGAAAGGATAACGTTCCAGCGCAGGACTTCTTTGGCAAGAGCCTCAGTATAAGGGAGGGAGTCGCGATCGGCGAAGGAGGGAAGACGGTCAGGACCAACAACCGCATCTATTTCAGCCTGAGCTTTCTTCTGCACATCAGGGAAAAGTGTCATAGCTAGAAAAAGCGAGTATAATGCAGAAACAGTCTGAGGAAATAGGTTTGGTACTCTCAGAAGATGTTATAGAGAGGGACTAACCGTCTCGGTACCACCAGCGTATATGGAAAAGGCAGACCATTTCACAATGTGTTCCTTTTCCGCAGACACATCGCCGCCTTCTAAAAGATTTGAGGTAAAAGACACAGGGGCGACGCCAGCAACCTGTAAAAATTGAACTTTTATGCATGATCACAATACTGCAAATTGGTCACCATCTGGTCCTTGACGAACTCGTGGGGTGCAGAAACCATCTCTTCGAGGGTCCCACGCCATTCACGTGCTATGCGCTTGAAGCCAGCACCGGGGAACCACGCGGGGACCTTTGCCACTGAAATTGTCAGGTTATCGAAAGCCAATGCAAACGTCAGAACAATATAGCTTACAGAATGGTAAAATATCAACCATAAAGGCACCGGGAGCTGTGGCCTGCGAGGCATGGGTTGTAACGCGGTTTGCAAGGTCAACAAAGGGATCATTGTTCTCTTTCACTTCGTAACCATAAGAGATGCGCAGAATGACAGCGCCAACAGTGCTATAGTGAAAATTTAAGATTGTGTCACTGCGAGGATAAATAATGCATACTGTCGGACATGCTCACGCAGTCGATCGGGTTTTGCAAGCACACGCTGCAGGAATCGATGAGTCTCAACCTCCCCAACCTGGTTGTATACGTCCACTGCGGCACGATTGCCGATGACGCGATGTAAGTTCTTGCGTTGCTGGCGAAAACTGGTCACCATAAGGAAGGAAGGGCAAAGAATCCTTCCAGCCAACGAGTTCGCCACTCATAGGAAGAACAGGACGGTCAGAGTACACAATACTTTTTCTGTCCATCATTTCCACTGCGGTCTTGACAGAGTTCAGCACAATGATGTGCCGACCCAGAACCCTGATATGCGTGATATCACCTGAAGAAAAGACGTTTGAAAAGGCATGACTTTCAAGTTGGAAAAGGGGAGGTACTTACCATACTTCTGACCCCACGCACTAAATGTGAGCCAGGGCTTGATGTGAGGTATATCTAAAATGTTGCCAATGAGAGGCCACCCCCGGGGACCAGGTGGATATGGTGCAGGATTCTTCTTGATGACCACCTGCTTTACCAGATAGACTCCAATTGTAACACCGGTAAGGCATAGTAGGTCCAGATAATTAATGTTGGTGATTGTCAACATGGTCTAGTGGCAGATGATGAGCAATTCAAGAACGGGTGTGTGGATAGAATGATCAGATGAGAGGAAGACATCTCGTATTTAAATCAAAATGAATCTACAAGCAACAGGTTAGAAGGAAACTATCACGATAGCGGTCAGCAGTTAGACTCGTGACCACTCACGAGTCTAGTTTCAACTCAGTCGACGGAGTCGGCTAGGGTTGTTCACCGTAACCGTAGGCTTACAGGTACTACCTAGTACCCATACCGTACCATATGCTGTGATGCATTCGAGATGTTCGACGGTAGGGCTGTACAGTCATACGACCGGCTGGCCCAGGTTCAATTTACCGAGTAGTTCGCGTTAGGTTCGCGCCCCGTTATCATGATAACCCTTTATTTCGGCTCCCAAAAACTCCAGAAAAGCTTAAGACCATCAGCCGCAAATGCAACCTCTGGTGAACTGCCTTTTTCGGAATAGGCCGGCGTCAGATGCTGGAACCTTATTTAATTTATTAATGATCCGATATCCACGCAACCGCGGCCTTTTTTTGCTATGTATACTGGCTCCAGTACGTGGTGTGTTTGCATCCCGCCTCTTGCAATGTATGTCGTGATTCAATCGAACGCCGTCTTCCTTGAATCCTGTCTTTGCATTCAAGATAGTTGACGCGGACGGGCGGGCACAGGTGCTTGGATGTGCACCCTTCGAAGCTGAGAGATGCCGCTGTAGCCTGTTTTAACCGCTATCTCCCACTTGTTCGCATGCCCATTGTTACTTATCGTGCGGTTGTTTTACAACACAACGATCCTCCGTGGTTCTACTACTACTGATTATGTGGATTGTTTACTATCAATCAGCTTCGTCTGACACGCCACGCTCATACACTGAATCATCGCACTCGCGTTCGACCTGTTTGAGCCCGCCCGCCCCTCACAGCTCACCTTTTGCACCCAGGTTCAAGCCAGCGTTTCGGGCTGGAAAAACCTGCATATTTTCGTCCAAATCTTTTGCACTCTGTTGAGTCTGTTCCTAATCATCTGTGATGTACTCCATTCCGTCTTGTTCTCATGTTCGGTCACTGAAGTATCGAAATCCATAGATAAGCCTTCGCACCATCAAGAGGTCTTTTAAGCGTATATTGAGTGTTCATCGAGTATTCACAGGGTGATGTATTGTTCCACGCCAGGTTGTTGGCAGACCGTGTTTCACAAGGTGGTGGCAATCTGCTGGCTGGCAATGCAGATAGAGTCAACTGTTTGATAAGGAATTCCAGGTGGTTCCTTCGCTAATATTCAGCACATAAAGCAAGGTGTCTTCCTATCCCCTTCAGATTTATCTGATCCTCGTTTATACATCCTCAGAAACAATGCGTTTCTCCTTCGTCCTTGCTGTTGTTGCTGCTTTGACGGTATCAACATCTACTGTGCCTTCTGTCGCTGGCACTGATTAATATCTACCAGTGACGAATATCAACATTCGTGTCAGTGAGACATGGATGTTCTCACTTCGAAAGTGCTCGTTACGTCCATTATAGAGTGCCACATCCGATGCTCTGGTATGCCTGGGACAGGATAACACTTATTTTCACGCGCTCACTTTGAGATGGCACCTGTGTTCCAAACGCAACTCCGCCAGGATTACAAACGACGACCCCTTCGCAGTGGGAGGCTTGTTGGAAGCTGATATATATCATGCGCCTTATAGTGTGCGTACACTAATTTCGTGCCAAGATGTTGGCATGCTAAAGTTCGTCTCTGATTTAGTGTTCCATGTGGCCGGCGTGGTGGAAGTGAGTTGCTCGAGAGAGCATCGCACTCTTTAGATGCTACTTGAAAGCCGACGAGGATATCCAAAAGATTGACATGGATATCACAAATGAAATGAAACAGGTGCGCAAGCAGTTTGCGATTGTCTAAGAGCAACTCATCCTTCCAGGCTACAATTGACTTGGGCACGCATAACTTTCCGAGTGGAACAATCGAGCTATCTACAAGAACGATAGATCAGTGTTAAATGCGATATCCGGCATCATGAGTGTACGATCGGAAAACGAGTTTGTTCGTAACATCACGATTAAGCTGGGTTAAAAGTATGTCCTCTCTGATTCGCATCTGATCTGTTGATCCAGAGAACCACCTCCATAGATCTACAAATGCGGGAACGAGGCATGCCCCCGCCCAGGCTGCTATCGATAGTACCACTCATCGTCACCCATCGTCTGATACGTAGCCGAAATACAATATCGACACTGTCAATGAATATACTATAAAGCGTATACCTATGTCAGTCCATGACTTTGCTTCCGATCCCTGTCTCATCGTTATTCCGTTCCTTCGACGTCAACATGTCTGCTGCTGAGGTCGATGAGCTCAAAAGTGGTGTTCTATCCTCACAGACGTCCTACGGTCTAGGGCAATAAGTGAAGATTCGTCCGGGGATCGTGACAAATGACACTCGGGGCCGGAACCGTGCAAGCCCATTTTCAGCAGGATCGTCTCTCTGCACATTAAGAACAATCATTTGCAGTTGGCATTTTCGCGAGGACTTATTGGTATTCGGACCAAGATTGACCCTACGCTATGCAGAGCGGATCGTCTCGTTGGTCAAGTGCTGGGTGCGATTGTAAGCTTCCGAAAGTCGATACTGGTGAGCGTCCTCGTTTTCGATATGCTTTTGCATTCCGATAGAATCCAGAACTCGATATCATTTTGTTCCTTCTCCGCCGTTTTCTGGGCCTTCGTGGAAGGTCCAATCGCATGTGCTGAGGCTGGAGAGGAGGTCGTGCTTCTGAGACGTGTCGAGAAGCATTGGCGACTTGTAGGCAAGTATTTCTGTCGACTTAGTAAGCTGATTCGGCACCTCCTTGATGTGATCGGAGGCAATGTACATATGTATTTAACGAGAAAACGGACGGAATATATTACTGATGATCATGGGTATAATCAGTAGAAGCGCAACGAACCCGGCGGCCAAATGATAAGAAATGACAAAGGAGATCTTTGAAAGACGAAAAAAGAAACAGGGTAGATTAATGATGACCGTCAGTATACTCAGAAGAGGAACAACATATAGTAGCATCAGCCTAGAAGGAATGGGTTTGATTGCGATAGGATCTCAACAAATAAGACCTGATCATAAGAAAGTGTCACGTTACACGTCGTACAGCAAGCCTGACTGGCTTGTTCAACTGTAACAGAAGTTCGCTAAGGCCAGCTTCTTTTAGTATCCCACAAATGTCCCATGTATACGCATTTTCGTCGAGGCAGCCAGTGGCTAGTAGCTTTCCGTCTGCCGAAAATGACACAGAAGTCACGTAATGTGGATATGGATGCTGGAGGGGCGAAGCGATGGGCAGGTTGTTGTCCAGGTTCCATAACCGTACTGTGCCGTCATGGGATGCGCTTGCGAGGATGCGGCCATTCGGAGATATTGCAATGGATTCGACAGGTTCAGTGTGTCCATCCAACATTGCAATCTGTTTCCAAGTTGCAGTACTCCATATCCCAATCGAGGAGTTGTATGACCCTGATATAAGCGTTTTTCCATCCGAAGTCCAGGCCATGCACCACACCGAATCAGCTGAAATTTCAAGAGTGGCGACAAGCTTGCCTGTATTGGCATCCCAAATTTTGGCAGGGTGTTCGAAATCTTCGGATGCGCTAGTTGCAAACATGGTCATGTCTGGCGAGTAGACGACTGCAAACACGGATTTGTGTCCTGTCTTGATTGGTGCGGGGGTTGCCTCTCCGCTCTCTACATCCCATCGTCTTGCAGTCCCATCGTCAGATCCGCTCAAGACCCGCTGACCGTCTCGACTCCAGCAGACACTCATCACTGCCTCTGTATGCCCCATCCATTTCATGACGACTTTGCCTGTGTCCATGTCCCACAACCTTACTCCGCCATCCATACTCCCACTGGCCACTTTCTTCCCGTCCGGAGATAACGCTATGGTGTACACTGGACTGTCTCCGTCCCGCCAGTCGTCCCCCATCTGTTTCCCACTCTTCAAGTTCCATACCCGTAACGAGCCGTCCCTCGAACAAGTCATTATCCGTTGTTCGCCTGGTAGATGTATGGCACCGAAGACCGAACCGGTGTGTCCCTCAAATTTCTGGCGAGGCATTATCCTCGAGGTCTCCTCCCTTCCAACGATCGTGATAGGTGAAGACATCTAGACGGAGCTTCGTTTCAGCTTTCATCCCACAAAGTTTGGAATCGCCACTTACAACGATATATATTCTTCAGCAGGTCACGACGTGTTGACAGCAAGACACAATGAGCGTCAGTGCACTGGAGGTTAAATTGGGACGTCCTCGTGTTCGCCTCGCAGCTTCTGGAAGGCTGTGCAACAGAAGCGCTCAAGCCTCGTTTCTGATCAACCTCACCGTCCTAACTCCCATGTTCATTGTCGGTCCATACACCAAATTGCGCCTCACTACCCTTGCTATGTCTTGCAGATGATCTTGTCCTCACGCATTCTTTTCGATCTGCGCGATGCAGACCAGAGGAAAGAAGATAGGTTTTACCTTTCTGATTTACAATTTGCACCGCACACGATATCTGCAGCTATCTAAAGCGATATATGAATTACATATGCGCGTTTTTCACGTCTGATTGTGAAATCCGGCCAGATTTTATGGAATACAGGTGATTGCCGCTTCACAGCTCGTCTTTTCAAAGAGATTTTTGTGCAGGTCTGCTTGTACATCAATACAAGCGCACCTCAGGCAGCACTTCTCGGTGCCTATAAAGGGTCTAAGAGACCCGGTTTCTATGTTGTGGGAAACTAGTCTCTGAGACCCACCCTCCCGACTATCTAATTATAGTTCTTGCTCTTGTATTCCTTCCCGCGCCTCCAGCACCTCCCTGTGCACCTCCAGCACCTCCCTGCACGCCTCCATTAACCCTCCCGGCTCTTGTCTACACTGTCCGTCGTTTTATTTTCACAAGGTATGTCACAGTGTGCTTGTGCAGCACTGTCATGACGCTCAAACAATTTTACTTCAAAAATGTTCAGACAAAAAAATCTCAATTCTCCGAACAAGCGGAACATCAATGTAGACCCATACATTAGGGTTGGGAATGCGAGCAACCTGCACTCCGAACCCTAAAGTGTGATTACAGATGTGGAAAAGTCTTCCTGCCACCCTCCTCATCTCTTGGCACCTCATTGTCCTCCTCCTGCGCACATCGTTACCCTCCGCTCGGCACCTTGTTGCCCTCCTCTTGGCACCTTGTTGCCCTCCTCAGCACCTTGTTGCCCTCCTCTCGGCACCTCTTTGCCCTCCTCAGCACCTCGTTGCCCTCCTCTCGGCACCTTGTTGCCCTCCTCCTGCGTACATCGTTACCCTCCGCTCAGGCACCTCGTTGCCCTGCTCTCAGCACCTCGTAAGTGTCTCGCAGCTTGAGCCCTCTCTACTATCCATGCCTATGCTTTTGTGATCGAGTTAGAATAGGTATTACTTATACTGGTACCACGCTGCATCCACGTGTACTTAATACAGGTATCATGTTAAATACAGTTACAATCTACCAGTAGCGCATTCACCATTCCCCAGTAAGAATGCACCAGGGCAGACCAAGTATCATCCTCCACCCTGGGGGCTTGGGAAACATTTTGTCAGTCCCCTGCAAGTCTCGAGACAAGAGAAAAACCCAAACCTTTGTCAATATCCCTGGCGCGGATGTCAGACGCCATCAGCTTGCCCTACGCATGCAAGCACTCATCAATCCAACCTCACCAGATGCCACTGTTGCTGCTGCACTCGATTCCAGCAGTTCTAATGCTGATGTGACCATGGACATATCGAACGATGACAACGAATGGGTATATGAATCAGGCCACAATACACCTGAACCTCATCTACCCTCTCCGAGTCAGTGTGACATATCAATTGAACCCCAGCGCCGCACCCTTCCTGACAAGGCATCCCGCAAGCTCTATGGAACTTGGACAGGGAATTATCCCCACCCTAATCGAACCTCTCTTGACATATCTTGCAAGAACTGTCGGACAGCCGCTTAAGAAGTTGGATTCCATCATATCTGCATGCACCACCCATTCATGCGCTCAAAAGCGCACAACGATTGTTTGTCTCTTCTTTGACCGTAAGTGTAGTCAGACTTGCCATCCAGGCTTACTACTACTATTCAATTCAGGATTTGTCTCGACCGATGTCCTAAGCTGTGATTGCTCTACACTCCCACAAGTTCTCATCCATCATGGCTTATTTCCCACTGCGCCCTTGCAGCCAAGGATAGCAGTGTCTCTTGAACTGCTGTCCTTTTATCGAGCCCTATTTGAACGTTCAGTGCGACGCTGTCAATGCACTTGCAGCTGCATTGAAAACTCATTATGCTCGACGAGGGTTCCAATTAACAGACTCGCATGTAAGCATATGCTTCAAATGCTCGTGATATTGCCAACTCTTTGAGTTACAGGGAAACATCAGTTCAGGAACCTTTCAGAAGAAGTCTTGGAAGTGCTGTTCAGTGGTATGATATCCTCCAGATTGAGATGGAGTGGAAGATTCGAAGCAGCCATTCTGCAAGCTCATGATCAAATTTGTGCCTCTTACGAGCCCTTACTTCCCTCTTGTGAACCTTTGATGCCCTCCCACGAGCCTTCGACACCCTCTCGTGAACCTCTGACGACCTCTCATGAACCTCTGACGCCCTCTCGTGGACATCTGACGCCCTCTCGTGAACCTCAAGCTTCTACCTTACACAGAGGGCATTGTGCATCAATCCTTGTTGACCGCTGTCCGGCTTGTTTTGCAGGAGTAATGTATGGCCGACCACTAGATCGAGGAGGTGACATTCATGTTGCTACAGATGGTAACTTTCATCACTGTCACTGGCGCTCAGCTGGTGACTGCCCTCATTTCTATGAACCATCATACTTTCTACCAAAGATGTATGTTGATCAAGTAGGCTCTAGGATAGATAAGAAAAGGAAGCGCTCGGCTACAACACAGACTCCTAGCATCATACCTAATGAGGCCATTGACCAGTGTGAGAGTTCCTATGAAGCTGCTGATGGAAAAAAGCAGAAGGCTGCTATGGACAGTTTCGATGACACTGGTTTGATGGCACTCATTTGCCGCCACGATATCCCCCTATTTTTCGCAAACATCGATACACCTGGTGAGCAGCAGAAGTATGCTGTTGCTTTACTTGAACATCTGTTCTCGCTTCTCCCTACCGACACCACAGTTATTGCTTTGTATGATGTTGGCTGTGTACTATCTCGCTCACTTTCACAGGTATGCTTCACAATAATTGATTAGTATGCTTATGCTTAACATCTTGCAGTATGACATTCTAGACACTTCTATCACTTCACGACTACGCTTTGCAACAACTGCTATGCATGCCTATGGACATGAGTGGGGATGCCAGCTTGTATACAATCCTCGTATGTGCAGAGGACTTGGTTTATCAGACAGAGAAGGCACTGAGTGTTACAGTAACATGGCACGAGTCCCCCGCCAGCAGACAGCCCTCTGCCACCCGCACGGCTATAGACGATAGACGACACCAGAGCCTCACCACCTCTATAGACGACACTAGATGATGATAGATGAGAGATGATAAGCGGCAACTGCCGGCTTAGATAAGCGGTCTGGACCGCACGTGACATGGACATGACGACATAGGTCTAGAAGACCTATTTATGTTATCAAGATAGAAGGCAAGCCTCGTGTTGCCTCATGTACTGATAGAAGGATACCACGTGGATCCTATCTCTGATGGAAGCGTACCGCATGGACGCTATCTACGATAGAAGCCCGCCTCATGGACGCTATCTCTGACTCATGTAGATAAGCATATTAGAACCCAGCTTTAGGCTGAGCTTAGATACGATAGAGTAGCCTTATATAAGGTCGAAGATTACAAGTAGACGTTCCTTACTTTAATCTTACTAGGTACTACCCAGAACTAGTCTAATCAACTAGGTTTTCCCTTGAACTCCTTGTCCCGCTAAAGCCACCTGCTCGACATCGACTCGTACCTTCAGTGACGCCTCTCACTGTCTGTAGACCTCTGCTATCATCTCAGCGTAACCCCTCGTTAACCACCACGAGCTACGTTCGAGTACGCAACCTTTGCTTGTCTGTAAAGGCCGACGACTCTCAGCACTCGGTACCACTGTCGTGGTTGTCGCTGTTAGAACTATCCTAGTCGCACACGACCGCTTGTCGTAACACTGAGCGGCTTTGGTCGCGACTTGTGCGTCTGATTGGTATTCAGCAGGTCATCATCAGGTAAGTACATCATTTCTTCACGTAAGTTTACAAATACATTCTCGCATGTTTCAGCGTCAACGACGTCTGTGGCTTATAGATCGCCAAGCAGCCTCCATCAGAGCTGAGATGCGTGCGGACCTTGGTGATTGGGTCAAGCGACGCATTCAGTGGCATCAAGACTCAATCCAACAGCTGCACAGGACATCCTTACTACCTGTGGTGTCTCCTATTGAAGAGCTACGGTTGTTGTGGGCTCATCAGCAGCGTTCACAACTATCTATTCATGCTCGTAAGTGGTACTTGTTCATTTTTTTGTAGTCGCTGATTGACTTTTTATCAGATGCTCCTGCACGTCTTAAAAAGGAACTGGATACAGTTCTTGCATTGCAGGCTGATATGGCCGCATCAGATCAGGCCCTACAGACCACCCGCACCATGCTTGAAAAGGAGACAGCATCGGATGACACTATGAATGCTTTGGACAGGTCTTGAGAAGGGCCATCAGCGTCTCATGGAGAAGGTTGAAGCACTCTACAGCTTCACTTAACATTCATGACAGGTTTCCTGAGCTTCAAGGTGTCAACCTTGATTTTGTCCGCACCCTTCTAATGGCACGCGACCTGAAGATCAACATACGCAAACGCACGATTGGTAGTTTTTTCGAGTGGGATAAACTGGATAGGGCAGTTGGCGGTGCTCAACAAGCTTTGGGTAAGACCTACCCAAGTCTATCAATTCATCTGAGTCCTTGAACTGATTTCAACATATCAGGTACTAAGCTTCATCAGCAAACTCGTAAAGCAATAGCCAAGAGACAGCCAGCCCTGATGACTGCCATTCGTAAGTTTAACTCTTATTGTGAGCACCTAGAAAGTCTCTACGACCCTTCATGGGGGATACCACTCCCAATGGCTCTTCCAACTAAACTAGTGGATTTGCTGCAACAACCAGACCCTAATGGAGGATGTCTGGATTACACCATCTGCAGGAGACATACCACGCTGGTTAGATGATTCGGATGTGAGAGGTGGAATCCGTGCCCTCCTCAAGCACGATCAATGTCAAGAGGAACAGCAACATCTCAGTATTGAAGCTGAAAACTTGTGCCACTATTTTGGAGATGAGCTCTGTGCTTTAGAACTTGCACTTTCTTCTGATACGAGTTAGTGATTTCAGTGCCTCATTCCAACACATTCTGATGATTTCAATAGATCAACTATTCAGATTCTTACTACAAGCCCACTGAGACCATCTTCTTCAGCTTCAACCACGCTGGGCAAATCCATTTGTCTCTACAGCTCGCTTTTCTAGCCAGTGCCAAGGAAGCTGCAGACCTCGCAAAGACACTTACGCGAGGTGCAACTGGAGCTAACCTTAGTTGGATAAATCATCCTCTCACATTGGAAATTGATTATGAAGAAGACGACATTCCAGACTTTGAAGCAGGGCCATCAGATGTCGACGCACATCAAATTGCATTTGTTGACTTCCTTGAAGAAGATTCTGTTGCTAATGAGGATATAGAAGACATTGCCGAAGTGGGAAAAGCTAGCATTACCATCTGTTGGGTGGTTCCTGAGGTATGTCGTCAATTACTACCTTCTTTGCTTTTTTGAAACCATTGACAGGTACTCCAAGTTGATCAAGTACCTGTGCCTCGCAAGGATCAGAGCATTACTGTGCAACAGCCAGGTGCAACTAGGATATGGGCCTCTCGACATGGCTTTCCTTGACAAATATTCGATCCAAGGGATATCTCCTTCCTCGGTTCCCCTACTGCACGTCTCAATGATGTATGCATCAATGGTTGTGCAATACTACTGCATGATGCACACATGTCCACCCCTGTGGCACAGCACATCGCCATTCTGTCTACTCACAACCTCCCACGTATGTTACAGTAACATGGCATGAGTCCCCTGCCAGTGGACAGCCCTCTGCCACCGCATGGCTATAGACGATACCGGAGTCTCACCAGCTCCATGACGATCATGACGATAGATGATGATAGATGATAAGCGGCAACTGCCGGCTTAGATAAGCGGTCTGGACCTCATATGACAACATATGACAACATAGGTCTAGATGACCTATTTACAGTTATCAAGATAGAAGGCAAGTCTCATGTTGCCTCATGTACTGATAGAAGGGTCCTGCATGGACCCTATCTACGATAGAAGCCCACCTCATGGATGCTATCTCTGACTCATGTAGATAAGCAGATTAGAACCCAGCTTTAGGCTGAGCTTAGATATGAAGAGTAGCCTTATATAAGGTCGAAGATTAAAGTAGACGTTCCTTACTTTAATCTTACTAGGTTTTCCCTTGAACTCCTTGTCCCGCTAAAGCTACCTGCTCGACATTGAATTGTACCTTCAGTGACGCCTCTCACTGTCTGTAAACCTGCTATCATCTCAGCGTAACCCCTCGTTAACCACCACGAGCTACGTTCGAGTACGCAACCTTTGCTTGTCTGTAAAGGCCGATGACTCTCAGCACTCAGTAACACTGTCGTGGTTGTCACTGTTTAGATCATCCTAGTCGCACACGACTGTGTGTCGTAACAACATATCCGATACAATGCACCTGATGACGTCCTCTGGCATCAAACTTCCTGGACACGTTATTGGGAGAAGGAAGTATGGATATTGCCCATTCATCGGCCAGCTCCTGTTGGTCACTGGGTACTCTGTATTATTTACCGATCCTCTAAGGAATTCCATCTATTTGACAGTTTTGCTGAAGAGCGCTGTAAAGAGTAGATTCTATGTGGGCGCTACAAAAGTGTTACCTTAAGACTCAGAGTGCGAGTGAGATGTTCGTCCCAAAGAGACTGCCTATAGAAATGCTCCTTGATATAAAGCAAGGGATATCTTGTTAAGATCGAGGATGAGAGAAAGGAATGTTACCAAGAGCATGCTCAATGTTCTGAGGATGCGTCTGAAGAGGTCCGAAAGTGGTCTGAAGATGGTCCGACGTCAAGAAACGAAGGTCCGAGGTTGCGCGAAGCGTCCGAAGAGCTTCCGATGAACAGCGAAAGTTCCAAGAGAAGTACGACGGTGTGTCGAAGTATAAGACTTGCGAAGTATAACTAAACAAAGCCTATCGAAAGTACTTTGAGACAGCGAGATGCGAAATGGCAGCGGTCAGGCCAAACAATCGTTCCGAATGAACAAAAGGTCGATTGTGCAAAGTACGACTATCCGAAAGTGACTCTACTAACTATGACTCATAGCAGGGAAAGTGAAGTGAAGTGCCAGTAGCTAGCGAGGCAGATTATATCCTACAGTGTGAAAGTTCGGAAACTGCGTAGGCGAAACCAGTAGCGAGATAAGACATCTGAAATGTAATAGGACTCAAGGCGAGCCGCTACAGAGATATGCATGTAATAAGACGCAAGGCGTGTATAACCGACAGGCCGATGACATATGTGCCCCTAGACATAATCAATAACAGATAACCAAGTGAAGAACGCACCAGCAAAGTCAAACGGACATGGATGGGACATGGTATGGAGGATCGGAACTGTATACAAGCCTCGGAAATGGACGGACGACCTTTGGACGACTCGGACGAATGCACGGAACTCTCGGAAGGTAAAATGGAGTGTCAAGGAATGTGAATGTGGAATACCTATGAGTTTGGCAGGATACGAGCCCAACGCCGATCTGAGTGCTACAGCGCCCTTGGCAACTTGATGTCAAGGTGAGGGCTTAGCCGTCATGAAATATGGGGGAATGCTAACACCATTCACATAGGCCATTATGACACTTGTGTCTCGTCTACTAACTATTGCTCGTCAACACCACCCTGCGGTACAACTTGATCTTCAAGGATGGCATGCTCGTTCACTTATGGTAAGTTGATTATCATGAAGTCTGAGCCCTCGCTAACTACATTCTCTAGCTCAAACCTCTTCAGACGAATGGTTATGACTGCGGAGTTTGGGTACTAGCTGGAATTATGGCAGTCTTACGAGGTTTTCATCTTACAGGCTTGTGTGAGGATGGTATGGAGAGCTTCCGCCATTTACTATATCGCCGCAGTTATCGAACTCAATAGAATGTAGATTGCCATAGTTCCATAAACATAGATAAAATGAATCGAAGAATTAAATTAAAAAGATAGAGATCTGTATTGCTCTAGTACCGGAACAATGCTTCTACGGACAAAGCATACTGATCAAAGGAATAGACAAGAGGCCACAGAGGGCCAGTTAATCATGCCAGGTGCAGGATGCCCCACATCGGCACCTGGTGCAGGATAAATCAGCCTTCGATGAGTCTCCAGGGTCAAACAGAGATGATACATACAAGAGGCCAGAGGGCTGGTTAATCATGCCAGGTGCAGAACGCCCCACATTGGCACCTGGTGCAAGATGAATTAGCCTTCGATGAGTCTCCAGGGTCAAACGGAGATGGTACATACAAGAGGCCACAGAGGGCTGGTTAATCATGCCAGGTGCAGGACGCCCCACATCGGCACCTGGTGCAAGATGGATCAGCCTTCGATGAGTCTCCAGGGTCAAATGGAGATGGTGCATACCAATAACCATGAATGAGGCACTTGTGAGCTTTTCCAATGCACCTTACCTTGGTCCTTGGCAGCAAATTGATGCCTCAAAGTTTGGCACTGATTGTGCAAAATGAGTCAATGGTGTACAGCGGGACAAAAATGACATAACTCATGACACTGTGTTGGGAGGACCATGCCCTACGTTTGTTTGTTCATGTAAGACCTGAAGTGGATATGTGGTTGCTTCAAATGATTGGAATAGATAGAGTCTGGACCAAACGACCGAGGTCACAAGTGTGACACATCACACTCCTGATTTTTCCGAGTCTGCACTCAACTCATGCCACTCTCATGCCACTCATCAATATTAATATCAATCTCAATGATGCCTTCTGAATCTACTTGAAAATCCAATATCCATGCACAGTGTGCAGTTTCAATGTCACTCTTGTCACAGCAGACCTCGCAGGAGGCTATGAAAAACTTGCCGAGCCTCCAGAAATAGGCACCATGAAAACTGGCAACCCTCTTGAGACTCCCTAGTAACACTATATGCTTACTATGTCCGGTAAGTATTGGGCGCTGACTTGGACACTGTGCTTCTTCGAAGTTCCAAACTTTGAGCTTCTTTTCAAACTTACTATGATCGTCTTTTCTCCAGAGTTTTCTCCAGAGTTTTCTTTGCCCCATAGTTACATTATCGATTGATTGCTATCTACAGGCTAGAGCTGGCACTTTCGTACATACCTCTTACATTGCCTCCAGCGAAATGGCCGCAACCACCGGTACAACAAGACCATTGCACTTCGTTGATGCTGCCACACTCACAGACTCGCAATCGTTTCTAGTCACTCGTATTGTAAGTACTGGTGGTTGTATGTTCAGACTTTGCTGACCTGCTTCTAGTTGGTGGATGCGGCTGTGTCAACAGAGGACACTGAAGTCACTGAAGGCTCCCGAGTTAGTGAGGAATGGAGGAGGCTTGATGGGATACCTTGTATTATGGGTGGGCTAAGGGCGCTCGTTGGTAAGATTAATCATCACACATTCATACTGATCTTGACATGATTTCAGCATCACTTGGCAGGACCCTGCATGGGCGCACCACTGCTGACTTCCCCTAGAAAACACTCCCCAAAGAATTAGCTCGCCTTGGGTATGTCCTTGTTAATTACCCTAAAGAGACTTTGATGCCCGGCGAGCTGCGACCAACTCTCTCTCGAAGCAAAGGCATCCATGACCTGACCCAACAACATCGTGTCAATCTCGTCAATTGTCTCAAGGCAGGCACCCTCACCATCCGAAGCAGTTATGAGTGATGCTGCCCATACACGGCTCACCACCTCCAAAGACCCTGTTGTCATTGGGGACACCCCCTTGGCTCACTCCACGCACTCCCGTGGGCGATGTGTTTTCACTGATGGCCGCATTGACCAAAAAGGTCTTCCCCATTCGTCATGTCCCTTCTTCTTCACCCGCCTCTTCTATCCAAGATCAGCCTCACTTACCCACCTCTTCTCGTCGTGCCCAAGTCATTGTGGAAATCACGTGGCCGCCACCTCGGCCAGCTTCTCGAGCACTCCGCAAACCATCTACTACCTCTGCAAGAGATCTTATCCCAGCCATCACTTCCATCCAGGGAGAATCCAGCTCTGAAGATGTTAGTACTGATGATGAAGATGATTATGAGGACAAGGATTCCCAAGTTAGTGAGACTGTTGTTCGTCCTGCGAAACACCTTAGACGTCGGTAATACTAAACGTAAATAGTATATGTATGTAGCTCAAGAAAATCAGTGCTTGAGCTTCTGACCTAATTTTGTCCTCCCATTGACACAAAGTAAAGTTTCAGCATCATTATTTTCTCAATGCAATATTTAGTAACGAAAGTTCTTTCATTCAGAGCTCTCTGGAGCCTCTAAGAGGCCCACATTTCGCCCTCTACACCCTCCTCACCACTCTTGGGCCCTCATAATGTCTTGTACGTTGATTTTTGCTTGTGTATTTTTGCCCGTTGTCAACGTGATCTTTAGTAATCAATTTACTCTCATTCTGAGCCCTCGCTGAAGCCTCCAAAAGGCCTACAATTCGCCCTCTACACCCTCCTCAGCCAATACTCTTGGATCTTTGTAATATCCTGTACATTTATTTGTACTTCTATATTTCTGCCTGTTGCCAACGTGATGTTTAGTAATCAATTCTGAGTCCTCTCTGGAGGCTCCAAAAGGCCTAGAATTCGCCCTCTACACCCTCCTCAGCTACCACTCTCGAACCATTGTGATGTCTCATACATTGATTTTCGCTTCTGCCCATTGTTCTAACTTGTTTGGTCTGAATAAAATTAAAATCAGGCCACTCATAAGTATCAGGCTTCATGCGGGTGCTTCATGCCCTGTTTTTTTTTCACCCACCTTCCGTATTCCCAGTCACTTACCTAGTGTTTTGTGCATCCATTCAAAATTTTGCCCTCTCAACCAGGTAAGCAATGCCCTCTCAGTTCTCATTTGCACGAGGCCTATACTTACGATGCACTTGAATATCAGTCTAACTTGTGTTACTTGTGTTAGTAATACGTTCTTGTGTACTATTGGTGAGCAACAACTTCATGGTCATGTTGACCTCAGCTTATGTGCATCTACTTTTCGTAGATCACCTACTCATTTGGATCAGCAAGTCAGGTAAGTGTTTTCTTCATTACGTGTCATTTTTTCTGATCTTGTGCGAAGGCCATGATGCTTAATCTATCAGATTACTACTCTGACCCTCCCGACAATCAGGTGTCCTCACCTCCCCCATACCTTCCTGCATCATTGCCTGCTACTATGGGTTCTGGATATACGCAGGAAGAATATGCGCAGGAAGAATATCTTCGGGAACAGTTTGGAGGTGGTCGATATAGGGATACACCAACAGAACTCACTCCACCAAGACTGCATAGCACCATCAAGCCAACATCACGGGATGTTGGTATTGCAAGGGATGCTGCTATTTGACGTCAAGCAGCTTGCGCTCCCAGTGACCAGCCCGCTAATGGCTTCGTTGCTAGTAAGTCTTCATCAAAAACTTTTCTGCCGTACTTCTGACCTTACTTTTGCTACTAGATTCCATTCACTCTGCTGAAAATAGCCGTCACAATACTCCTTTGGTTGAGGACGCACCTGTGCAGTGTTCTGTGCAGGTGCAAGATCTATTTGCCAACACTTTGGCACCCACTGGCCAGCAGCCGGCTATGCCTCAAAATACAGATGTTTTCCACCAGCAGCCCCAGTATAGCGCTCCAAATTCAGACTCCATGGCTCCATACAACCTCACGATACCGTCCAGAGCCCGGCCTTTGTGGTCTGTGCCGTCACCTCTGATGCAACACAAGGCTCCCAGCACCTCTCCCAGCCCTCTGGCTTCCTATTCTCAGTTACCAACATTGCCTCTTCTCATGCCTGCACTTGCAGGTCCAAGCTCTCAGGGAGGTCTGCAACCTCAAGTGAAAAATGCTGTGAATATGTGTGGGCCGGATGGGCCCTGGAATTTTTCGTCCATAGCGCCAGTCAACTCCTTGCCAGCTCAAGGAGCTGTGCCAAGAACACATATCATCCCGCCAACTCCCATCAAGCCTGCAGAACTTTTGGCTCCGTCTGCTGCCAGTGGGTCAGGTCAGCATGCAGTCACGTTCAGTACATCAACCGCTGGAGGATCTCATATCGAGTCTGATTTCACGATGGACGATGATGGTGCACCTGTTGGTGGTCGACGTTCAGCAGAGACAAACTCCACACTTGATGAGGGTTTTGCTGTATTGGATACCATCGTCATTAACACTGCAAAAAATACAAACATGCCTTCCTACCAGATAATCAATCTGTGGATGAAGAGTTGAGGTCGAGCGATCAACTCTACCAACTACTGGAACCTTTATGCGGGGTACTTCAAGGACCGCATGCGCCAGGAACTTGCAAGGCTTGGTGAAGATGCTCCTCCCCAGGATGGTTCGATGACACCTAGTAAGTGGTCCATTTATTCTATGCGCTGTTTGCTCAATGCTGATCATTGATTTGATAGGTGCCGGTGTTCGTCGTCGGTGCTACGAGCTCTTCAAGAAAACCTACCCCGATTCTTATCAGGACATCCTCAATACCTACGAGGAACTCAACATGCTGTCTGATGCTCCTCAAACAATTGCACAGCACACGCAAACATTCCAGAAGCTCTACAGGAGGGTAGGAAGTATTGTGAGTGATCTCATTCTGATTTCATAATATTTTCTTGACGAGCTGGATGTTCTATTTGCAGCTTGATGGAGCTGCGGCCAGGCAAGGTTTTGAGGCCGCTCTCGTTATGTGTGGTAATATTGTCAATGAAGACTCATCACTCGGCCATGTTCACATGACACCCAGTGCTGGTGGCGTAAGTGTTGCCCACCTCGAAATCTTCTCATATTTATTAATACCCTCCGTAGTTCTTTGAGAAGCGCTGCCGAGCCAGTAATGATGCCATCATTGGGCATATGAAAGCCCATGTATACAACACCACCTCGCTTGCTGCCGTGGAACAGGCCTTCAAGGCCACCAAAGGCGATCGAGAGCAGGCACCAATAGAGGTCTTGGATGTGAGCTCATCTGAGGCAGGTGAAGAGAAAGATGCATTGAAGTCGCTCAAGGCTGGGCTAATCAAACAAGTTGGTTCATAGCACGTCACGTCTCACAGTGAGAGTCTGACATTTTTTTCTTCAGCGGACCTTGGTGGCAAGTTCGCAGATAGACCCTTCCCGTGGATCTTGATGGCCAGTTCACTCGCAAATGATCATCTACGCATCAAGGGGTATCCCGCGCACTTGAGTTTGATGCTGGGAGAGTCTCACAATACTAATTCATGAAGTAAAGGTGTTGCAGGACTTACACAACGCGAGGTCAATGTGCTTGCTCATGCATTGAAGGCGAAGACAATGCGTGTTGTCAAAGTAACAAATGCTACCAAAGGTATGTGCCAATATTTTTGTGGGATTGCTTTAGCTCATAACGACTTGACAGCTGCTATCATAGCCTCCAAAGAGCCTGTCATCATTGGCGAGGCACCTCCTGTAGGCTCTCCCTTTCCAAACGCGAGGCGGATGTTTGTCAACGGAACTTTTGATTATAATGGCCCTCCACACCTTCAATCCAGCTCTGCCGCAACCAGGAAGAAGAAGCCAAAGGTCACCTCATCATCTCGCACCCAGGATAATGATGGAGATGTCGCATCCATGGACTCCACGACTACCATACGTCCCAAATCCAATTTACGTCTCGAAGTAGTTGTACCTCCATCATGTCCCTTCAAGCTTGCGAAGTGCCCCCCTACCAAACCAGTGCCAACTCCAATACAGGTCTTATCCAGTCCAGATGGTGTCAACGAGCCTGGTGCTGACCATCCCCTCGACATTTCTGATGGCGAATCCCCCAGCGAGGACGATGCGGACCACAATGATTCATCACGCTCACACAAGCGGAAGTTGCAGGCTAAAGGTGGTATACGAGCTATGAAGAAACATGTACAATCAATCGAGTTAGAGGAGAAGACAGTTGTTGAGAAGAAACCAAGTGTAAAGGCTGCAGGCAAGGTTCGTGCCAAGGGGGGCGCTTGTATCCTCTCATTGTAGAATCCTCAGGGGACGAACAGCAACCATCTCCTGGAGCCATGCACCCTGAGACCTCCGAGGCTGTTGATCGTCCGCCCTCTACACAAGTCACGGAAGCACCTATTCTTTCAGTGGTGCCGTCTTCCCCACTCAAATCAGATCATCATGTGGGTCCTACAGAAGATAATGGGCAGTCTGTCCATGTCCCAGACGTCCCTCTTCCGCTACCTCAAAATCCATCATGCGCACCAAAGTTGGAGGACACTCATCTCAGTCCCTCCCTTTCTGGCCATGATGCACCAGACCCTCATGATCGTGATCCTAATAGCACTCACATGAGCCCCATGACAATCAGTATCCTCCCAATCATGGTCACTCCAGGGAGCCTCATCATGTGAGTGACTTCTGCGACCTCCCACTCAATAATGCCCATGACCTGCGCCCTCATCGAGACAACTCTCCTGCACTGCGTGATGACTGTCGCTACCCCAGTGATGAGCAACATGGTGGGTACATGTACCACGAGGAGGCAGACCGGCAGGCATATGCCAGATGACCACGACTCGGAGGTGACTACCCTTATCCAAGGGAGTATTCATATTATGGCGACCGTGGTGAAACATACCCACCAGGATATGCATATCCTGCTCACCACAAGAGCACAGGCTATCATGATGCCACCGGGTATAGGCTACCGTACTATCATGAGGCTCGATACCCAGATCGTGAGCTTCTTGATGATCGCGTGCGTGGACCTCCCCTGCCAGACATGCGTGGAGAATACTTGTATCCAAGCGGTCGCGAGGGTCATGCTGGCTATGAGCGCACATATCAACGTCAGCCTCCTCGAGCAAATGAAACTTGAGGAAGTCGGAGTCCCATTACCAATGTGCCACTCACCCTGCCTGCGGCAGAGCAGGAAAAGCATGAAGGAGCAACCATGCCAAGGTAAATGCGAGGTGTCTCTCATGCTAGTATGAAATTTTTTGCTTCTCTAATACTGTTTGGGCCTGGTCTTCCCCTTGTACCATAAGTCACTACTCGCCTTCCTGCCTATCATGGATGATCCATCTGTGTTGCTACATCTTGTTTGTGCTACTGTGCACCCTCTTTTATCTCCAATGGACCCTCTCGTACCTTGCGTCCTCTCATACGAGCCCATTCAGTCACATAGTCTGTAAAATACAGGCAGCCGAGGTTGAAAATATGCCGTTCCACACAGGCCAGCAGATGTCGGCCGATTGAATGTGTGTGCCCGAGTCAAACATTCGGCCGACCGACTAATTGATGTACCATTGGAACAGCTGGGCCTATACACGCTGTTGCTTAATATTGACATATTGGCTGGTCACCAAGAAACAAAGATGGTTGATTGTGACGCTCTCAACCCGGCCCATGTAGACAATAGTGACTGTGTGTACCGGTCGGCCGATGCAAATAATGGGTATGACGGTATCATGCAGGCTGATGCAGAGTATATCTCTTGTGCTTGTCAGTCAGCCCATCTAAAATATATTGCTCATGCTTATCAGACGGCCCATGCGATGAGAATGAATTCACGATGGTCTCCGGTCGGCTGATAGGAACAATTGTCTGGTATACTCAGGTGGGCCATTGGAACCTATCTTATCCGGTCAGCCGATGGAAACATATTCCCGATGCCATCAGGTCGGCCAATATACAGGAATGTCTGATACAATTGTGTGAGCCCCTGACACGGACACCATCATGTGGGCCGGTGGAAAGAATTCCCGATGCCATCAGGTCGGCCAATATAAAGGAATGCCTGATACAATAGGGTGGGCCGACGAAACCAATACTATCCGGTCGGCCGATAGAAAGACGTTCCCGATGTCATCAGGTCGGCCAACATGAGGAAATGGCCGAGGCAATCGGATGAGCCGATGAAACAGATCCTATCCGGTCGGCCGATAGAAAGACGTTCCTGATGCCATCAGGTTGGCCAATATGAGGGAATGGCCGATGTAATTGGGTGAGCCGATGAAATAGAGACTATCCGGTCAGCCGATAGAAAGACGTTCCTGATGCCATCAGGTCGGCCAATATGAGGGAATGGCCGATGTAATCAGGTGAGCTGATAAAATAGAGACTATCTGGTCGGCCGATAGAAACACATTCCCGATGCCATTGGGTCGGCCAATACGAGGGAAAGTCCAATGCAATCGGGTGAGCTGATGAAACAGATACTATCTGGCCGGCCGATAGAAAGACGTTCCCGATGCCATCAGGTCAGCCAATATGAGGGAATGTCCAAGGCAATCAGATGAGCTGATGAAACAGATCCTATCCGGTTGGCCAATAGAAACATTTGCCTGATAATATCAGGTGGGCTGCTGAAACTGATGCAATCTGGCCGGCCGATGAAAATAAATCCTCTATGCCATCAGGTGAGCCGATACAAATGGATGCCTGATAAAATTGTCTGGGACAATGAGGAGAACGCTCGGGTTCTATCAGGTGGGCCAGTGTGGAACAGGTCTCCTGTGCACATCGGTCGGCAGATTTCAGCACCATCACTCGGTCTCCAGCTTTGAGGATTCAACAACATTGATTCAAATGACCAATTGTGATGACTATGTACTAAGTTAAATGTAACTGTAATGTACCATTATATGGAATCACACATTTGTCTAGGCTGAAACTGAGACATCCCAATCTACATTCATGTAACTCGCATACTGTGGCCGAGGTGTCCCCACAAAATTGTGAAGGCTATCGCGCATGAACCATGTCCACACAATGCGATCACCAGTGAATGTGACCCCATGCCTCACGATCAGTCCAGAGCATGCAACCATGGCGCCAGAGTTGTATCGTAACTGTATACCAAGGTTGGATAAGGTCATGAGCCCATCATAATAATGGCCGACACTGGTCATTACGTCGAACCCCTCTGGAGTAGATCGCGGATCTCTGTGAAGAGGGCACTGCCGGTTACAAATGACAGCTGTGCAGTTGAGCACCAAGGCCCAAAGTTGCAAACGAGTATAAATCTCATCGAGGCCATTGTCCATAGCCCATCGGGCGAGTTTTATCTGGGTTTTAACCGAGGCCCAATATAACTCTGGATGCATCACCCGCAGAGCCGCAGAGGCCAGGAGCGCCGAGCACTGCATGGATGTTATAACAATATGAGCTCCTTCCCCCTTGAGCGTACCTGACACCTCGGGTGCGAACGCACCAGGTGGGAGGAAAACCATATGGCTGGAACAGTTGGAGTGAGCAGACATTACAGTGAAAAAAGCAGGCCTGACCTCTTGGCCTTGCTGGAACCAGCAAGGAGCCATGTTGATGCATCCTGGAGTCAGCGGGCCCCGGTCGCTCTTATGAAAATACCCAGCGTATGTTCGCCAATGGGTCTCTTCTCCACTGGTCATGCTTGTCTTGAGGAGATAACCCATGCCGATGGTGGCTTCTTCCATCTCGGCCTGTTGTGTCAGTGTGAATGTTGGCCGATACACAACAATACATGGGCTTACTTGTATCCAGAGGCTAATAGCCTCTGGTAGGTACCACAGGATAATATGGCCGCCAGAATCCACGAGAACCGAGGGCGTGTCAAGCAACTGTTGAGAACTATGAGGAAACTTTTTGGACAGAGCCTCCTCATGTTTTGTGATCTGGCCGGTAGAGTGTTTGTTAAGGGCCTCGTTGTAATGAATCATATCAAGATCAAGGTGAACTGTGGTGCATCAGCAAACCACTGACTATATTCAGGAATGACTTACTTGGATGTAAATATGCATCGGCAAGAACTCGGGCCAACTGCTGACATGCAAGCATTGTTGGCACATCCAATGTGAGCGGAGGCAAGACCGACTGTTGCCGGCGACCGACATGGAAAGCAAACAGCTGGTGCACAAAGTCACCAGCGATGCATGTGGTATGTAAAGCCCAGTCAGTCGGAATTGGAGTCATCTGCATGTGCAGAACAACTGGCATAATTGATTGTTAGCTTATATGGGACAGGACCGAGATTCATTGAGTAATACTATATACATTTGGAGCATGAACGTAAACTCGGCGATACTACCGATGTCTATTTAGTCATTATGTACACACTGCCGGTAATGACTGGTCAGATCAACGATAGACAAGCACAATTGATGTGAAGTCAATCCTTGCCAGGCAATTGCCTACCAGAATTTAAGAGCTCTTCCTCCAGCTCGGTAATCAGTCCCTCAAGTTGAGACATGGTGGACGTGGCTGCAGCGGCGATCTCGGCCTTCTGCTCGAGCAAAGAAGCCATTGATTTGCCGAGATGTTGAAGGTGGGCTCTTGCAGCCACAATTTGGTTGAAGAGAGCTTCACCGTCCACTTGACTGGTGACCGCAGGACCCAGCGCAAGGATGGCTCCCATTGGCTAAGAATTAACATAAGAGTAAGTCCATCATAAAGCAGAAAGAAAGAGAGAGAGAGGAAATGACTGACCAGTTGTTCAAAGTGGTCTTGGGTCATCTCCATGACCTCTTGGAAATTCAAGACCGGCAGCTCAAAACTCAAGCGGTCAAAGCGATCCTTCCACCAATCATAGGGATAGTTAGGAACAACTCGGTAGTGGGACGTCAATCCAGGGCGATGCGGAGAGCAGTGAAGAAAGAATTCATCATGCAATTCCTCGGCAGTGATGGTTCCAGTTTGGAATCGGGTAAATCTGCCGACGATGCTGCGCAAAAGGTCGGGCATGGTTGGGTGGATGTTGAGAACCACTGATATGTTGATATATGGAAATACAAAACGCTGATTTAGGCATCAGCTACAAGATCACAATGGCCGGCCGACCAGCCGACCGATGAGGTACTTACATCTGCCTCCCACTGAAGGTGCCGACTGAAGGTGGCCTTGTAATCCGGCGTCCAAGGGATGTGGTTTCGGTCGCAAGCCAGCCAGATGGTGGCGAATCGAGACGTGGCAAACTCTAGAACATTGGCAGCATCCCAAGGAGTAAAGTCACTCAGTTCATACGTATGCAATGTTAAGGAGTTGGACATGATGGTGGTAGTTTACATCAACACAGAAAAAAGTTTCATGGGGATCAGCATTGTACTGATGACTAATCTAGCGGCCGCATGTGGACCCCTGTCACTCTGCAACCTCAGCCACCCCTTTTGTTCTGTCAAAGCTGTCTTCTGCATGCTGTGAGAGTTGGAGATACATTTGAGCCTGGCGGGCTGCATAGCAGCGGTGCCCAATGATTTCCTTTGCATCGGCCTCCTGCATTCGGCAGACCCATTCTTGAGATTTATGCATCAAGAATGCCACGGTCCATGTCATTTCTCGACCGACCAGCAGCAGCTCCTCTTCCCAACGATTGCACAGTGCCAAAGTCCTGAGCCAATGGACACGGTAAACTATTTTGCAAGTAAATTACTACAATATAGGAAGAGGTAGGTCGGCGAAATACATACATTCATTCATCCAGTCATTGCTGGTAGAATCCCCCTCGATGTCAATGGACCAAAACCAGGCTAATGTGCTATTCCTTTGACTGCGGGCATTTGGGTCTGCCACCACGGTAGTGGCCTTGAGGTCGGCCTTCTCCAATCGCCGATACTTCATCAATAAGTCATCGGCACCGAGATTGATGAGCTGCTTCCGGCATTTTGCATAGATCTGTGTGTTGAGGTTAAGAACTCTGTCAACTGAGTGCACACGAGCCCATGCTCTGGTCGACCGTGCTTGTGACTTCGCCGACCGAATCGTGGTGCGAAAGAGAACGGCCTTGTCGGCCAAGTTGACCCTCACTGTTACAGGCATCTGTAACACCTACTGGAGCCCCAGCTCTGCCTACGCCAGCCCCCGCTCTACTAGACTCCCCGCGCGGCGGTGCGCCGCCCGCACCTAGAAAGACAGCGGTCTGGACTGCTGTGACCCCGCCCCTGGTGCTATGACCCCGCCCCTGGCCTAGACGGCCTTGTACCTGATCCATGGAGGCTGTGCGCCTCATGGTCACCCTAGATCAGCGCATGCATACCGCATGTCGCTTCATGAAGATCCGGAGCGCTCTTGGCGCTTCCTGTACCTATGCACAGCTGCCCTTGGCGCAGCATGCTTGATCAGAGGTTAAGCCTCATGTACTTATCTGAACCTCATGTCTTGTTATCATAGATCATAGATATACTATTGATTACAGACTGAGCTAGAATACTTGTAGTACTTCCCTATAAGTAGACAGGATTATTGTACTTAGACTTTACTTTAATCTACTAGGTTCATCCCAGAACTTGCTCATCTAAGCCTTACCAGCTTCCTTGTGTGAGACCGCACTTCTAAGTCGCTCCCATACGACTTAGCACGTATCCGCTAGCCCTGTATCTCGACGAGCGCCGTCTTACCGAGATCACCGGAGGAACCCTTGACGTTCCATCAAGCCAAGAACCACCCTCAGCTTCAGTAGACTCACTCGAGTCGTCGCTGAGAAGACCTATCCTAGTTCGCACACGTCGACCGATGGTCGACGTAACACTCACAGCATGCAATGCATCGTTTGCTTGGCCCTCTCTTAAGGATATTTCTTGTAGCACAAGGTCGGCGACGCCCCACTCGGCGCACCTTTCGATGCCGATGTTCGACGGTAATGGAATCACTACGGTCTCGGGATTGAACTCCACCGGTATATCACGTTGGTCTTCATCATCTGACCGATCGGCAGCCTCCAATGATGATCCGATGGAATCCAATTCTGTTGCGTCCAACATAACTGTCATACCGTCCAAATGGTCCCAGCTGTTGAATTCATTGCCAAGAAATGTCGGTGTGACCCTCACAAATTCATCCAGTTGACCTTGCAATCTGTCACGACGCCGGGCAATGGCCAGCTTCTGATTGTCGGTCGGCCGTTTTCCCATCTTTTTGACATTGATCAGGAGGGCTACTTGCACTTCCTCCAGCGTCATTCCACAGGCCAGCCAAGTTGCAGCACCCCGGTGAATCTCACCGGCGGGCCATTGCGCCTGACGGTTCAGTAGGTGCAACTTTTGCTGTTTTCTTGTTGGTGCTGTGCCACAAGCATATCAGCATATTCAATATACAAGAGTCCCATTGCGACAGACCTTTTGTCAACTGAACTTCATATATATCCATGGAGCTGGGATTATGAAGTCGGTCATCCTCAGCAGCAGTGGCCTCTGCTTCCCATTTGACAAGGGTGTCATCTTCGGCGGTCTCACTCAACCGGTCAAATGCATGTCAGCTGTCTTGGACTCCTTGCACTGCCTCCTTAAATTTTCGGCAAAGGAATTTGCCTAAATGCATTTGAATTTGCTAGCTGGATAACATGATATTGCTCACTAATGTGTATCATCTTTATAAAATTGCAATCATTCATCTGAAAGTCCAAACACTCCTTTCGGTGAGGGGTGGACATCCCTCTTGCTGACGGTGATATGATGTTCAAGGGCGCCCACAGGGTCTCCATGATTTCGCCGTCGATTCTGGTGGCACCTGTTATGAAATTGGATGCATACCGCACATAGCATTTGTCTTGATGGCCGTGGACATGCCAGAGCCCGATGCCAGGAATAATCTCCATGCCCCATGGAAGGTCAAGATAGGGCGAGTCCTCAATCCGCTTGCTCAGATGCTTGTTGTATTGACAATTAATGTCATAGAATGTCAATGCCCAATCAATACCATCGGTGTTGTACCCCAGAGCTTGACACAGCGCATAATCCATGTTCATTTGCCTGTGACCGGCCGACTCATCAGTTCAACGTGGCTGATTTAGCAGTTGGAACGGCGAACCTTTCCCCCTTCTGGAAGTCCACCATTGAATGAGGGACAAAACACCCATGTCTCGCGCAAGCACACCCTCCTATCCCTGTGGCTTCCAGCCGGTGGCAGGAAGCATTTGCTTGGTTGACCACTCGGTGGTTATTACAGTCTGACCTTTGCACAATGTCCTGCACCTGGGATAGATGCATTTTGTATCGGGCATCGCTGACCATGAAGCCCAAGCCGTCAGTCAATGCCACTTCATTGGTTGGATTGGTGGGATGTAAATGCTCGGCCTTGAAATTGCCATCCATGACCAAAGATCTCAAATACAGCCATGCAGGGTCGGATCTGTTTCTGTCTGACATACTGAGGTTTACACTGGGCTGAGGACATGCAGGACAGAAGAGTGCAAGCTCCCCTGCCTTCAGCTTTCGCTTCTCATGGCCAAACCCATGCCACTTGAGCTGCTTCACTTGTCTCCACTGCCTGCCGACCCTCATCAATTCTCTGTACCGGTCCTTTCGGCTATTGTGAGCAATGCAATGCAGGAAATCCACATCACTCACTGGAACCAGATGAGGGAACACGCTTGATGTGATTCTCCTTAATTTACTGTAGTAGTTCATTGCCGATGTCCTGCATTCCAGGTTGTCCAGCAGGAAGTCGTCCAACACTGCAAATGTAAATGCTGTCTTCGGTGAAGTAAAAGATGCAGGGAAGAGACAACCATACTGCAGTCCCATGTTGAGGACTGGGAGAAGGCAAGTGGAACTGAGCGACAACAGATCTTTAAAGCAGCCGCAAGAGAGGCAAAACTTTTCGCTCCAAAGATGGACAAAGAGCTCTTGAAGCAACGAAAAGAGGTAAGCTTTTCGGCTTTGATCTCGGTCATGCTGCATTACAGTCATCATGCACACAGAGATACAGGCAGTGGTTCTACAATCACAAGAAACCCAAGGTTAATGCCAAAGTGCCGATGAAGCTGCAAAAGAAATGGATGGCCCGCCAAGTCATCGAAGAGGAGCGGAAGGCCGACATTCTTCAGCAAATACACGAAGAAATCGAGGAGGAGACTGGGCAGAAGCCTGAGCAGAAAGAAGTCCTCAGAAGATATCAACCTACCATGACGGCAATCATGAAAGGGCTCAACGATGATGAGTTGGAGGAAGCCCGGGCAAAGGCCGACCAGTGGACAAATCAAGCGCCTGACCCTGTAGTCCAGGCCAAGACAGCTAAGAAGAAGGGCGAAAAAATGATCAAGCACTTCGCGAAAGAGATGTTTACTCAGGCCGGTATGAGACTCTTTGTATTGGGTTCCTGGAAGGATGAGAAGGGCGGCCTACTTACATCCAGGCAAGTTGATACAATCGGTCGGTCGGTCGGTCAGTCATTTTGCTTACATCGTTTGGCAGGTTTGACTTCAATGAACACCTTGGGAGAGGATCCAGCTTCATGAAATGCAAGGACTGGCAGGTCATCTTACCGGCATGGGAAGATTTCATTGGTGATGAATTCGGTAAGTCTCAAGACCATCTGAGAGGCGCTTCATATAATTTATGTTACCTCCACCAAGACCAGGATCAAGACCAAGACGGCATGCTGCTGGGAGGCACTCGCCGAGTCCCAAAGCCTCATTACAAGTTCGACCTGGACCATATGGATTTGCCGATATTGCCCAACATTAAGGGTGTCTCGCTTGAAGTCAAGAAGTCAATGATTCGGTCATTCCTCACCATTCATTACAGTAAGCCCGATGATAGAAGACCCGTGCCATAATCTGACACCCGCCACCATAGGAATATGTTGCAGAAAACGGAAGGTCCCAGTGCCTTGGAGCGACATAATGAAGGGGCAGTCTCGGTTCATCTCCAGCACATTCCTGCCAAATGATATCAAGATCACAGACCCGTCCAAAATGCAACAGGAATGAAGCCAATGCCTTGTTGGAATATTGGCTGGACCGACAAGACAACCAGGTTGAACTAACATTGAAGTTCAAAGCCTGGATTGACGACAAGGGCAAGATGCATTCTCCAGTCGGCGAAGGGTCTGATGGCTCTGATGGCGATGCTGATGATGAAGGCTTATGGCCCAGGCCAACTACAAAGTCATCAGGCCAACTGTTGCACTCTCATCGGCCAGACTTCCAAAAAGGCCACCAAGGTTCATCAAACAAGCTCCTATTGGTTCTGCCAATGAAGAGTCTAACAACACCGATGCCCCCGAACATGTGGAGAAAGATGCAATGACAGCACACAGTGACCGGGTGGGGCGCGAGTTGGAGTCAGATGACCGACCGCGACCGAAGAGCTTGCGTAAGAGAGCCACAATTGAGCCTGCCATCATCTCACTGCCAACAGACTTCGCACAAATGGGCCGACCGGTGGTAGAGTTGGTCAGAAAAGTTACTCATAACAGACAAGCCACTACCGCAGGCAAGACCAGCATGCCCACTGAACAGGTGACCGAGGGATCAGTTGATGAAAGTGGTGGCAACACTGCACCCAAAGCCGGCTATGACGCAAGTGGTGCTCATCATGGTGGCCAGCACATTCGTAGCTTCGGCCCACATTCAACTCGTCGGGGTATGGAACATCTTCTTGCAACACCAGCGGCAAATGACCAGGTCGACCAAGAAGACCAAGGCAACTAGGAATATATTGCCTGCGGAAAATGACCGGTTGCCGAGAAAATTGCTTGCCACCAGAGCCAGGTCACCAGCTGCTGAATGACCAGTCACCCTCGCCCGCGGTAAATGACCGGTTGCCAAAGAAATCACTTGCCACCAGAGACAGGTCACCGGCGGTGAATGACTGGTCGCCCAAAAAGACCAAGGCTACCAGATTGGCAGCTCGCTCGCTCTCTGATGCACCAGCCAGGGGTACAAGGAGTAAGATTGACAACGGGCTTGGCGCCCGAATTTGACAAAAGCCCAAGAGATATGCCGACTATGTGTAGTTGTTGGTGGTCTCACACGTCATGTGGCTTGTTCCATTCTGCTTGGTCTTCAATGAGTTTGGTATTTAGATTGTATTTGAACACATGATATATACATTGTCATCTCTACTCTATCTTCTACACTACTAAATTGGAGAATGTCCCCGGCCCATTTTCCTCATTGCTAGCAGCAATATATGCAGGGGATCATCAATCTCGCGGTGCATGTTCATCATATGTTGGAGTTTCGCAACGTCATCGCTGGCTGCCACAAATTGGTCACGGGCATGCTGGTAATCAGCGATCAAATCCTGGTTGGCGTCCAAGAGATCTCTGCAACCTTGCCGTCGGTCATCTCCTGTAACACGGGGATCCTTGGCATCAGTTCAATGATGAGAAGAAATATAGACCTATGCATTGCAGCATCAATATTTTCTAGCCTGGAATTTGCTCGGCACAGCAATTCCTCGCCTGCCTCGACTGTCTGACTCGGTGAGCCATCCCTCGGTGCCGGAGATGTGGTCGGCGATATATTCTCAAAACACAGATCATACGGTGCCGGAGTGTCTGCTGTTGGATTTAATCGTCAGTGTCTGTTACTTACATTGATAAAGCATTTGAACGCACCTGCATTGATCAAGTTAGTCACTGGTGCAGCAATAGAACCACTTTCAAGGTGATCATCTCCTGCCAATGGTGAATCACCCCAGCACATGTCAAAATTGCCTGAATAATATTTAGTCATGGTCGTCAGTGCTCATGACCGATGCTCACCTATATATCCCATTGCTTCTGCAGATGCACGGTCATTCCAACACATATTGTATTGACCGGCTCCGCTGGGTATTGCGATAGCGATGGTCTCATTCTCTTTGATGTCCGGCTGGTGGATCAGCGCCACATTGACCTTTGGTAGACCTTCCTCGGCATTCCAACATAGATTATATTCACCTGCTTTCAGTGGTATGGCTGCTTCCGCCGGATCAGTCGCTGCTGGATTGACCTGAGTGTCCCAACACATGTCAAATGCTAATCACTTCGTTAGATGTCTAAAATATTCTAAAGGGACTGGAGTTACCTTGGCTTAGCACGTGCGGGTCAGCCGATGGAGTGTCATTCGGTCGTTCCACCGTCGGCACTTGATCATCCTCGAAATTCCAGGACATGTCAAATCCTAGCGTTGTCAACAACCACTAAGGATCAATGTGACCTAACACTCACTTTCAGTACCGGCATGTTGGGTGGGTAGTGCTTCGGTTTGTGTCTGCCAGGATGGCATGTTTGAAAGTATATAGTTTGTTAGTTTGAGGCCATTTTGAGAGGAGGGAGTTGTGCACAACTTCGGTGGCACCCACTGGTCCCAAGTGACGAAAAAATTGCAGTCGGTTTTGATGCGGTCGTCCTGTAGCCTTCAAGCATTGTCAACCGAATTCTTGTGGGAACCCATAGAGGTCTTTAGGGAACTTACACTCTGCAGTGGGTAAACAATAAAGAAGTCTGAACGTTGCTGCCACACTTTGGCCATTTCCGTAGTTCGGCCATTTCCGTGTTTTGGTCATTTCTGGCAGTCTTACAATGTGGCACCCTTTGTCACATTTTCTCATTCCTCACTCACATTGAACATCGTCGCCGTCACTTTGCGTCAATTCTCAACCATGCTGTCACAACACGAATCCGATCTTGCTTTGGCGCTTGCCGACAAATCCCTGCGCGATTCACTTAGCCGAATCACACACTTGGCAGCTGATGGCCAGGATGTGATGGATCAGGCGCATGAGATTGCGTGGCAGCTGGTGTGTCTGTTTTCACTTTCATGATTATTTACCTACTCACCATGCACAGTCTCAAGCGCTGCAGCAGCATGGCAGGACGTGCTCGGTCATCTCGCTGTTCCTTCTTTCTGCAGCTGCTGAAATACGGGCAACCATGAATCAAGGTCTTGCCCCCCAATGGGATCATGTATGCAACGATGATCATTGTATGCAGTCACATCTGTTCTTCCCAAAGACTGCTGGATATCATGCGTCAGCATTCCTTTCATTCCAAATGAGTGCGCTAATACCATCACAGAACACACAGCTGCTGCACCTGCCCCTGCCCCTGCCCCTGCCCCTGCGCCTGAACTGGCACCTGAACTGGCACCGGCACCGGCACCTGCAGTTGCACCGGCACCGGCACCAGAACCAGCCCCAACAAGGATGTCTGTTCCACCGATCACTTCACTCCCTCGCATTGGTCATTCCCAACATCCGGTCGTTCCTGGCACCATGACTGACAAGGGCAAACAGTCTGACCAGGGGACTCGTAGAACCAGAGATGACAGCCCTGACGCCAAGTCCAGCAGGAAGAAGCAAAAGATTTTGAAATGTATGTCAAAGGCTATCATCTCCGACACCGAGGATGAGGACAGGCGGCCAACAGGCACCATCATAGTCAAGGTATGTCTTTCTTTCACCATATTCAACTAACCACTTACATGACCTTAGCGGCCCAAGGTTGCTGAATCCTCCGGTGTAGCGCCGGTCAAATCACAGGTAAGCATGGCAGTACTGCCAGTGCCAATATCATTGCTGAGGACTTTGCAGGGTACGACGAAACATGTCAAGCAGGTGAGATTTACCTCGTCCTGTGAGTCTGCCGAACTCAAGACTCTTCAGCCGGCCACCGAACCAAAGATCGGCTGAGCCCAGCCAAAGGGCAAAGGAAAGGAAAACAATGTTGACATCGCCGGGCCTATCAGAGGGCGCCGGCCACTGAGGGCCAATGATGAGGAGGAGGTCAGTGAGGCAAGTTCATTCCAGTGACAGAGTACTAACTTTTTCACAGTACACTCCGCCGTGCGACAGATGCATCGGGGAGTCTTGCCTCATTGTGGTCAGCAGGAAGGGGCAGGCCATCAAGTCCTGTGCCAAGTGCCATTTTATGAAGGTACGGTGTGAGCGACCAGTGTCAGTCGATACACGCGGCCCTGCAACAATGCGGGCTCCAAAGTCACATCCTCGGCCAAAGGCCGCCCCTGCCTCCAAGTCCAAGGCCCAATCCAGGACCACCAGAGCAACCTCGCGCGCACGTCCACCAACTCCCATGGTGGAATCTGAGGATTCTGCTGAGGATCCCAGTAGGTAATTTTGTTTCTTTGCCATGACACACTCTAACTCACCTTTGCAGAGGCGTCTGTCACTGGCCACGATGATGCCAAGATGGATCCTGTCACTGACGCCAAGCAGCACACTGATATCGCTACTGAGATGTCAGCCGAGGCCGCCGATCAAATCATGGATGACCAGCCTGGAGCCATTGCTTCTGTGGACGACTTCCCCCATGACCATTGGCTGGAGAACACTCACGACTTGCCTGTCCCTCATGTCCCACCAACTCGTGTCGCCGATGCTGTCTCCCTTCCTTCGGCGCCGTCAGCACCTACCATCCTCAACCATGTGCTTGCCCTAACAGCTCAGGTTAATGCCATGCAAACGGCTGATGACAACGCCCTTGCTAGGGTGAATGCGATGGAGCACGATTTTGACGCTCGCATCTCCTCGATGCGTGCTGAGCTTTCGGCCGTGCAACTTGATGTCGGCACCACTGTCACATTGGTGAATGGACTTGTCGGTCTTGTTGAGAAGCTTCGGCAGGAGCATGTCCTTGCCAATCCATCGTTCCCACCACCCATGGTGAGCCATGGCAATGATTCCACTGCCACTGCATTCAGCATGAGGTACCTCAACGGCGTGTTTGGTCCTTCCATTGCTCCTATGCCCCTTTCTGTTGGTGTCAGTCAAACCTCAGCTTCCCGCTCTTTTGGTCATCCTGACATGCAGGGCAGCACTTCCATCTCTGGACATTTGTCTTTGGTGTCAGCAAATGCCGGTCCCTCATCCGCTCCTGCTCCAGGTGAATCACATTTTGCTGTCAAGCCACCTCCTTCTGCCACAAACTCCCCCCCCTGATCACTCAGTTCATTACATAGTTGTACTGTAGATCACTTGTCCGTCGGCGAATTACATCTACATATCACTTGGTTTTAATTGAATTGTTCTGATGTCAATCCTATTGTACATTGACTCCTGTGTGATTTCAATGTCAGCCCAGTTGATCTTGATGTGTTTCTGCCGATTTATTATACATTATATTTGACCGAGATTAGCTTGACCGAGGTGGTCCCTAGCAAACACATAATGGCAGCTAGTCCATGAAAAACCTATTGACCGACTCATTCATTTGTCATATTTGACCGACGTGGATCTGACAAGTCCATCATGCATGCTCGTCTATTAATACCTACATATTGACCAACTGGCTCATCCATGATATTTGACCGAGTGCCTTTTGACCGAGGTGGTTCTGCTGTGTGTATTGCGGAAGCTATGCAGTGAACACCGACCGATTGACCGACCCGTGTCTATGATTGTTCTATATACTTAGACTCTCGGCCCATCTGTGTATATCGGTACCACCGCCCACTCGGCCCGCTTGTTCGTATCAGGCACATACTTTATACACTACCTACCAAAGTCAATAGAACAGTCTGCACTGGTATACTACACTACACAGTACTATGGGCCCACTGTTTGTATCAGATAAACACTTCCATTGGCCCACCTGTATTTAACACAGCAATACATTCATGGGCCCACCTGTATTTAACACAACAATCCATTCATGGGCCCACCTGTTCATATCAGGTATATATTCCATACCCTACCTACCATATAATACCTACCAAAGGCAATAGGAACGTGTACACTTATCTACTATACCACACACTATGGGCCCACTGTTGATATCACATATACCCTTGACATGGGCCCACCTGTATTTAACATAACAATATATTGATGGGCCCACATTAGCTGGCCTGTTCAGAACAGGGTACTTTCAACCTTGGCTGTATGTATTATACAAGGTAAAGTGACTGCAGTATGTGCTCATACCTTGCATCCTCTTGTACCTCGTGTCCTCTTGTACCTCGCGTCTCGTGTACCTTGTGTCCTCTTGTACCTCTTGTACCTCTTGTACCTCTTATACACCATCTAGCGCGTCCTCTCATATCCTCTTGTTTTAGCACTATATGACACTTTCAAAGCTTTTTTTTTTCATTGAGTGGCGTGCCAATGTGGGTGCTCGGAATATAGTGCTACAGATAAAATATTCATAAACCAAATTGCATTGTGAATGTAAGAACATAAATACGAGGTGGCAACATATTGAAAGGGTAAGATCTCCATAAACATAACATTTGAAACATAAATAATGGGGAGGCACGCGAGCCTTGGGAGGAGGAGGACACCTCCCGCAAACGAGGATACCTTGTAGAGGTGTGTGTTGACATTCAACATCGACTCTTCTGTATTCCTTTCTTTCGTTTGTCATCACGGACTCTATAGCACGCACCTTATCATTACTTTGTATCACATTGTTTGTACCTCAGCGCTTCTTTCACCAATGCTGAGGTACAGTTCATGTTTACTTTGCACGCTGCCTTTCACTTACGATGTTTCATCTCTAGACTTGTTCCTTTAGGTACTATGAATGTTAGCGCTTCTTTCACCAACGCTGAGACTTGTTCCTTTAGCTTTCACGTTCCTACAGTGTGCAAGAGGTTGCACTGTGCACAACCCTCCCAGGGAGTTTGGTGAGAACCTCTCTGGGAAGGTAGGTCTCAGAGGCCCGCGAGAGAATGAGAGAGCACGTACTATTATTAGAGGGCGGGAGGGGGGGTCTCGGAGACCAGTTTCCCATGACATGGAAACCGGGTCTGTCAGACCCGTGCGAACGGTAGGAAAGTGCTGCCAAGGGTGCTAGATTGAGCAAATTGAGAACCTTGTTATACTTACATGTTTGGTTCAAGTACAAACTCCATATTGGAATGTGCAGATTAGCGTGGGTGCACATGGGCAGGCATTATCAGATCGGAAGTCTGTAGAGAAAATGAAATTGAGTTGTGGCATATAGCTATGTCAGCATACTGGCTAAAGTATGTGTGATACTTACATGTCAATTCAAACCCGATACTGGACGAGGATGAGCTGAGAGGATTGGCGAGATGAGTTACATCAGGAAAACCCTCCCATGTAAACTTAGATAAAGCTGTTCGGATTAGATCTTTTTTCGTGCAACTAATACATATTAGACATATTAGATGGGCTAAACATCCTAGCCAGACTTTATTGCTGATTTTTAATTAGCCATACCTTGCTGCTATTTAGAACAATTAGCCATACCTTGCTGTCATTTAAAAACAATTTGACATGTCCTAGTAGACACCTAGGAAAGCCTTTACGCGCCCTAGGAAACACTAATAGGAAGACTTTCACACTTTGAGTACATGAAAAAATTAATATCATTAAAATCGGGTATCAGGCTGATGCAGTAATGTACGACTCATATGAGCAAAACAAGCACGAGAAAACATAGCGAGTGGTGAGATATAGCGAGCAGTGGGGTATCGAAGATTAAATCCTATGTCCTGCAAAATATGGCACAGCGTCAGTGAGGTATTCTACTCGTCATCCATTCCCTCAAGGTCCAAGAATGCTAGATCGGTATCTTTGTCATAGACTCCAATTGTGTCACGACGTAAATGCCTGTAAGCAACAGTAAGTCAGCAATGTGTATACCAAATTGGATGTGGACTTACTGGACCTCCTCGTAAATATCGGCCATCATTTTGTGAAACTTGACAGGAGCCGTCCTTCGGATTCTCTCCAACAACGCCACTGTGGTATGTATAGATATCACAGAATTGGTTACCAGTGAACTTGAAATCTTCACCTGCCTTGTTCTTCTTTGCAACGAGAACAGCATGGATCTAACAACAAAGAAGTGAGTCAATGAACAGATGAGTGCGAACACAAACTTACAGCTGTGCTGACCATGGCCAACATGGGGATAGGGATTTCTGGTCGACCAGTTTTGTTCTCCGCAATGTCAAGAAAGTGCTGAGCAAACTGCAAACCAACTGACTTCGTGTTTTTGAAGAATGTCTCGTATAGAGTGTCGACTATGGGCTGCCCTTGATATGGCTTCTGTCGTTTTGGAGAAGGAAGACCCTCAGCCTTGATGCGAGGTGTCAGTGGGATGTCAAATTCTTGTGCGAAAAAACTAACATCAAATGTCTGCGGAAAAATGTAGGAATGACCCGCAAGGAGACGGTCAACGATAGCATTGCAGTCACGGCCGAGTCGAAAGTAGCCTGGGGCATATTTATAGGCGACGTCCTTGATTTCAGTGCGGAAGAGGCTCGCACGAGCATCAATCTATAGCAGGTGTCAATATTAAATCAAAGTAAGACAGATTACTTACTAGATTGGCGAGTGCCGACAAATACTCATCATCAACATACATCCGTTTCTCAATTGGCGCTGTCTTGTGGTGCTTCGCAGCCTGAAGTAAGATTTCCCGCGCATATGAGTTCTTGGCCACAATTTCAGGGTACCCGTGCTTGAAGGCAATGTATGCCTTGACCTCGAAGGATACCATGATGGATCACCTTGCGAAGCTCCGTGTTCTGGTCCGTAAGTCGCACTGACCCAGTCTTCGTGTAGACAAGATCAGCCATCGCGTCAGCATGTGGGGGCACATCGGGCTCAGGTTTGATTTCGAGGATGGAAAGGTCTTCCTCATCTTCCTTGACTTGTACTGCGGAGGAGGGCGTATTGCTCTTGCTACTGTGTTTGAGAGGCTGCGGTCCAAAGGATGACCTCGTCATTGGAGAGTCCCACATGGGGATCTATTGAGCGAATTTTGGTTTCAGTAGACTCAGAATACAAAGGAACAAAATATATTCTTACTTCAGGCAGTATATTTCTTTTCTTTCGCACTCCAAGGCCTGTATTGTGAGCCCCATACAGGTGGTGGAGGTGTTGGTGACTGGGACAGAGTATATCTGGTCTTCCGAGGTCTGCCAGACTTACTCTTTGCAGGCTTTTTCTGGCGGTCTGCCTGTGTATTGACAATTGCAGGAACCTTGAAAGTTCATGCAGATTACTTAAGCTTATTGAATGCAGTGCGAAGTGACTCACCTCTTCAAACAGAGCTTTTGCGATGCTCTCGACTGGCTCTGATCCTGAGTCCGACATTTCAATTTCGGAGCTGGAAGCTCTATCAGAGACACTCTGCTTGCTAGCAGTGTCCGAATCAATATCTGACGGTTCAACACTGACACGAGCTATAACTTTCAACCATTAGTAAGAGTGTCACGTGGCAACACGCAATGCTGACCCCTCTTCTTTAACCGCTGAGGTTGGCTAACCTCCACGTTGTCCTCAGAGTCTGATGCGAGAGGTGGCGGCCGCTCTAATCTTTCTGTGAGCAAGTTTGGCTTTTGTGTGGGCACTGATACTTACTGCAGCTTTTGCTTTTTCCAGTTCTGAGGGGAGGTTCTGGCGCCCTTGCTTTCGTTCCACCACCTGCATCCATCATGGTGGGTCATCACTACAGGTGAGCTACTACTAATCGCGACTTACTTTTGACTGACTTGACCCGTTTTGGAATAGGTGCAATATCATCAGTGGGTGAGCGTTCGTGCTTGCGTGCCCGTTTGTTTCGGCGGAGTGGTCCCCAAACTGCCACAAAGTATCATTGTGAGTATGAATTTGTATGGTGACAATGTGCTTACCTGGATTGTCTAGAGCCTGATCTTTTGCCTTGCGTCGTACTTGAACCAAGTGAGTTTTAACTTTGTTGTCATGAAAAATTTCTTACGCCGTGGATGCAAGTCCATTGAAGGGAAATTAAGGTCGGAAGGAGTAAAAAGTCTGAAAAACGAATGTGAGAATGCCTTTCTGCTGGAGAAAGACCGCTTCAAAAAGGTGAGTGAGTGTTTTTATTTAAGTTGGGGTCAGGCATTTAATTTGAAACAGTCCGCTTATTATACTGAGCGCTGAGCCAGGGTTGACCCTTTCCTTGTCTGGCTTAGTTTGCTATTTGGTGAGTTTATGTTCAGAAACTTAAAACACAGCTTTACAAAGTAGTCCTAGTGCGCACACCATTCTCTTCTTAGTAACGGTCCTGTCAATCGGGAACTTTCTTATTGGTGGCACGCTAATCGGATGCAAGTCGTTTCCTCCGTTTACGGACTATCAAGAAGCATTTTCCTCTCCATTACCACCCTCTATGTTCCACTACGGCACTTGGCGAAAGCCATTTCCTTCGTTTACGGACTATCAAGAAGCATTTTCCTCTCCATTACCACCCTCTATGTTCCACTACGGCACTTGGCGAAAGCCATTTCCTCCGTTTACGGACTATCAAGAAGCATTTTCCTCTCCATTACCACCCTCTATGTTTAGCATCTTCAACTAGTGTTCTTCCCTAGTAACGGCCCCATCGGCTGGGAACTTTTGGCATTCCCCCGTTTACGAACTATCAAGAAGCATTCTCCTCTCCATTACTACCCTCTATGTTTGTCGTGTTCAGCTACTGTGCTTCGCAAAAGTCATTTATCTGATGTGCTTAACGAGTCTGATATCTGGTTCCGTCACTGCAAGACTTGAATTTACCAATCTCCGAGCATGCGGAATACCGTCATCACTTTACCCAATATTTCTTACTTCGGCAGAGCCTCACAGCCTCTTACATGCTGCTGACACCACTTTTTTGCTCTGACTGTCAGACTCGCACACTTTATTTGTCCTTACTGTTGACTGACAAGTTGTAAGTGATTTTCAGGCGTTCAGTGTTCATTTTTTATTGAATCTACGCAGAACATGCCCGAAATAACATGTCCTTCCTGCGATAAAAAGCTTGCATCAATCACCGGTTATAGTCAGCATCTCGCAAAAACCACCAATCCTGCCTGTCGTACCCTCTACCTTTCCTCACAGGCGATTCGCTCCAGACCCAGCAAATGATGTAGATATAGACACACCTGATCCAAATCATCTGCTGCATTTTGAAGGTGATTTTTTTGGAACATACGCTGAGGATGGGTTTGCATGGCCAGGGTCAGATGACGAGGGGGATGTTGGTCAAGCACCTATGGATGAAGATGACTCAGATAATGACATCAACGATCACGACGAATGGGAGCCTCCTGCAGCACCAGCACCCTCAAGTCATTCTGCGGAGCATCATGACACTAACAATCATGACGAATGGGAACCTCCTGTAGTGCCAGCACCTGCGCACAATGATGCCTTACACCCACCTACTGCAGATCAAGGCCAAGATGCTTTTCATATGGTGCAGCGGTGACTTCTTGAACACGAACAAGTACCTATAGTTGTCCATTACCCTGATCAACGAGCTGGACAGCCCATCGACTCAGCCATCAAGCAGCCAAGCAATATAACCTACCATGTACAGCTTAATGGCTCGAGTGCAGATAATATTTATGCCCCATTCGCCTCAAAGTTTGATTGGGAGATGGCTCGATGGGCAAAATTACGAGGTTCAAGCTCAACTGCATTCTCAGAACTTGTTTCTATTGAAGGTGTAAGTCCATGCTTTACTTGAACACTAGGATCAATCTAATTGTAGCACTTCCAGCTTAGCTAAAAGATTGGTCTTTCCTTCAAGAATACACGGGAACTGAACAAGATCATCGACGATGAACTTCCAGGCCGTCCGAAATTCAAACACGATCAGATTGTCGTTGCTAATGAAGCGTTTGATGTCTACTATCGCGATATCATTGAATGCATCAAGGCTCTTTTCAGTGATCCAAGTTTTGCTGACTTTCTGGTCTTTGCGCCTGAACACCATTATGCCGACGAAGATGAGACAATTCGTTTATATCATGAGATGCATACTGGAAAATGGTGGTGGAATAGTCAGGTCGGTGTTTTCTACCTTTTGTGAGCTTCAACGTACTAATATTAATATTGTATTCTTCCTAGAAACACTTAGATCACGAGCGCCCTGGTGCTACAATAATTCCCATCATCATTTCATCAGACAAGACTCAAGTTACGATGTTTCACAACAAGACAGCATACCCCGTCTACATGACTATTGGAAACATCCCAAAGGATATTTGTCGGAAACCGTCACGCCAGGCACATGTCCTCCTCGCATACCTTCCAACTACTCACCTTGAACACGTTACCAACAAAGCTGCTCGCCGACCGATGCTTGCCAATTTATATCATGCTTGTGTGGGACGTGTACTTGCACCACTCACAGCTGCTGGCATCAATGGCATTAATATGCGAAGTGGTAATGGAATAATGCGTCGAGGCCATCCTTTGTTTGCATGTTTTGCAGGAGACTACCCAGAGCAAGTTTTAGCTACCAGAGTCAAGACAACTCAATGTCCAAATTGCAATGTTCCCTCCGACGAGCTTGGTGTAGCAACTGGTGTCGCAAATTGGCAACCACGAGACCTTGGTGCAGTACTTGATGCCCTCTGCGCTCTTGACCAAGGTGGATTGGCCTTTGTGCGTGCATGCGCAGATGCTGGCATTAAGCCTATTGTCCACCCATTCTGGGAGGGACTACCCTTTGTCAATATATTCGAATCCATAACTCCTGATATTCTGCATCAACTATACCAAGGGCTCGTCAAGCATCTCCTCGCTTGGCTTTCTGATGCATGTGGCAGTACGGAGATTGATGCACGATGTCGACGCCTCCCCCCAAATCACCATATTCGACTATTTACGAAGGGCATCACAACTCTTTCACATGTAAGCGGTACAGAACATAATCAAATTTGCCGTTTCTTGCTCGGCATCATCATCGACATCAGTCTACCTAATAATATGTCTTCCGCTCGACTCCTCCGTGCCGTTTGTGGTCTGCTAGACTTTTTATATTTTGCTCAGTACCCATGTCACAGCTCTGAGACGCTGGTTTTACTTGACGAGGCACTTAACCTTTTCCACGACAACAAGGACATCTTTATTGACCTTGGCATTCAGAATTCCTTCAACTTGCCAAAACTCCACTTCACAGCTCACTACGCTCACATGATTCGAATGTATGGCACTACGGACAACTACAATACCAAATACACTGAACACCTTCACATCGACCTTGCGAAAGATGCTTATCGCTCTATGAACCACAAGAATGAGTTTGGTCAAATGACGACTTGGCTTGAACGAAGGGAGAAAATTTCACGTCACGAGAAATACATTCAGTGGAGACTCATCGAAAACACCACATGTCCGCATCATCAGCCCCGTCCCCCAGAAATGACATTTCGTCGTACTCAAACGATGACAAAGCATCCTACCATCAAGGCGGTCACATTGGACAAGGTCACAAACAAATATGGTGCCACGCACTTTAATGAATGTCTCGCACGTTATGTTGCGAAAGCTGCCCTTCCTGTCGACACTACTGTTATGGCCAGGCAGCTCGAAGATCGAGCAGCTGATATACACATCCCATTTCAAAGACTACCGGTCTTTCACAAGGTGAAATGGCTCTTGGATAATGTTCGTGGTGATGGGGATCCTCCGGTCACAGTCGATAGTGTCCATGCACGTCCTGGACGATCAGGAAAATTTACATCCGACAGTGTTGCGCCACGATTTGATACCGTGTTCGTTAATGATGGCACAGGCGGGTCACTTGGCATCAAAGGTGAGTGCTCTGAATTGTGCTGTTGACTGGTACTCAGCGGTTACTATTTAGGATATCGAATTGCGCAAGTCCGTATCATATTCTCGATACCTCCCAAAGCCATCCCCCAACTTTTCCCGTCCACATTTCAGCCTCCGACACATCTCGCATACGTCGAATGGTTCTCTGCCTTCCGTGTACCTGATCGAGATCACGGCCTGCACAAGGTCTCGTGTGTCGTTAAAAATGGAGAACGAATGGCCAGCATCATACCAATCAGCAATATTCGTTGTAGTGCCCATTTGATTCCGCATTTCGGCTCTGTAGCTCCTCGTGAATGGACCTCTGCTAACGTTCTTGATGAGTGTTCATCATTCTATGTAAATACATACTTAGATCGATACAGTTTTGCAACACTGCACTAGTTGCCAATGATTATCATTAGCTTGCACTATACTATTGGTCTTAGAGCTAGCTACTATAAAATTTCACAGCTTGTGAAAATTTGTCTAAGAACATCTAATCTATCTAAGTCTATATGGGAGGGTTTTCCTGATGTATATTGTGAGATGGGGTCGGTTAGATAGCGAAAGCAATCTTATTTAGAACGAAGACAAGGTGAACGGTTTGAATGAATTGGAAAATGTGAACACAGTGTTATGTATCCATGAATTCGGGGTGCAGTCAGTTGGAGTATCTTTGTGGCGTACACACAAAGTCTCATTTCGATTCTCGGCAAACACCAAAGGTAGTAATGGCTTTTATCACAGCTTGTCTACCTTGGACCACATGTAAATCTCGCCAATGATGCCTGAGTCGATTCTTAGATTAGATACAGTCCTCAACCATTTGCTGTATGTATGAGTATATGTGCGTATCCCCTCTGTATGTAAATGTATGTCCATGGAGTAGTAGGATTTGACCAGGGGTATATCTAGCACGAACACTGCCCATTCGCTCACACCCATCCCTTGAACATGACCTTCATCTCAAATAATCCCGCTTACTGGCCGTATCTCAGTTTGAATATTTATTTGAGCTATTGGATAGGTTTGTCGCATCAACTTGAAGATGTCTAGATCTAACGTTGACGTGCGGTTTCACAGTTGCCGTGGTTGCTGTGGTGGTATACGATTGGGGTGAGCAGGACAGTGTTTGAAAATCGCTGATATTCTCATGATATTTCCAGTCTTAACACTAGGACAAGAGGTACGTCGACGGTCAATGTCATCGCCAGAGCAGCCAACTCCCTAAGAATGGTGTCATAGATTGAACTCATCTGGGTGAGTGGCAAGAGTCGTGTATCAGAAGAGAACAAGAGAACACAATTAATTGGCGGCAGAGACAACGCTGGTCTCTCATGACCATGTTGTATTTGATTGTTAGTACCTCATGTTGTGCTTTGGTGTGGTGGGCAACTTGTGCTGACTCCACAATGTTCTAGGTACACTACATTGGAATACCAGCTGCTCTGTATGTGTCAAGACCAACAACTTTTGACTGTGCTGATAACTCATCTCTGACAATTAGTGTCCATGTTCTGTGTATATCTCATATGCGCTCCATCTCATTGTTCTGACCGGCGAGATACAGAAGTTATGACATCGGTATCGCTGACAGATGCAGTGAGTATTCTGCAACCATCTCATTCTCATCCAATCAATACACTCATATGTAGGGGTGAGTGGGATTACAGCCATTGAACTTGGCTCGACATAATGACTTGATAGGTGTAAGTCGGAGTCTTTGATTCTAGTGTGAGGGTGTTCACTAATTAGGAGTTTTAGGCTCTATCATGTACTCCGCAGTAAGTTGGACAAATGTGGCCTTGACTGCCATGTTGGGCGGTGAGTGACCCAGGTGCAATACCTCTGTGATATTGACCTGACTGACGCACAATGCAAGTCATCATGATTGCTCGGTTGCATGCCATGTATCAGGGATCTAGAAAGATCCTTATGTTCCTTCATCAGGAAAAAACAAATTTTGTGGGAGCCCTGGTGAGAGCTATGTAGCACTACATAGCTACCATAGTTCTATGTACCTAATGTAGCCGTGACTCAGACTATATAGATCTACAGCGGGCTACAGCAGACTACAGCAGACTACAGCGGACACTTGGAGGCACAATAGTCAAATTGAAGTCTGTAGTCAATAGTAGCTGAGTAGCAACAAAACTAATCAATAGCGGACATGCAGAATGTATCAATGTCAATAAAGCTATTTAAGTAAAAATCACTTGCGGACTCATAGACATTTGCGCTAGTCCATCCACGGTCAACAGCTTGTCTCATCCTCAGAATAAGATGGCAAGGACGAGCGATTTCATCGATGTGTATCACCGCTGCATTCCGGTGCAGCCAACAAGTCGAACACGACAATTGGTGCAGGCCAGATGAGCGGTCTGGCTCCCTGAGTGGTGTGAACCACTCAATGTAAGCTAAGGCTCGCGAGTAGGTCCCAAATTGACACGGCAGAGTGAAAATAACGCGAACCTGTCCCACTCGCATACCTAGTAAAATATTAACATGAATTTTTTGACGGCTCAACAAATAGTTAGTACTCACCTTCTAAAGTGCGCGGCTGAATGCCATTGCTTGTCAGGGCCATATCAAACTTAGCGGGAGATCCAGGCTTGCGTCCACGTCCAGGAAGCACTTCAGGCGTGGCTCTAACACGCCACTGCCTCGGTGATTCACTGATGAGTGGATTAGGCGGAGCAGTGATTACTACCTGTCGAAAAACATCGAAACGGTCTTGCAGACCAGGGGCAATGATAGCGTGCGGCATGTGGTTGCGCAGAAACAACTTAAGGGCTGGGAGGAACATGGACACACCATGTGCAGTGACGAGGTGCTGAACCGAATGCTGAGGGTATGCAGGTGTCTTAGCGAGAGAGTGGACCGTTCGTTGCTCAGGGAGGATGGGAAGTGTATTGACAGGGACAGTGTTTGGCCCTTCCATCTCTGAGTCCGAGTCCGAGTCATATCCGTGGTCACAAGTGAAATTGGTTGGTGCCGACTGAGACTGTTCCAACAGCCAGTTGAGGTAGGAACCACGCAGGAAGACTGCCTCCTGGCGCTGGAGCCATAAGGCCATCTGTTCTTCATAATCGCGCTTGTTACTGGCGCAATACACTTCTTTGGCGAAGTCGATGTGCAAACGTTCTGGAAGTTCACTGTTAAAGCCGTCTGTAGCGCCAAACAATAGGATAGACTGAACGTAGTGAGAGAGCTGATGTAATTTGGGAATATTAAAATGGTCGCGAATATCGAGTTGCTGCAAGACATCCTTGTTGGCGTGAAATATCGCCAGAGTGCTTTCCAGGCCATTGAGGGATTCAGTTGAGTGAACTCAAAGCTGAGCATAGTATGAAAAATCTAGAAGTGCTCGCGCAACTACTAACACTTGGCTGTAAGCAAACGAAAACAATCACGTCAGCACCAACCTCGTGCTTAGCAACAATTGAAGCTTACCTAGGGACAGCGCCAGCAAGTAGCCCAACAAATACATGCTGCATCTCTTTGTGTTCTGTCCCTGTCCACTGCTTTACCATAGATATTCCCTTCTTGAAATGCCGCAGACCGGGATAATCAGGCATCGCTTTGAACCGTGCGTCCATTTCTTCTTTGCCAACAATATCAAGGCACCACTTAACTAAATGGTCCTTGAAGATGCCTTTGTGGAGTTGGTGTAGGAGGTCGGGTGTAAAGGCCAGGAAGATGTTAGAGTGGGGGAGATTAGCCCAAAATGGAGCATAGACGGTGCATAGTCCAAATTCCTCAAATTCAGCAGGATGGTGACCAGTCTTTCGCTTCTCTAATATCCCCTTTATGACTGCAGGATCCCACATCGGCAAATCCAGTGGATCGCCTCTTTCATCCGCCGCAACTACACATTTTGGACAGCGGTTTTCCTTGCAACACGCCACCAGACACTGCTCTGGAAAGTCCGCTACATACGCGGCAAGGATCGGATACACTCGACGGATCAACGCATCAGCACACACCATTTCAACGCCGTCTTCACCTGCAGCAACAAGGGGTTGAAGGAGGAGGGACATGCAATGATGGAATAGTCGGTAGTTGGCGAGGGAGCGTTCATCAGGTGTAAAGCAGTCAAGCTTTCCTGAAGGTAGGTAACCAATCAGGACTGTCGCTCGTGCTGATGTTTGCCGCCGTTTTTCTTTAGCAATGTTTCCAATAGAGAGGTACACAGGATATGCCGTTTTGTCGCCTCGGAATTGCGACAGACTCGTTTTGTCTGTTGCAAGAATAATTGGCGCGATGGTCGCTCCTTCCGGCACCTTTTTCTGGACAACACAGGTCAGTGCTTGTCATTTTCAATGTTTTTTTTTATATGGTGCTTACTTGCATGTCACACCACCAATCTGCAGTCCACATGTCGTCTATCACCCGGTGGAGTCCTGCAGAGTCCGTGTATGCGCGAGCAGGTGTGTACACCATTTGATCCTTGAACAAAGGATTTCCGATCAAGTCCTTGATGCACTCTACAGGATTGCGCATCCACAGTTCAACATCTTTGTGCAATGGTTCGCCTTTTTCGTCTGTTCTATTTCCCTGAACGCTAATCTTCTTACAGCTCCAGGTGGCTCCATGTGGGAGTTCATCAACCTTCTTGAGGAATGATCGGTTGTTGTGGAATGAAGCTTGCATTCGGTTTCGGGTCTATCACGCTGGTCAGTACATTTTTTTGGTGCTTGATGCCAAACTTACAATCGGTAACTTTAGAAATTCATCGGTTCGAGTCTGCCCAAGGCTTTTTACAAGCCACTCAGCGAGACCCCACTCTTCCCTGGCAGCTAAAGTCAGGCAGAGGCCATCAACATGAAAGGGTACATACTCGTCACAAAATGGAGCCCACTCGTCCTCACCCATGCCTTCCTTGTACTTCTGGTATCGTTCAAATTCAGTTTCCCCTTCCCGCAGTGCCCATCCACCATCAGAACATTGCTTGAAATAGCGCCCACCACCTCCCACTACCTCACCTTCATCAGCAACATCCTCAACCGTCACACACCGACTTTTTGGTGCCGGCGGATTAAGTTCATCAGCCTCGAAAGAGTTGGACCGTGAGCGGCGAAGTGGGGAAAATGAGTTGCCAGCATCGTCGTTCTCCATAGAAGGTGCATTGTCTTCCAAGTCTTTTTCTTTAATCGTTAACTCCCATGCCATTCTGCATTTAGGCCGGTTAGCTATGTGTCTCTTGATGCCCCCCCTCGTAGGGAACTCCTTGCCACAAAATGTACAGCAGTGCGACATAGTATGTGAGTAGGTGAGTGTTTCGCCCTGGTCTTAGGTGACTTGTCTCATTGTAGTATGCCCTTTTTTTTTTTCAATGGCCTGGTCTAGACTTGAACTGGGCGCAGTTACCGGGCGCCGCGCCACAACTAGATCTGAGCACCACACCACACCACACCACACAACCCTTAATGAGTTGGAAAGTATGGCAAGTCTTGGCTGGTTTTGTTGATTGGGAGGACAATCCATGAGGTGCGCGGCTGAGTTTGTTGATTGGGAGGGGTGTGCTTATCCTGATCTTGCAACCAGACATGCCCTCACAAAGTGCAAGAGGGACTTATCCCAGTTCTGCCACCAGATGCACCCTCACAAACCTATGGATTACGGCCTCGTTTAGACTCAATCCATGCGCCAAGTCGCAACCAGGTACAGGTTTTTTTTTTTGAGGATGATCCATGAGGTGAGCTTACCCTGGTCATTCCGTCTACAGTAAGATAGGCAAAGATCCTGCCTGCCATTCTGCTTACCCTGCCATTCCGTCTACAGTAAGATAGGTACGTGCTCTTATTCTGACCGGTTTGAATGATACTTACATCTTGCCTAGTTCCCAACACAATTCCATCTACAGTAAGATAGGCAAAGATCCTGCCTGCCATTCTGCTTACCCTGCCATTCCGTCCACAGTAAGATAGGCAAAGATCCTGCCATTCTGTCTACAGTAAGATAGGCAGAGATCCTGGTCATTCCGTCTACAGTAAGATAGGTATGTGCTCTTATTCTGATCGGTTTGAATGATACTTACATCTTGCCTAGTTCCCAACACACAACCTCCATTACAATCTTCCTCGTCTAGCGAGAGAACAAGATCGAGAGAGCCAATGACCAATTCTAGTATGTTAATTCTCGTCTCTGATACTAGCTAATTTGATGTGCTATGTTAGTTTGGAAATACCATGGGCGGCCAGAAGTACCTCTAAAAGCTGCGCCCGTTTGGCTTCCTCGCACCATTTTACCTCCGCATCCCAGCGCTCAACGACGAGCCTTCGTATGCTCGCTTGTAAGATACTAATAGCTGGGCCTGGTGCTATTTCTAACAGTTGCAGTTTTTTTGCTTGCTCGCAGGCCTTCACTTCTGCCTCCCAACGCTCCAGAATTAGGTTTCGTATGTAATTCTGGGAAGCTGTGACAGGGCCAGGTGTTTGACGAAACGGAGGGCGCAGGAACATGGGCTCTGCATCAGGCCTTTCGAGCTTGGGTCTGCAAGCCGGTGAGTATTTGAGTGTAACGTGGAACGGCAACTAACCTTTTGACGTCAATTTTCGTGTCTTCACAGCCAGCCTCTTTGCGACCAGCAATTTGTGACATTGGGCTGCAAGATTTGTCAGAGCACAGTGAGTTTTGAAGCAAGCTCCATACCGTTTTTTTGACGAGTCGGGGGTATTCATAACAGTGAAAATAAATTGTGACGGTATGATCATACCTTTTTATCGTCCCTCTCGTTTGACACAGCTTTCAGCCCTTCATTCTTCAAATCAACAATCAACAAACTATTAAGGTTCAATTGTGAGTTATTTGTCTGTTTCGCAGTGGTATAAATTGTGCTGACCTGCTGTGTACTTTGACTAGACAACCATGGCACCTCGTAAGCCTACCTCCAAGCCAAAGCGCGCCCCCTCACCACCTGCCGCAAAACAAAAGTGCGCCCCCTCACCACCTGCCGCAAAACAGCAGGTGCGCACTGCAAGTGGTCGAGAGCGGTGACCAACTGAAAAAGAGAACTACCATCATAAGTACCAGCACATTATGTTCCGCTCACTCACCATCTCGTTCTACAGTCAGCGAATCCCAACATGTTGTCCATCGCCAAGAAATCAAGGAAACCCGGACGGCAAAACAGAAGAAGAAGGCCTTAAAGGCTGCCTACCAAGGGCATCCTGACGTCTTCGAGAAAGAGCCGTCAGAGCTCCTTAGTGACATGGACAGGCAAGAAGACACAATGGTATGAGCTTTTGTTTTCTTTCCTCATCTTAAATCAGCCGCTGACATTTATTTTTTTCAGTTCTCTGACCACAGTGTCGATACAAGGTTGTCCAACACTAATAGCCTGACATTCAGTACAGGGAAAATCCCTCCAAGGTTGCGCAACTCATCCATACCTACAACCAAAGGACCAAAAGGTATGTTTTTACTTTACATGATTACACTACTAACCCTCCATCAAACAGCACCACATAATGTTGACAAGTCAACAGACGACGACGACGACGACGATGCTGCCAACGATGCTGACGATGACGACGACGAACAGTTGCCTGCAGCTCGAGGGACCAAGAGATCATTCGATGACATGTCATATGTGTTACGACACACGGTCGTGTGCGACTAGGATGATCTAAACAGCGACAACCACGACAGTGGTACCGAGTGCTGAGAGTCGTCGGCCTTTACAGACAAGCAAAGGTTGCGTACTCAAACGTAGCTCGTGGTGGTTAACGAGGGGTTACACTGAGATGATAGCAGTTTACAGACAGTGAGAGGCGTCACTGAAGGTACGAGTCGATGTCGAGCAGGTAGCTTTAGCGGGACAAGGAGTTCAAGGGTAAACCTAGTAAGATTAAAGTAAGGAATGTCTACTTTAATCTTCGACCTTATATAAGGCTACTCTTCATATCTAAGCTCAGCCTAAAGCTGGGTTCTAATCTGCTTATCTACATGAGTCAGAGATAGCGTCCATGAGGCGGGCTTCTATCATAGATAGGGTCCATGTGGTACCCTTCTATCAGTACATGAGGCAGCACGAGGCTTGCCTTCTATCTTGATAACATAAATAGGTCTTCTAGACCTATGTCATCATGTGTCGTCATATGCGGTCCAGACCGCTTATCGTCTATCATCTTCTATTGTCATAGAGCTGGTGAGACTCCGGTATCGTCTATAGCCATGCGGTGGCAGAGGGCTGTCTGCTGGCAGGGGACTCATGCCATGTTACTGTAACAATATGAAGATACCATGGTGCTGAAGGTCAAGAAAAACGCTGACGGTTCGCGTCGACGCGTGAAAGCCAGCGACTTTGACGAAATCTCGAAAGAGATTCTCATAACTGCTTGCTCCGTTTATCGGTGTCTCATCGTCACACAGGCACCTTTTCTGGATTCCGTTGCAGCTGAGACAAAACTGGTGAAAGAGGCCTGGCGCGAGGCATGTCAACTCAAAGGTGTTGACGTCAAACTGACCCCTTCGGCGGTGAATATGGTGAGCACAGTATTTTTAGTGCATTCCTGGTCTTATTCGTTCAAAGCTGTTGAAACGCGCTTCACACATGCGAGGCGAACTCAAGACGAAGATGCGTCCGCTCACGGCTTCATTTCACGGCTTCCGCTCAAGTAATTCTATGGAGGTGATAAGGTCAAACCGAGATCTCGCAGAGAGATTGAAAATTGGCTCGATCTTTGTTTTCAAGGTGAGTATTCGACGGTCTACATAACTTAGTGCTGACATTGAGCAATAGGACCCGTCATCCAAGTCAGGCATCTACAAGACCGAGTTGCTTCAACAGGGTATCAACAGCATGTGGTTCTTGAACCGAAGTGACGAGGGTGTCATCTACCACAAATACTTCGACCCCATCCCTATCGTTACTATTGCGCTCGTGCTTATGGCTGTGAGCCGTTTTTCACATTCTTACTTTCAACTTGATGACGCTGACAATATCTTATAGATAGAATGTTGTGTTGATGAGTGGTCGCAAGGCATCAAAGAGGACATCAAGTTCACATCTGCTGGTTATGGGGCCGTCTACAACCATCATTTCAGCTCACTGCAACGCTTTGATGAGCGCACTGCACCTTACAAACTCCTTTCAAAAATTCGTATCAATCTGCATGATACAGCGCGGTATGTTGGATTCTTATCTCACTGACTCTTCTAATGCTCGCGCTTCTCAGCTTCCACGCAGGTGTCGCATCACTCATTCCATTGTCAGCTACATCCCAGGCCCACATCGACGACGCGGCGTTTGAAGACGCTATTCGAGAGTACCAGCGTGAGGGGAAGGATGCGGCAGTCGAGGATGAGGTCGAGGAGTATGAGTATCCTAGTAGCGAGGGTGGGGATGATGAATAGGGACGCAGTGAGTAAGACGTTCGTATTATGCTAGTTTGTGTTTCAGGTGGTTGAATTTAATTGTGACTACGAGGTTCTTTGGTGTGCTATATAGCTGCTGGTAGTAATTTATAGCTGCGTGCAGTAGCACTCCGACAAACTACGGTAGTACCTTGTAGCTACTGGTAGTTACTATGGGACTCTATGGTGTCTACATAGAGGGCACTTGACAACGGGGCTACTCGCGCTACCCTGACTATATAGCACTATGTAGTCACTATGTTTTTTCCTGATGTTGTTATTATATTCCTGGCTGTAACCATCACCTGCGGAGTAATCGCGGGAGTAGCACTGCAGCATACAGCAGGGGGTGCGCTTCACTTGTTGACTTAAAGAACACGGCTAATTGGATAAACACCAGAGGAGTTGATACTCTCTGGCATGTATATGTGCGGTTATGAATTGGAAGGGAACGTGAAGCTTCTGTTTTTGATGGTTTGGATGCTCAACACTGTTTGGGAGGTCCTCGCACTGTCTTTCGGTCTGGATTGCTGTGAAACACTTTTATGAGCTGCGACGACTCGGCCCATCGACAGGATCAACGATCGGGGACTGTTTCAGAGTGCTGATACAATCTCACGTTCTTTATTTTGCAAGGTGAGTTTGTAATGTGAACGCGGTTACATTTTTCTGCTCAAGTTCCACACATGTCAGCTTTGCTGGCGTCTCTTGCCTCCAGCTTGCTAATCTCTCTCCAGGAATCTGGGTGCGCTGACCTGTTGCTGATATCTGTATACAACCACTGCTCATCAATTCTGTAGGGTTCAAATTCTATTGGAGCTCTGATACTTGATGGAGCTCTTCTGATTTTATTTGTCGTGCAGATGTTTGTGCTGGGACCACGCCTCATCCTGAGCGTTCGAGAGTACCACGCCAAACTCGTTGCATACTCCGACATAGAAGCTAGCATGAATTCAATTGTCTTCCAGGAGCATGTAGATGTATCGACCAGCAGTACTGTATAGGGAAATGCTTGCTGAGTGGTTTGCAGGGAGGAGAAATTTGGTCAACGATCAGTCATTGGTATTTATTTAACATACATATGGTGTTTCGAAGTATATTCGAAAGGTCTAGGCGAAACTATTTCTTGTTGTATCACTACTAGAACGAAGTACCCGCGCTTGAACCAAGTGGTAAGGCGAAATTATCCGGAACGTCCAGTAACCAACCTGGTCCTTGATGGTCGATGTTAAAATACAACGAGAATCAATGAATGTGCCTTGACATCTGATTCTGCGCATTTCTGGAGTTCCGTTATCTGAACATATAGATGACGAAGATGTGACTGCAAATCGTGGAGCCAGATGGCTGATAACTCACTGGTACTCAGATACAATTTCCTCCATGTGATGCGATGGACCACGGAGAATGAAAGGAATGAATCATGTAGACTCATGGCTCGACTGGACGTCTCTATCGCGAATGATCATGACAAGGACATGGGGTCTGCTGAGTGGGGAGTGGAGAATCAGAAAATAGGGAGTTCAAGTAAGAAAACCTAAGCGTACCTATCAAACTACCAATGAAGCAGCCTCCCTAAGCACCACCATCAGAGTAAAGCAGCGAACAAGATACAGTCATGAATACACACATACATACACTTGTTAACGTGGATCACTGTCGGTCCTACATAGGGCAAGTAAATGGTCGCTTGAATGACGTGTCTGATAGAATGTGGGAAACGAAGAAAACGGAAGATTCCAAGATATTGATATTTTGCAGAAACGTTTGAAGGTATCGTGATGTCTCCTGCTGCATCAATGGTGAGTCTAGCATATGTTGTCGAGAGTATTGAAATGGGGTAAACAACTTACAGCTGGAACCAGACGCCCTAAATAAGCTGTCTCTAATGCATATGCCCGGGCCTGTGCCAATTTTTTGGGGGTGTGAAGTCCAATATTGGAATACGCAAATCAGCGTGGGTGCATATGGGTGAGGATTATCTGTTAGGAAATCTGAAGAGAAGACATGTAGGAATGAAGGAATAGAGCTATGTCAGTGTGCTCATGAGGCTGGTCTTTGAAGGTTAGTAGGGGTAAAAAATGTTGAAGTATTTCATGGCGTACAAAGGAAGTCCAACTAGTGCTCAGCCCTCAGATAGCATAATGCCTGTCCGTCGAGCTTTACGCACATGTGGATTCTGGTCCCTCTGGTAGCCGATTACTTGCAGAGGACTGCAACAGTCTGGCAGAGTACTAAGTTGGTTCATTTGTCAACTCTCGGCAAACACCGAAGGCACTTTCAGACCAATCTTCAAGCTTCAACGTCGTCGGTACGTTGCTAATGGAGGCCCCATATCTTTTGTACTATGTTTGGTGTGCGCCTGCAAACACTAGTACTGTTATTATTCATCCATCATGTGGAGTATCATGTGTCCAGGTCACGGTGTCAAGGAATGTTGATGAGATCACACATCATCATGGTGGTATGAGTGAAGGCTATTTTTAGTGAAAGATGGTATATCTAGTACGACCGACACTAGTACTGCCAACACTCCTCCTCACTGATACCCATCTCTCAAGCATGACTATAGTCTCAAATGACTCCACTTTCTGGCCGCTAATCGATTTTTCAACTTTTCTCAGCTATTAGAAAGGTTCGTTGCAGCAAAATCGAAAATGTCTATATTTAACATAGACTGTCGGTTTCGCAGTTGCTGCGGGCGTCGTGGTGGTATACGATTGGGGTGAGCGGGACAGTATTCTAAAATTACTGATATTCTCATGATATTTACAGTCTTAACACTCGGACAAGAGGTAGGTCTATGTCATTGCCGGAGCGGAAAACTCGCTAAGTAAGGTTTCATAGATTGAACTGATCTGGGTGAGTAACAAGAGTCGCATCAGAAGAAAAACAGGAGAATTTAATGAATTAGCGATAGAGGCAACGCTGGTCCCTCATGACTGTGCTTTATTTGGTTGTTCGTACCTCATGTTGTGCTATAGCGGCATGGTTGTTCTGACTTCACAATGTTCTAGATACGCTACATTGGAATACCATATTCTGTGTACGTCATTGTGGCCTATAAGTTGATGATGTATTGATACCCTATCTCTCACTGCCAGCATCAGCGTTCTGCGTATGTCTCATATGCACTGTGTTCGATTTTTCTGACCGGCAGCCCACAGCAAGTATACCATTGGTCCGGCTGACAGATACAGTGAGTATTTATAATTTAAACAACCATCTCATTCCTATGCAATGAATGCGCTCATATTTACGGGTGAGTTTGATTCTGACCATTCATTAACGTGGCTCAATATAGTGGCTCGATAGGTGTGAGTATGAGTGTTTGATCCTAGTACGATGGTATTCACTAATTGAGTGTTTCAGGCATAATTATGGAATACGCACAGAATGGGACAAATGCGGTCATAGCTGCTATGTTGGGCGGTGAGTCGCCCAGCTTCAATACTTCGGTGATATTGACCCGAATGAAACATGATACAAGTCATCATGATTGCTCGGTTGCATGCTATGTACCAGGGATCTACAACGATGCTAATCTTCCTTATTATCATCTTCCTGGGGGTAAACATCGCCTGTGTAGTAATCACGGTAATAGACCTGAAGTACGCCGTAGGAGGTAAGCTTCACTTGTTGAGTCGATGAACACAGTTCATTGAACAAACCCCAGAGGAGTTGATACTCTCTGGCACGTATACTATGTGCGGTTATGGAATGGAAGGCGACGAGCAGCTTCTGTTTTCAATGGTATGGATGCTCAACACTGTTTGGGAGGTCCTCGCACTGTTTCTTTCAGTTTGGATTGCTGTGAAACACTTCTGTGGCCTGCGACGACTCAGCCCATCAACAGGGTGGGCCATCGGGGACTTTTTCAGAGTGCTGATACAATCCCACGTTCTCTATTTTGCAAGGTGAGCTTGTAATATGAACCCAGTTATATTTTTCTGCTCAAGTTTCGCGTGTGTTAGCTTTGCTTGCGTCTCTTGCCTGCAGCTTGCTTATATCTCTCCAGAACTCCAGGTGCGCTGACCTGTTGCTGACATTCGTGTGTGACCGCTACTCATCATTTCTGTAGAATTCATATTCTATTGAAGTTCAGATACTCTATGGTGCTTTTCAAATTTTATTGGTCGTGCAGATGTTTGTGTTGGGACCACGCCTCATCCTTAGCGTTCGAGGATACCACGCCAAACTCGTAGCAGATTCCGACGCAGAAACTAGCATGATTTCGATTGTTTTCCAGGAGCGTGTACACGTATCAACTAGCAGTACTGTGTAGGCAGATACTTACCGAGTGGTCTGCAGGGACGAGAAATTTGGTCGAGGATCCATCGAGATATATATCTATGTAACATGTAAGGTATCGAAGTATGTTTGATAAGCAAACCTATTTCTTGTTGAGTACTCGCGTTTGAACCAAGTAATGAACTGAAACTATCCGGGACGTCTAGCAACCGACCTGGTCCTTGATGGCCGATATTAAAAGACAACAATGAGAATCGTGAAAGCGTCCTGGCAGCTGATTCTGCGCATTTGTGGAGTTCCGCTGTCTAAACATACAGATCAAAGTGACTGCGAAGCGTGAAGCCAGATGGTGGCTGATAGTAACTCATCGTGCTCAGATGCGATTTCCTTTATCTGGGCTACAGAGAATGAAAACGAATTGTGCAGACTCCTGGCGTGACTAGCGGCTGTCCAGACGTCCGTGGATGAGCATGGCAAGGAGACGAAGTCTTCTGAGTGTGGAGTGGAAAATTAGAGAATCGGAGCTTCAAGTCAGAAGGTCTCAAGCGTACTTTGTTAAACTACTAATGAGGCATCGACCAAGATATTCTGTTGGAGTCCCTTTTAAGCACGACCATCAGAGTAAAGCGCCGAACGGCAAGCAAATCCAATTGATCACTTGACTGAAGTGTCTGATAGGATGTGGAGAATGGGGAAAACGGGCAAGATTGAAAGATATGTTGCAGGAACATTGATGTCTTGAGGGATACGTGTTCGATTATGGACAACCCGCGTTGACAGATAAAGTAGTACTGAAATGGAAGCACGATCGCCGATTTTGTTAGCATTCCATGTTTTTTATTTATCTAGATCGATCGAATTGACAGAACATACATATATATTCAAGGCGTCCCTGGAAGGCCACGCTGATAGCCTTTCTCCGCAAGGACCTATATGAGTCGAGCCTTTTCTACTCAATAAATGTAGGATCGCAAATATGAGCACGTGTATACCAATAACGCTAGCTATAGAAGTAGCGTTGCTGAACTCGGACAGCTTACAGTACAAATTGAATAAATTATGAGCGATATGACAGAGTTTAGTTTTACATAAACCTACATAATTGGCTCAAGGTGTGCTTAGGAAGTAAGTCATAAGGGTGACCAATGTAGTTTTTGAATGGACTCGTCGCTGATGGTCCTTCTCCACGTTGTCTACCCTTGATAGTGCCTGTGAATCGAGCCGTTTCTGTTGAATGACTAAGGGTTGTGCACAAGAGCAGAGCGGAATGGGTCAGAAGCATGTCACCCTATATCATACATTTGGGCTGCAGAACGAATCGTGCGTGAAGAGGGGAAGTAGGCACTATATCGCGAGTTTGATGTCTGTTCAAGTATGATTCAACCATATTTAGCATGATGATTTGAAAAGAGACTTACGGTGTGAGTATATGCCTTTATCCCGAATGAATGCGTGTTGCAAGAGGATGACAAGTGCTGAGTGGGGAGTATAGAAGAGATTCGGGGCTTCAAGTCGAAATATATCAAGTGCACCTGAGAAGTATCAGTAAGGCGCCCACCACGATATTCTGACATACGTACTTTGACCAAATTGTGCTGGCTCTATCTTGTGTCCGAGCAAAGCAAAAGAAGAACCGAACTGAGTGAGTCACGACACCACAGATGGCTGATAATCAACGGATCGGCCAGAATGCCTGGAAATCATCAATCTAGCCCACAGAGAAGGAGTACCAAATCATGCATGAAGGGTGCAAGTAAGGTGTCCATGTCCTGGAGATGAGCGTCAACTATCAACTCAAATCTGACGACTGTCAGCAAGCCATGTCGTCGACAACAATCGCCTGGGTTCGAGCATGATTCAACGATACGGAGTATCATGAATTTAAGGGGCTTACAGCTTGAGTAATCATCTATCACGAATCCGCATGGCAAGGAGATAAGGTGTGGTGACTCCTGAGGTCTGAACGGGTAGTAAAGCGCACCGGAACAAGTATCACTACTGCACCAACTGTCTGAGTACAGAAAACGTGAGATACGATAGTGGTTGCAGAAACCCAGATGCGGCCAATAGTAGATCGGTCCTGCTATCCTGTTCTGCAATCATACGTCTTGGGCCAGGCATGCGAACACGATGTGAAAGTTCCGTGAGCTAGGAAAATAAAAGTAGCGTCTGAGCTCAGACAGCTGATAGCCCCAGAATGATAAATTCCCTGATTATCGTCTGTCTGAGCACAAACAACGAAGAAAAGGAAGTGTCAGTGATCGTAAAATTGTGCATTAGCTTTTTTCCAGGTCCTTGTGATCTGTTGACACACACAGAGAAAGTTGCACGTCTGTCAGCGTGAAGCATCGAACCAGATTATGACACGGACCCAATCCCCGATTAGCGTGTCGGTTCGGACAGCTGGTCTCGCAACGGTCTCGCTCATCCATCTAGATCAGTTGGTGGACTCGGGCAAATGGAATACGACGGGGACATTCTGTTTTTGAAAATGAGAAAGAAGATTTGCGGAAGCCGAGATGGCTGATAAGTAATGGTTCTTCATGGATATCACCATCCATCTATGCTGTCTATGTAGGTGGATTAGGAGAGGAAAACAAGTGTGTCGCAGGGAGTCAGAGCATATCCCAGACGGACGCCCATAGAAATGCTTACCTTCAGTATCGAAATACGTGGTTTGATCGATAGATAGGCGCATCCTTCTCGGGTGGGGTCGGGGTAAAGTCTAGGTCTAGATGCAAATCGATGATTAAGCAATTCTATTAATGCTTGAGGACGGCGGACGCATAAGCGCTGCTGTATGGATGATGAGCCTAACATATGTCGTCGAGAGTAGTGGAATGCGGTAAATAACTTACAGCTGGCCAAAACCAGACGCCCTAAATAAGCCGTCTCGACTCTTCAATGACCATGACAATTTTTTTGGGGTGCAGAGTCCGTCCGATATTGGAATGCGCAAATCCGAGTCAGCGCGCGCCGCGGGTGCATACCAATGGGCATTATCGGATATTGTCCGACGAACTTCACGCGCAGGTCAATCCTCGTCTTCTATAGCCGATGCAACAAGAGGGAGTGGTACAGATGTGAGTACTAGTTCCGGAACGGCCTTTCAGCGCTGCAGCGCTCAGCCTGTTGCTTGCAGAGTTGTAAGCACAATTCTTTGGTTCATTTTTTGACTCCGCAGAATCCAGATGCCGAAGGTAACGCCGCGGGCTTTGATTAAAATTTGAACAAGCCACATGGATACCCCGCCTCTTTCAAACGCCAAAGGGAGCGCTGCGACTCGGAGCTTTACAAATTAAATTTAGACAAGCTTCAAGCTTCAACGTTGCAACGCCTGCCTCTTGTGTCTTTTATGTTTGGTGTGCGAATGCAAACACTGACGGTTATTTATTCCTTGTGATTCATCATCGTGCTACGGTGTCGCCATAGGTAAGTATATCATAGATTCATGTATCCAACACTCGATGTCACTGATTCCCAACACAGGATGAACCTACACTGGAATTCCGGAGCCAAGACAGCCACTGCAACAGTCGAGCTTCTCGAACGACATGATATCAACATCAAAACTCATGGGAAACACCAAACAACATCTGTGCATTTGAAGGGCTCGGAGAACCACAAAAAGGGTGGATATACGGTGCAGCAACATTTGTATGGTAAGTCTTTTAGGTCATGGTGATGGCATCGTCCAGGCTGAGGCTTTCCATGCGGCGATGGAGAATGGAATGGTTACCGTGCGCTGCATCGCGTGAAGATGCGATCCTATCTGCATGTTGCGATATGCGGATTTGTATCTTTGGCATCCTGTGAAGGTGGAATAAGGATTCTAAAGCGACGATGTGTCTGTACGATGGCCGTGCATGTGCAAGCATCCGACTACGATGCGACTTTCATAGCCTGCCCATGAATTTGCTGAGCATGATGAAGGTCCGACAATATTAATGGCGTGCTTGGTTGATCTGATGGATCTCGCTTTTAGCTCGCAACCTTTACCGGCTCCTGCTCAAGTCGGCACTAAAAAAACATCACTCAAATACAATGGCCACCGACCGAGGCTGTACAATCAGAAATCGGGCTTTTTTTCCCGTTACAAGCTTCTCGTCTCCCATGTGCGATTTTTCTTGCGACCTGGTATGTATGGCGTCTTATATTCAACAGGTACCAATCACACAGCATGAGTCACGATGTATCTGCCTGTGCAATGAATCACCGTCGCATCAAGTGCGCGATCGGATCCACCGAATAGAGTGCGCTGTTGTGTTTCTTCTCTGACTTTTCCCATAGCACAGAATGCGACCTTGTTACAGAATGCAATCAGGGATAACAAGTCTCGAGCTTGGCCGGCGAGGCTAAGAAAACACATTGCGATCACATCACGGTTAGATCGATGGTCGCATGGTTTCATACTGAACACCTCGAAAATGGCATTGAAAATAAGTTTGCGATATCACTAACCACTGGAGTTTTTCTGGTGTCCGAGTAGTCGCATGCGTAATGCTGGTTTGTAAATCAAATTCTACTTTGATTATCTACCCGGGCTTCTTTTTGTTTGATTTCGAACCGTTTCACCAGATCAAGGGTGTTGAGGCGAGATCAAATATACATCTCCACCATGCTGATTGTGGCGATACAGGGGCTGAACGGTGGTATATCTAGCACGAATGCTGTCGTTATACACCACTGACATTCCCCACTCGCTCACCCATCCCTCGAACATGACTTTCGTCTCAAATGATCCCAGTTGGTGGCCGCAAATCATTTCAAATATTTTTTATAGCTATTGGACAGGTTTGTCGCATCAAGATGTCTAGATCTAACGTTGACTTGCGATTTTGCAGCTGCCGCCGGTGTCGTGGTGGTATACGATTGGGGTAAGCAGGACAGTGTTGGGAAATCGCTGATATTCTCATGCTATTTCCAGTCTTAACACTCGGACAAGAGGTATGTCGCTGTTATTGCCGGAGCAGCCAACTCGCTAAGAATGGCGTCATAGATTGAACTCATCTGGGTGAGTGATAAGAGTCCCGTATCAGAAGAAAACAAGAGAATGCAATTAATTGGCGGCAGAGACAACGCTGGTCTCTCATGACCGTGCTGTATTTGATTGTTCGTACCTCATGTTGTGCTTTAGCGTGCTGGGCAACTTGTGCTGACTCCAAAATATTCTAGATACGCTATATTGGAATACCATATTCTGTGTATGTGTTGATATCAACAACTTTGCACTGTGCTAATAGCTCATCTCTGACAATTAGTATCTATATTCTGGGTATGTCTAATATGCGCTGTGTTCCATTTTCTGACCGGCGAGACACAGAAATCATGCCATTTGTATCGCTGACAGATGCAGTGAGTATTCTGCAGCCATCTCATTCCTATCCAGTCAAGTCAACACATTCATATGTAGGGGTAAGTGAGATTCCAGCCATTGAACTTGGCTCAACATAATGACTCAATAGGTGTAAGTCGGAGTCTTTGATATTAGTGCGAGGGCGTTCACTAATTGCGAATTTTAGGCACTATCACGGACTACGCACTAAATGGCACAAATGTGGCCTTGTCTGTTATGTTGGGCGGTAAGTTGCCCAGGTGGAATACCTCTGGGATATTGACCTGACTGACACACGATGCAAGTGATCATGATTGCTCGGTTGCATGCCATGTATCAGGGATCTAGCAGGATGCTTATGTTCCTTGTTATTATTTTCCTGGCTGTAAACATCGCCTGCGCAGTGATCTCGGCAATAGACCTTGAGTATGTTAAAGAGGGTAAGCTTTACTTCTTGACTTGAAGAACACGGCTCATTGGATAAACACCAGGGGAACTGATACTCTCTGGCATGCATATGTGCGGTTTTGAATCTGAAGGGAACGACACGCTTCTATTTTCAATGGTTTGGATGCTCAACACTGTTTGGGAGGTCCTCGCACTGTGTCTTTCAGTTTGGGTTGCTGTGAAACACTTCCGTGACCTGCGACGACTCGGCCCAACGACAGGATCGGCCATCGGGGACTGTTTTATAGTGCTGATACAATCTCACGTTCTCTATTTTGCAAGGTGAGCTTGTAATGTGAACGCGGTTATATTTTTCTGCTCAAGTTCCGCACATGTTAGCTTTGTTGGTGTCTCTTGCCTCCAGCTTGCTTCTCTCTCTCCAGAAATCTGGGTGCGCTGACCTGTTGCTGATATCTGCGTGCAACCACTGCTCATCATTTTTGTAGAATTCAAGTTCTATTGGAGCTGAGACACTCGATGGTGCTCTTCAAATTTTATCGGTCGTGCAGATGTTTGTGCTGGGACCACGCCTCATCCTTAGCGTTCGAGAATACCACGCCAAACTCGTGGCATACTCCGACGCAGAAACTAGCATGAATTCGATTGTTTTCCAGGAGCATGTACATGTATCAACTAGCAGTACTGTGTAAGGACATCCTTGCCGAGTGGCCTGCAGGGAAGCGAAATTTGGTGGAGGATCCGTTGTGGTATTTATTTAACATATGGTATATTTGAAAGGTCTAGGCAAAGCTATTTCTTGTTGTATCGCTACTGGAATGAAGTACCCGCGCTTGAACCAGGTGGTAAGGGCAAATGATCCGGAACGTCTAGTAACCAATCTGGTCCTTTGTTGAAATACAACGAGAATCAGTAAAAGTACCTTGACCGCTGATTCTGCGTGTTTGTGTTCCACTGTCCGGACATATAGATACTGCGACTCGTGAAGCCAGATAGCTAATAACTCATTAGTGCTCAGATGTAATTTCCTCCATCCGATGGGCCATGGGGAATGAAATGAATGAATCGCGTAGACTGATGGTTTGATTGTACGTCTTTCTTGCGAATGAGCATGACGGGGTCCGCTGAGTGCAGAGTGGAAAATCATAAAATGTCAGAAGGCCTCAAACGAGATACAGACATGCATACACGCATACATACACCGTTGACATGGATCACGGTCAATGATTACTTGGTGAATGAAGTGTCTGATAGGGTATTATCGATGGAGACACGCGCGAGGTGTATCGAAGGCGAGATTGGGATATGTGTTCGATTACGAATATATGAATCGTGATCGAGCGCTCAATCGAAGCACGATGGATGAAAGAAGCATAGGCCTAGAATGGTCAACGACACGAACGACAAGAAAAGTATGTGATCGAGAATTCGATCACCGATCTTGTCAGGATTCCAAGTTTTTTATTTATTTAGATCAAGAGAATTAGACTCGCACATGTCTGGTTCAAGGCGTACCTGGGAAGCCCAATAGTACTTTTCCTTGCTGATGGCCCTTATCTTGTATGCAGACACAACTCACCGCTCACCTTAGCTTACCCATGTGTTGCAACAGTTCATCAAAGTTTTCCGTAAGAAATTTCAATCATGGGGACGGCTAGAGGACAATTTGAATGTCAGAGATACATTGATCGCACTCATTCGGGAGCATTAGTGGTGTCAACTCCCCAGCACCGCCCAAACCATGCACAATTGACATTCAGGATCCTTGTAATCTACCGAGCCCTATCCTATCAGCCATCTGGGTCGCAGAGTAGTATCGAATCGTGCGTGAAGAGTGGGTGCGGGGTGTGGGATCGGCGAGTCATCGGATCACCTGATCACTAGAGCAGCTGTCGTTGTGGATATTCCTACTGGCATGGCCTAACGCATCGCTGAAATATATCAACGGTATCAATCAGAGTTGCCCTGGACCGAAGAGATGACGACTCGAAAGTATATACTTCACTTCAACAAGTCGTTATCTGCTCGCCTAGGTCGCACACGAGCCTGGATGACCGATAGACCAAAATTCCACACTTGCGAAAACTAGCGGCCGTCAGTTGTGTAATCAAAGAAAGGAAGCACGATCCATGGAAGCTCAATCACGGGCACCCTGAGTAGCATGTCGAAGATTAGACAGCTGAGCGTGCAACGGTCCTGCTCATTCATCTGAACCAGTGGACGGACTCAAACGAATGAAGTGCGAGGGGGGAAATTGAAATTGAAAACAAAGATTCGCGGAAGAAGGTGTCTTCATGGAAATCACCGTTTCCTTTTCGTCTATCTGGGCTGTCCATATAGATGGACTACTAGGGGAAAACGAATGAATCGCAGGGGGTGAGAGTATATCCTAGAGAACGTTTGTAGAGACGCTCACCTCGAGCATTGAGATACAACTGATCGTTTTTGGGTGGGTCGGGGCAAGTATATATCTAGGGGTGGACCAATGATTAAACGAATCTCGCGACAGGGAAGGGGAGGAGTGTTCAAGACTGGGGAAACGTACCAACAATAAATGCAAAGGCCAGCACTACAAGGACCTCTTTGTGCTTATAAGCCCCAATAAATTTGTGCGCAGGGAAACTGAAAGCGTTGATATTATTTCGACTGCCCACACAAAAAGGTAAAGAATGGACGTACGTACGTGGCTCCAAGTCTGATGGCGCTGAGAGGGGAACCAGATATGAGATAAGATGAAAGGATTAAGGACTGAGACTATGAAAGTACTTACAATATGCAAAAGTGTAAACGATGCTATGCTCGAGAACAGCGGACGCATGAGCACTGATGTATCGATGGTCAGCCTAGCATATGTCGCCGAGAGTGGTGGAATGGGATGAACAACTTACAGCTGGTCAAAAACAGACGCCCTGGATAAGCCGTCTCCAACACCCGTATCAACTCTCTTGGGGTACAAACTCCATATTGGAACATGCAGATTAGAGTGAGTGCGCATGGGCAGGCATTATCAGATCGGAAGTCTGTAGAGAAGACATCTAGGGATAAAATTGAGTTGTAGCATGTAGCTATATCAGCGTGCTGACTAGAGTACGTGTAATATTTACATGCCTGATACCGGACGAGGATGAGCTAAGAGGATTGGTGAGATGAGTTATATCGTGAGACGGGGTTGGTTAGATAGCGAAAGCGATCGTATTTAGAACGAGGACAAGGTGAAGGGTTTTAATGAATTGGAAAATGTGAATATAGTGTTATGTATCCGTGAAGGGGTGGCCAATCAAGTGGGTGAAAAGGGTTGGAGTATCTTTGTCGCGTACAAACAAAGTCCAAGTGCTGAGATCTTTTGGCGATTCTCAGGCAAACACCGAAGGTTAAGCCTACCTTAGACATGTGAAAGGTGCCGGTTCCTGAGTGCTCGGAAGGAACCGGCACCACACATCCAGCTGAGCGACAAGCCTTGTAGTCTTCCTTCCCGTTTTTCATCCCCATCAGCTGCACAATACGTTCCGCTCACTCGATTCTAATCAGTACTCTCGCTCGCTCGCTTATTTTTGCCCACCCTCCACTCCCAGAATTTATTACAGACCATATCATAATATTCATTGCACCTATCAGTACATTCGGAATACCCGTATATAAATACCTCCACTAGCCTCGTAGTATCTCAATTACACATAATGGTCATTCAATCAGACCGCTTGTCGAGTTTTCCCACCCACCCAGTGGCAATTCTCGCCAGCGTCCGAACCGAGCTATTGCTTGGCCCCAGCCCAACCACTGTTTGCTTGACCTATATGTGTTACGTCGACCGTCGGTCGGCGTGTGCGAACTAGGATAGGTCTTCTCAGCAACGACTCGAGTGAGTCTACTGAAGCTGAGGGTGGTTCTCGGCTTGACGGAATGTCAAGGGTTCCTCCGGTGATCTCGGTAAGACGGCGCTCGTCGAGATACAGGGCTAGCGGATACGTGCTAAGTCGTATGGGAGTGACTTAGAAGTGCGGTCTCACACAAGGAAGCTGGTAAGGCTTAGTTGAGCAAGTTCTGGGGATGAACCTAGTAGATTAAAGTAAAGTCTAAGTACAATAATCCTGTCTACTTATAGGGAAGTACTACAAGTATTCTAGCTCAGTCTGTAATCAATAGTATATCTATGATCTATGATAACACGACATGAGGTTCAGATAAGTACATGAGGCTTAACCTCTGATCAAGCATGCTGCGCCAAGGGCAGCTGCGCGTAGGTACAGGAAGCGCCAAGAGCGCTCCGGATCTTCATGAAGCAACATGCGGTATGCATGCGCTGATCTAGGGTGACCATGAGGCGTACAGCCTCCATGGATCAGGTACAAGGCCGTCTAGGCCAGGGGGTCATAGCGCCAGGGCGGGTCATAGCAGGTCCAGACCACTGTCTTTCTAGGCGCAGGCAGCGCACCGCCGCGTGGGGAGTCTAGCAGAGCTGGGGGCAGGCATAGGCAGAGCTGGGGCTCCTGTAGGTGTTACGGATGCCTGTAACAATATGTACCTGCAATAGACGAAGCTGAACCACACTCCAACATGTAAATTTTCGTAATTTGCCAATAACTTTGCTAATCTGACGGATCTCACTCGGACAGGATAGAAATTTACTGAAACACAATGCTATCAAGATGAACCTGTACAATCAGAAATCAGGCTTCTCTGTCATGGTTTCGGGTACGAGTTCTCTAATGCTATGCCACAGGATGAACTTTGTTCCATAAGAGGGCCGTTACGCCTCGGGCTCTGCCAGCGATGCCGAACAGTGAGTACATACTTGTTTCACACCTATGTTAGATCGATGACTACATAATTTGATCGGGTACTCTTCGATTTTTGCAAGCTCGCAGCAAATACACACAAAAAACCATGTTGGAAATAAGTTCTCGACATCACAAACGACTGGAACTTTCCTGGTATTGAAGTATTCCTGTACGTGTTACAGGGATCTGTAACACCTACTAGAGCCCCAGCTCTCCCTACGCCTGCCCCCGCTCTGCTAGACTCCCCGCGCGGCGGTGCGCCGCCTGCGCCTAGAAAGACAGCGGTCTGGACCGCTATGACCCCGCCTGGCGCTATGACCCCGCCCCTGGCCTAGACGGCCTTGTACCTGATCCATGAAGGCTGTACGCCTCATGGACACCCTAGATCAGCGCATGCATACCACATGTCGCTTCATGAAGATCCGGAGCGCGCTTGGCGCTTCCTGTACCTATGCGCAGCTGCCCTTGGCGCAGCATGCTTGATCAGAGGTTAAGCCTCATGTATGCTATCTGAACCTCATGTCTTGTTATCATAGATTTACGATATACTATTGATTACAGACTGAGCTAGAATACTTGTAGTACTTCCCTATAAGTAGACACAGATTATTGTACTTAGACTTTACTTTAATCTACTAGGTTCATCCCCAGAACTTGCTCATCTAAGCTTACCAGCTTCCTTGTGTGAGACCGCACTTCTAAGTCGCTCCCATACGACTTAGCACATATCCGCTAGCCCTGCATCTCGACGAGCACCATCTTACCGAGATCGCCGGAGGAATCCTTGACGTTCCGTCAAGGCTAGAACATGCTCAGCTTCAGTAGACTCACTCGAGTCGTCACTGAGAAGACCTATCCTAGTTCGCACACGCCGACCGACGGTCAGCGTAACAGTACGTATAGTGATTTGGAAATCAAAATCTACTTTGATTACCAGCTTTTTGTTTGATTTTGTACCCTTTCACCTGATGAAGGGTCTTGAGGCGAAAATCGAATTTCCATCTCCATCACGCTGATTGTGGCGATGTTACAGTCATCCATAACACCTACACCAGCCCCCGCTCTGCTAGACTCCTGACACGTGCGGCATGCCGCCAGCACTTAGAAAGACAGCGGTCCTGGACCGCTGTGACACCGCCCTTGGCCTAGACTGGCCTTGTACCTGATCCATGGAGGCTGCACGCCTCATGGTCACCCTAGATCAGCTGCATGTATACCACATGTCGCTTCATGAAGATCCAGAGCGCCCTTGGCGCCTCATGTACTTGCGCAGTCGCACTTGGCGCTGCATGCTTGATCAGAGGTTAAACCTCATGTATCTTATCTGTACTCATGACCGTCCTCATGTACTCTTATCTTTGATAGACTTAGATCCACAGATATACTATAGATACAGACTGAGCTTGAACACTTATGTGTAGACATATAAGTAGACAGATTATTGTACTGTGATCTTTACTTAATCTACTTGGTTCCATCCTGAAACTTGTTCAACTAAGCCTCCCAGCTTAGTTGTCTAGATCGCACTTCTAAGTCGCTCCCATGCGCCTTAGCCTGTATCCTGCTAGCCCTGTATCTCGACGAGCGCCAGTCTTACCGAGATAACCGGAGGAACCCTTGACATTCCGTCAAGCCAAGAAACACCCTTAGCTTCGGTCAGGCTCACTCAAGCCGTTGCTAAGAAGACCTATCCAAGTTCGCACACGCCGACCGACTGGTCAGCATAACAGGCGATACAAGCGCTGAACGGTGGTATATATAGCAGGAACACTATCGTCATACACCACTGACATTCCCCACTTGCTCACCCATCCCTCAAACATGACCTACATCTAAAATGATCCCAGTTTGTGGCCACAAATCAATTCGAATATTTTCATCACCTATTGGACAGGTTCGTTGTATTAGGATGTCCAGATCTAACATTGACATGCAGCTTGGCAGTTGCTGCTGGCGTCGTGGTGATATATGATTGGGGTAAGCAGGACAGTGTCTTAAAATCACTAATATTCTCATGATATTTCCAGTCTTAACACTCGGACAAGAGGTACGTCGATGCTATCGCTGGAGCAGCCAACTCGCTAACAATGGTGATGCAGATTGAACTCATCTGGCTGAGTGACAAGAGTCCCGTATCAAAAGAAAACAAGAGCATGCAATGAATTCATGACAGAGACAACGATGGTCTCTCATGACCGTGCTGTATTTGACTGTTCGTACCTCATGTCATGCTTTAGCATGGTGGGCAACTTGTGCTGACTCCAAAATGTTTTAGATACACTATATTGGAATACCATATTCTGTGTATGTGTCGAGATAAACAACTTTGCACTGTGCTAATAGCTCATCTCTGACAATTAGTGTCTGTCTTCTGGGTATGTCTCATATGTACTGTATTCCATTTTTCTGACCAGCGGGACACAGGAAATATGGCATCGGTATCGCTGACAGATGCAGTGAGTATTCTGCCATCATCTCATTCCAATCTAATCAACACTGCTCATATGTAGGGGTGAGTGAGATTGCAACCATTGAACTTGGCTCGATATAATGACTTAATAGGTGTAAGTCAGAGTCTTTGATACTAGTGTGAGGGTGTTCACTAACTGAGAGCTTTAGGCAATATCATGTACTACACAACAAATGGGACAAATGTGGCCTTGACTGCCATGTTGGGCGGTAAGTTGCCCAGGTGCAATACCTCTGGGATATTGACCTGACTGACACACGATGCAAGTGATCATGATTGCTCAGTTGCATGCCATGTATCAGGGATCTAGCAAGATGCTGTCACAACCCCTTAAATGAATTAATGCAGGGCAGAGACTAGGACTCAAATGAAGAAAGATCACAACGAGGATAGGGCAGCAGGTACATCTTGGATTGCTCACTTGGAGATACAAGAGGTTTGAACTAAAGAACTACTGACTACAAGACACTACCTATATACATGTATTGAAATGGAGATCGAAACTGAGTATGAACTAACTAACCAATGAGAATAATTAAAGGTATCGTACGATTCTATATATATGATTATGATGTCATAACATGTGCCGCAGCTGCAGTAAGACTCTGGAACATTCCAAGAGTGTCGTGTGGCATGATGTCATCTTCTGAAAGGTCACATGATTTTGATATAGAGGAGTTCAGTAATTCTATAATAGATGCCGTAGGCGCTTCTTCAACTATAAATACATTCTTAGGTTTATCTTTAGGTACAGGTGCTATACTTGTGCGTTTAAAGGACTTCGAATTTAAGAAAGTATAATGGTTTGTATTTGGAACTCGTGACAGATGCTTATGTTCCTTGTTATTATCTTCCTGGCTGTAAACATCGCCTGCGGAGTGATCGCGGTAATAGAACTTGACAATATTGTAGGGGGTAAGCTTTACTTGTTGACTTGAAGAACGCAGCTCATTGGATATACACCAGAGGAGCTGATACTCTCTGGCATGCATATGTGCAGTGTTGAAGGGATCGAGCAGCTTCGGGTTGCAATGGTTTGGGTGCTCAACACTGTTTGGGAGGTCCTCGCATTGTCTCTTTCAGTCTGGATTGCTGTGAACCACCTCCGTGACCTGCGACGACTCGGCCCATCAACAGGGTCGACCATCGGGGACTGTTTCACAGTGCTGATACAATCTCACATTCTTTATTTTGCAAGGTGAGTTTGCAATGTGAATGTGGCCATGTTTTTCTGCTCAAGTTCCGCACATGTTAGCTTTGTTGGTGTCTCTTGCTTCCAGCTTGCTACTGATCTCTCTCCAGAACTCTCGGTGCACTGACCTGTTGCTGATATCTGCGTCCAACCACTGCTCATCATTTTTGTAGAATCCAGATTCTATTGGAGCTCTGACACTCGATGGTGCTCGTGTAATTTTATCGGTCGTGCAGATGTTTGTACTGGGACCACGCCTCATCCTTAGCGTTCAGGAATACCACGCCAAACTCGTGGCATACTCTGACGCAGAAACTAGCATGAATTCGATTGTTTTCCAGGAGCATGTACATGTATCAACTAGCAGTACTGTGTAAGGACATCCTTGCTGAGTGGCCTGCAGGGAAGCAAAATTTGGTGGAGGATCCGTTGTGGTATTTATTTAACATATGGTATATTTGAAAGGTCTAGGCAAAGCTATTTCTTGTTGTATCGCTACTGGAATGAAGTACCCATGCTTGAACCAGGTGGTGAGCTGAAGTTATTTGGAACGACCAGCAACCAACCTGGTCCTTGATCGCCAATGTTAAAATACAACAAGAATCAGTGAAAGTGTCTTGACAGCTGATTCTGCATGTTGGTGTTCCACTGTCTGGACATGTAGATGCGAATCGTGAAGCCAGATACTAGATGATCACTCATCTGTGCTCACATGCGATTTCCTCCATCCGATGGGCTACGGGGAATGAAATGAATGAATCGCGTAGACTCATGGCTTGATTGCACGTCTCTTGCGAATGAGCATGACAAAGATATGCGGTCCGCTGAGTGGAGAGTGGAAAATCAAGAAAATGTCAGAAGGCATCAAGTGTACTTATCAAACTACTAATGAGGCATCGGCTGTGATATTCCGTTGGAACCCTCCCTAAGCACGACCATCAGAGTAAAGCACTGAATGGAAACATGAGAAAGATATATATTGCATTTATTGGGAATAATCACATCAGCATGATATTATAGCTTGCATGTATTTACATAACACTCGATGGCATGAGACTTTAGGAGATAGAACAAGATGTAGATATTAATTCGACTGAATTCTATTGTAAATACTCGTACAGTATATATATTCACTATCAAACGGCTAATTCTATGTGTCCGATCCAAAAGTCTGTGTTTCGGTCTTGATTCTCTTCCATGCTAGTACGGTGAAAAATATCATCCGCCACGGCTATTCCCAGCTATCGTGCCCTACTTTGTTATCTTAGTCAGCTTCGACTCCTGTGTTCGTACTAGTATTACCATGTCCAACACACGATCCGGGTTTCAATCTTAGTCTGTTACATGTTTACTGAAACACGATGCCATAGAGATGAGCCTGTACAATCAGGAATTAGCTTCCTGGTGTGGTGCAGGTTCATTGCCAGCTTTTTGTTTGATTTTGCACTGTTTCACCTGATGAAGAATCTTGAGGCAGGATCGATTATATATCTCCGCCATGCTATACAAGGGCCGAACAGTGGTATATCTAACACGAACACTGTTGTTATACACCACTGACATTCCCCCACTTGCTTACCCATCCCTTGAACATGAGCTTCATCTCAAATGATTCCAGTTACTGGCCGACTATCAGTTTGAACATTTTTTTGAGCTATTGGGAAGGTTTGTCGCATCAAGATGTCTAATCTAATGTTGACGTGCAGTTTCACAGTTGCCGCGGTCATCGTGATGGTATATGATTGGGGTGAGCAGGACAGTATTAGAAAATCGCTAATATTCTCATGATATTTCCAGTCTTAACATTCGGACAAGAGGTACATCGATGTCATCGCCGGAGCAGCCAACTCGCTAAGAATGGTGTCATAGATTGAACTCATCTGGGTGAGTGACAAGAGTCCCATATCAGAAGAAACCAAGAGCATGCAATTAATTCGCGACAGAGACAATGCTGATCTCTTATGACCGTGCTGTATTTGATTGTTAGTACCTCATGTTGGGCTTTAGCGTGGTGGGCAACTTGTGCTGACTCCAAAATGTTCTAGATACACTATATTGGAATACCATATTCTGTGTATGTGTCGAGATCAACAATTTTGCACTGTGCTAATAGATCATCTCTGACAATTAGTGTCCGTCTTTTGGGTATGTCTCATATACTCTGTGTTCCATTTTTCTGACTGGCGGCACACAGAAAATATGCCATTGGTATGGCTGACAGATGCAGTGAGTATTCTGCAATCATCTCATTCCCAACCAATCAATACACTCATATGTAGGGGTAAGTGAGAATACAAGCATTGAACTTGGCTCAACATAATGACTCAATAGGTGTAAGTCGGAGTCTTTGATACTAATGCAAAGGCATTCACTAATTGGGAGTTTCAGGCAATATCATGTACTACGTAACAGGTGGAGCAAATGTGGCCTTGTCTGCCATGTTGGGCGGTAAGTGACCCAGGTGCAATACCTCTGTAATATGGACCTGACTGACACACGATGCAAGTCATCATGATTACTCAGTTGCATGCCATGTATCAGGGATCTAGAGCGATGCTTATGTTCCTTGTTATTATATTCCTGGGTGTAAACATCGCTTGCCCAGTAATCACAGTAATAGCACTCAACAATGTTGTACTGGGTAAGCTTTACTTGTTGACCTGAAGAACACGGCTCATTGGATAAACACCAGAGGAGCTCATCCTTTCTGGCACATATATGTGCGGTTATGTATCTGAAGTGAACAACCAGCTTATTTCGATCATTTGGACGCTCTACACTGTTTGGGAGGTCCTAGCACTGTGCCTTTCAGTCTGGGTTGCTGTGAAACACTTCCGTGAGCTGCGACGACTCAGCCCATCGACAGGATCGACTGTCGGGGACTGTTTCAGAGTGCTGATACAATTGCACATTCTTTATTTTGCAAGGTCAGCTTGTAATGTGAAAGTGGTTATATTTTCTGCTCAAGTTCCGCATATGTTAGCTTTGCCGGTGTCTCTTGCCTCCAGCTCACTGCTTTCTCTCCAGAAATCTTGGTGTGCCAACCTGTCGCCAACATCTGCGTGTTTACACTGCTCATCATTCTCGTAGAATTCAAATTCTATTGGAGTTTCAATACTCCGAGGTGCTCTTCAAATTTCATTGGTCATGCAGATGTTTGTCCTGGGACCACGCCTTATTCTGAGCGTTCGAGAATACCACGCCAAAGTCATGGAATACTCTAACGCAGAAACTAGCATGATTTCGTTTGTTTTACAGGAGCGTGTACATGTATCCACTAGCAGTACTGTGTAGGGAAATGCTTGCTGAGTGGTCTGCAGGGAGGAGAAATTCGGTGGAGGGTTCGTCGTGGTATTTATCTAGCATATAGGGTTTCGAAGTATATTTAAAAGGTCCAGGCAAAGCTATCTCTTGTCGTATCACAGCTGGGATGAAGTACCTACACTTGAACTAAGTGGTAAGGTGAAATTATCCGGAACGGCTAGCAGCCAAACTGGTCCTTGATGACCGATGTTACAATACAATGAGAATCAGTGAATATGCCCTGACAGCTGATTCTGCGCGTTGGTGTTCCACTGTCTGGACATATAGATACTGCGAATCGTGAAACCAGATGGCTGATAACTCATCGGTGCTCAGATGCAATTTCCTCCATTCGATGGGCTATGGAGAACGAAATGAATGAATCACGTAGACTCATGGCTTAACTGCACATCTCTCGCGAATGAGCATGACAAGGATATGTAGTCTGCTGAGTGGGGAGTAATATCAGAAGGCCTCGAGCGTACCTAACAAACTACTAATGAGGCATCGACTGCGATATTCTGTTGGAACCCTCCCTAAGCACGACCATCGAAGTAAAGCACCGAACGAGATACAGACATGCCACATACACACCCAATGGCATGAATCACAGATAGCTAGGGTAAGCAAATGGGTACTTAAATGAAGTGTCTGATAGAATGGGAGCCCCGCACTGAATATTGAATAGAAGCACGATAGATGAAAGAAGGATGGCCTAGAATGGTCAACGACACGAACGACAACGAAAGTATGTGATCGGGAATTAGATCGCCGATTTTGTCAGGATGCCAAGTTTATTTATTTATCTAGATCGAGGGAATCAGACTCGCACATGCCTGGTTCAAGGCGTACCTGGAATAGTAAGTGATTTTCCTCGCTGATAGCCCTTATCTTGTATACACTCAAACTTTGCTCAAACTCACCCATGCCTTGCAACAGTTCATCAAAGTTTTCCGTTGACCAGTGGCGCGGCTCTTTAGCGCATCGTGGGTAAACGATCTGTTTCCATCCTGCCGAGTAGCATGACTATAACAGTAAAACACCGAATGAGACGCATATGTAAATATAACACACCCGTTGATATTAATCACAGTCACACTAGTACGAAGAGATAACCATTTGAAAGTGTTCAATAAATCGTTATCTGCTCGCCCAGGTAGTACATGAGCAGCGTGTCTGGATCTGAGCCTGACCGCTGATAGACTAGAAATTTACACTTGCGAAAATTACCGTCTGTCAGTTGTTTGAACACAAAGACTGAAAGCAGAAGATGTGCGCACGATCTATGGAAGCTTGAATAGCTTGCGATACAATGGATCTATCGCATGTGCCATTATCCATCTGGGTCGTTTGGGTGAGGCACGATGCGACCATTCCATTGACCAAGAAAAGTAGAAGTAGCGTGTCCAAGCTCAGACAGCTGATAATCTGACAATTCGATGTATTCATGAAGGCCCTGACTATCTGAGCACGAAACAGAACAACCAGAAACTGACAATGATCGCAGAATCGTGTGTTACATGTATGACCTGTCGAAGTTTTATTAGTAGCATGTGAGTCAGTGTAAATTGTCGAACAAGATTATGACATACGTACACAATATAATTCGGCCTTAGAGTAGCGATTTTTCAAGAGTAAACGTAGATGAAAGCAACCTATTATCTGTCTGAACAGAAAGAATGATCATGATTCATAAAAGCCAGAGGCGGCCGATGACACCATGAAATTGAAGAGGTTATCACAGCATGGTCACCCAGACGAACGGACAGAGAGTGAAGGGCCTGGAAAGGATGAGTAGCATCTCTGATCAGGTAGTTGATAGAGAAAAAAACCCGCTATAATGCGTCCCAGCACGAGAAAGGGTGGCCTTCAGAGCGGTAGTAGAATGTCCCTGAGCGCGAGCAAGAATGTGTCTGGAGGGTCTGTCACAGGAGCAACACTCTAGTTTCATATATATGCTCAAGTACTATGTAGGCAGACCAAATACGATTTTAGCTTCGATAGCATAGTGCCTGTCCATCCAGCTTCACGCGCAGGTCTATTCTCGTCTTCCATGACCGATGCGAGCGAGGTGACAAGAGAAATTGGCACAAGTGTGAATTCCGGAACGTCATTGCTTGCAGAGCTGTGACTTAGTAAGCTTGGTTCATATTTTGACTCCGCAAACAGCGCTGCGGACTTTGATTAAAATTTAGACCAGGAGGTTTGGTGCGCGAATGCAAACCCTTGTATTATCGATTCATTGTGCCCACGCGACTATTTTGTACTTATAACAACACATCCTTCGAACTTCAACCCTCCGACAAGTTGTTTTGGACCCTCGTTTCCGTTTCCCCGTTGATAGTAATTCTAAAGCCCTGATTCATCGCCGTAATTTGGTGTTGTCACAGGTAACTATATTATAGCTTTCATGTAGTTAATACTCGATAGTACTGATCTGTGCCAACACAGGATGGACCTCCATGGGAACGATGGATTTCACTCTTAGTCTCTTACAGGATAGGTGTTTACTGAAACACGATACCATCGAGATGAGCCTGTACAATCAGAAATTAGCTTCCTGGCGTGACGTCAAGTGCACGATGCATTGCACTCGCAATGAGCGGCCATCATGGTAAGTCATGTCATGATGACGAGTCATTCGTAAGGACAACTTATTTCAGGCTCGGTATCTGTCCTGTTACGTTCTCTTATGCGAAACCCACGTAACCTCGACTGCAACTAAACCGTACAGGTTGATCTTTAGATCTCCCTAGCCCAATTATATGAGTAGAACGAGGACAGACTGCTATCATTGCGTCATAGTACCGCTGGTTTCACCCCAACCGTTGGTACGTTTTCACACCTGTGCCAAAATCGAGTATGTTTACTCTAGGTAACATCTCCGTTAGTCTCGGAAGTCTCACTAATGACACTGCTATTGGCAAAAGCAGTCTGAGCCTGCCTATAGAGTGTCCAATTTCGAATCTTCCAAGCAAGTCGCAAGCTTCCATTGGCCTGTGTGTGAGAGATCGATGACTGCATGATTTCACAGGGAACTCAATTTTTGCAAGCTCACAGCGAAAACACCCCAAAAATCGCGTTAGAAATAAGTTGCCAACATCACAAACGACTGGAACTCGCCTGGTGTTAAGCAGTCCTGTGCGTAATAGTGATTTGGGAATCATACTTGATTACCGGCTGCGTGTTTGATTTCGTACCGTTTCACCTGATCAGGGTTGTTGAGGCGTGAGCAAATCCTCATCTCCATCATGCTGATTTTGGTCATACAAGCGCTGAACGGTGGTATATCTAGCACGAACGCTGCCTATTTGCTCACACCCACCCCTCGAACATGACCTTCGTCTTAAATGGTCCCAGTTACTGGCCGTATATCAGTTCGGATATCTTTTTAAGTTATTGGATAGGTTTGTCGCTTTAGGATGTCCAGATCTAACGTTGACATGCAGTTTCGCAGTTGCCACGGGCGTGGTGGTGGTATATGATTGGGGTGAGCATGACAGTGTTCGAAAATCGATGATATTCTCATGATATTTCCAGTCTTGACACTGGGACAAGAGGTATGTCGATGTTATCGTTGGGGTAGTTAACTTGCTAAGAATGGTGCCATAGATTGAACTCATCTGGGTGAGTGACAATAGTCCTGTATCGGAAGAAAAACAGGAGAATGTAATTAATTCGCGGCAGAGACAACGCTGGTCTCTCATGACAGTGCTGTATTTGATTGTTCGTACCCATGTCGTGCTCTAGTGTGGTGGGCAACTTGTGCTGACTCCAAAATGTTTTAGATACGCTATATTGGAATACCATTTTCTGTGTATGTGTCGAGATCAACAACTTTCCACTTTGCTAATCAATCATCTCTGACAACTAGTGTCTCTCTCCTGCGTATGTCTCGTGTTCGCTGTGTTCCATTTTCTGACCGGCGGCACACAGGATTTGCGCCCTGGGTATCGCTGACAGATGCAGTGAGTATTCTGCAACCATCTCATTCCCATTCGATCAATACACTCATATGTAGGGGTGAGTGAGAATACAAGCATTGAAGTTTGCTCAACATAATGACTCGATAGGTGTAAGTCGGAGTCTTTGATACTAGTGCGAGGGCGTTCACTAAATGCGAGTTTTAGGCACTATCATGTTCTACACAACGAGTGCGACAAATGTAGTCGTAGCTGCCATGTTGGGCAGTGAGTCCCCCAGGTGCAATACCTCTGTGATATTGACCTGACTGACGCACGATGCAAGTCGTCATGATTGCTCGGTTGCATGCAATGTATCAGGGATCTAGAGCGATGCTTATCTTCCTTGTTATTATGTTCCTAGCTATAAACATCCCCTGCGGAGTAATTGCAGCAATAGAACTCAACGATACTGTACTAGGTAAGCTTTACTTGTTGACTTGAAGACCACAGCTCATTAGGCGAACACCAGAGGAATTGATACTCTCTGGCACGTATAAGTGCTATTATGTATATGAAGTGGACGAGCAGCTTCTTTTTCCGATGGTTTGGATGCTCAACACTGTTTGGGAGGTCCTCGCACTGTGTCTTTCAGTTTGGGTTGCTGTGAAACACTTCCGTGACCTGCGACGACTCGGCCCTTCGACAGGATTGACCATCGGGGACTGTTTCAGAGTGCTGATACAATCTCACATTCTTTATTTTGCAAGGTGAGCTTGTGGTGTGAATGCGGTTATATTTTGCTACTCAAGTTCCGCACATGTTAGCTTTTTTAGTGTCTCCTGCCTCCAGCTTGTTGCTCATCTGTCTCCAGAAATCTCGGTGCGCTGACCTGTTGATGATATCTGCATGCAACTACTGCTCATCGGTTCTGTAGAATTCAGATTCCATTGGAGCTCTGACACTCTCTGGTGCTCTTCAAATTTTATTCGTCGTGCAATTGTTTGTGCTGGGACCACGCCTCATCTTGAGCGTTCGAGAATACCACGCCAAACTCGTGGCATACTCCGACGCAGACACTAGCATGAATTCGATTGTCTTCCAGGAGCATGTACATGTATCGACTAGCAGTACTGTGTAGGGATATGCTTGCCGAGTGGTCTTGTATCGCAGGCGAGAGATGGATGAAAGAAGGACTAGCACACACCTGTTTGATGCGAACAATGGTAAAAGTATGTGATCGGCAATTCGATCGCTGATTTTGTCAGCATTCCAAGTTTCTTATTTATCTCGATCGAATGAATTGGACTTGCACATGTCTGGTTTAAGGTGTACCTGGGAAGCCCTTGGATAGCCAATAGTACCAGGCTATACTGTCAAGCGAGACAGCTGATAGACTAGAAATCTACACTTGTGAAAATTACTGTCTGTCAGCTGTTTGAACACAAAGACTGAAAGCAAAAGTGCGCACGATATATGGAAGCTGAGATGGCTTGTGATGGAATGGCCCTGTCGCATCTACTGCGTCATTATCCATCTGGGCTGTTCGAGTAGGGCGCGATGCGACTATTCTATGGACCAAGGAAAGTAGAAGTGGCATGTCCGAGCTCAGACAGCTGATGATCCGAGAATTCGACTTATACATGATTATCATCTGAGCACGATGCACGAAGAACTAAAAATAATAACCAAGGACTGACCATGATCGCAGACTTGTGCATTGGGCATGTATAGCCTGTCGAAGTTCTACTAGTAGTATGTCCGTCAGCGTGAAATCTCAAACGAGATTATAATATACGTACGCAATTCAGAGTGGCATTGGAATAGCGTGTCGAAGCCCAGGCAGCTGATAAAGCTGATATTTCAAATTTCAAGGGTGAACGTAACCAAAAGCAGCTTATCATATGTCTGACTAAAAAGAACGATCAGATTCATATATAAAAGCCAGATGGCCGATGATACCATAACATTAAAGAGGTTATCACAGCACAGCGTCACCTGAACAAACAAACAAAGAGTGAAGGACTTGGAAAGCAAAGTAGCACGTCTGTGATTAGATGATCGGGTAGTTGACAAAGAAAAAAACTCACTATAAGATGGGAAAGGGTGGCCTCCTGAGCGGTAGTAGAATATGTCTGGAGGATCTGTTAACACTTTAGTTTCATATATATATTTGAGTATTATGTAGGCAGACCAAATACGATAGTCGTTCCTTCTAGTTTTGATGGCATAGAGCCTGTCCGTCGAGCTTCACGCGCAGGTCAATCCTTGTCTTCTATGATCGATGCGAGCGAGGTAACAAGAGAAATTGGCACAGGTGTGGGTTCCGGATCGGCCGCCTTAATATTGCTCGCAGAGGCAGCAGAGCCGTATTACAGCTTGGTTCATTTTTCGACTCCGCAAACGCCGAAGGTAGTAGCGCTGCGGACTTCCAAGTTCAACGTTTATCTGCCAACACAGGACGGACATCCGACCTACACGGCAACGATGGATTTCAATATTAGTCTCTTACATGTTTACTGAAACACGATGCCATCAAGATGAGCGTGTACAATCAGAGATTAGCTTCCTGGCGGTGCAATTTCCCCCGATGATGTCACATAGCTATTCAACATGGTGCGCTTTGTATTGTATTGTCTGAGTTCCGCAGAATGAGAATGATCCTTGCTCCATAAGAATAATTGGAGGGCTGTTGCGCCTCGAGCTCATGATGCCGAAAAGTGTGTACACTTGTTTCATGCATATCCGTACACGCTTACAGCTAGACCAATTCGCTTCAACACGTAAATTTCGTCATTCGCCAATGACAGATCAGAAACAGTTCTAGAACCATTTGCTGTGTGTACGTGTGTATCCCCTCTGTATATAAATGTATGTCCGTGGAGTACGATTTGACTGGGGGTATATCTAGCGTGAACGCTGTCCATTCGCTCACACCCATCCCTCGAACATGACCTTCGTCTCAAATGATCCCACCTACTGGCCGTATATCGGTTTCAACATTTTCTTGAGCTATTGGACAGGTTTGTCGCATCAAGATGTTTAGATCTGACGTTGACGTGCGGTTTCACAGTTGCCGCGCTAGTTGTGGTGGTATACGATTGGGGTGAGCAGGATAGTGTTGGAAAATTCCTGTTATTCTCATGAAATTTTCAGTCTTAACACTCGGACAAGAGGTACGTCGATGTCATCGCCGGAGCGGTCAACTCGCTGAGAATGGTGTCATAGATTGAACTCATCTGGGTGAGTGACAAGAGTCCCGTATCAGAGGAAGACGAGAATGCAATTAATTCGTGGCAGAGAAGACGCTGGTCTCTCATGACCGTGCTGTATTTGATTGTTAGTGCCTCATGTTGTGCCTTAGCGTGGTGGGCAACTTGTGCTGACTCTAAAATGTTCTAGATACGCTATATTGGAATACCATATTCTATGTATGTGTCGAGATCAACAACTTTGCACTGTGCTAATGGCTCGTCTCTGACAACTAGTACCAATATCCTGGGTATGCCTCATATGCGCTGCCTGTGTTCCATTTTTCTGACCGGCGGCACACAGAAAACATGGCATCAGTATCGCTGACAGATGCAGTGAGTATTCTACAACCATCTCATTCTCATCCAATCAATACGTTCATATGTAGGGGTGAGTGAGATTCCAACCATTGAAGTTGGCTCAACATAATGACTCGATAGGTGTAAGTCGGAGTCTTTGATACCAGTGCGAGGATGTTAACTGATTGGGAATTTTAGGCACTATCGCGAACCACGCAGTGAATGGCACAAATGTGGCCTTGACTGCCATGTTGGGCGGTGAGTGACCCAGGTGTAATACCTCTGTGATATTGACCTGACTGACACGATCAAGTCATCATGATTTCTCGGTTGCATGCCATGTATGAGGGATCTAGAGCGATGCTGATGTTCCTTGTCATTATCTTCCTGGCTGTAAACATCGCCTGCGCAGTGATCATGGTAATAGCCCTCAAGTACCTTGTAGGGGGTAAGCTTTACTTGTTGACTTGAGGAACAGGGCTTATTGGATAAACACTAGGGGAACTGATAATCTCTGGCGCGCATATGTGCGGTTATGAATTGGAAGGGACCGACCCGCTGCTTATTTCAATGATATCGGTCCTCAACAGTGTTTGGGAGGTCCTCGTACTGTGTCTTTCAGTCTGGATTGCTGTGAAACACTTCCGTGAGATGCGACGATACAGCCTCTCGACAGGATCGAAGATCGTGGACTGTTTCAGAGTGCTGATACAATCTCACGTTCTCTATTTTGCAAGGTGAGCTTGTAATATGGATGCGGTTATGTTTTTCTGCTCAAGTTCCGCACATGTTAGCTTTGTTGGTGTCTCTTGCATCCAGCTTGTTTATCTCTCTCCAAAATTGGTGCGCTGACCTTTGACTGACATCTGCGTGAAACCACTGCTCATCATTTCTATAGAATGCGAATTCTATTGGAGATCAGATACTCGATGGTGCTGTTCAAATTTTATCGGTCGTGCAGATGTTTGTGCTGGGACCACGCCTCATCCTTAGTGTTCGAGAATACCACGCTGAACTTGTGGAATGCTCCGACGCAGAAACTACCATGAATACGATTATCTTTCTGGAGCATGTACATGTATCGACTAGCAGTACTGTGTAGGGAAATACTTGCCGAGTCGTCTGCAGGGGGGAGAAATTGGTGGAGAATCCGTCGTGTTATTTATTTAATATATGGTGTTTCGAAGTATATTTGAAATCGGCATCAGGAACGGAGTAGCTACTTACCTATGCTTGCACCAAGTGGTGAGCTGAGATATGTTAACATGGGGAGCTCGAGCAAGGGTTTGCGGAGCCGGCGTTAGCAAAAAAGCAGGGCTAGGAAGGGTGCAGAGTTAGCAGGAAAGGAGAGCTAGAACCAGTGCGGGGCGAGTGCAGAGACAAAGTTCAGGGTCTCAGGATCTTCAGGGTCCAAGATTACATAGAACGCATACACATGTTATACATAGCCAGGAGGCAGAGCATCTTCATCCTCTTCAGAGTTCAAAGCTGGCGGTTTCAACGTCTAGCAACTGACACGGTCCTTGATCCCCATGGTACTTGATGCCAGATATTGAAATACGATGATAATTTGTGCAGGTACCCAGACGGCTGATTCTACCTGTTTTCGAAGTTTCGCACTGAAATGATGAAAAAGTGACTATGAAGTGTGAAGCCCACCTGGCTGATATAGATTAGCTCATTAGCCTGAGATGCATTTCTATCCATTCGGGCCACGGAGAAGGAAAATGAAGGAATCCCGCGGACTCATCGCTCGGCTGTAGCGAATGAGCATGACAAGCTCGAGATGAGGTCTACTGAAGCCCCTGCTAAGCACGACCATCAAAGTAAAGCACTAACGAAATACAAACTTGCATGCATGCATACACCAATTGGCATCGATCAATCGATCACAATCGCTCCTGGGGCAGGCAAATGGTCACTTGAACGGCGCAAGGTGTATTGATGGCGAGAAGTTGAGGGAAACGCATGTTCGACAATCCGCGTGACGGACAAGAAGGAAGAATTGCATAGAGCAGATTTGGAGTAGATGCCAGGTTATAGATAGATAATAAAACTTGGAATGCTAACAGAATCGGCGATCTGATTTCTAATAGACCTTCTCAACACAGTTCGTGTCGTCGTCCCTTGTACAAAAGTGCGTTTTCCAGGATTCATATCATCATTTAGTCGATGCCTTACCTATTGAGCGAATTGACAGAAGAACATATATGTTCGGTTCAAGGCGTGCCTGGGAGACCAATAATTTTCTCGGTCTACTTATATGAGTCGAGCCCTTTCTGTCGAGTGAAAAGGGTTGGAGTATCTTTGTGACGTCCAAACAAAGTCTGGTTTTTCGACAGGTGGTAGAACGGCGGCAGCTCGGCAAATCATGCGGGGCTTGAAATTTTGCATCAGCTAATGCGCACCAACTTAGGTCCAATATGGAACGGTTCAACTTCTACACGTTATCTTATATTCCTCTGTCGCGTCCGCGTCCGCCGCTTAAAAACAAGAGGACTTGATGGATCGTCTGATGGCTCCTTCATGTTTCAGGTTAGAGAACAGTTCAATGAAAGAAATCAGATGGATATGATCGCCGTACTGATCTCCGGTCCAAACCCCGTCCTCAAACGCCGGTAATCCGATAAACGAGACGTCCTCGCTCCAACATGTCATTTGCCAATGACGTCGATTCTTAGATTATATATAGTCCTCAACCATTTGCTGTATGTATATGTGTACGTGTGTATCCCCTCTGTATGTCCGTGGAGTAGGATTTGATTGGGCGGCAATATATCTAGCACGAACGCTGCCCATTCGCTCACACCCATCCCTCTAACATGACCTTCATCTCAAATGATCCCAGTTACTGGCCGCATATCAGTTGGAATATTTTTTTGAGCTATTGGACAGGTTTGTCGCATCAAGATGTCTAGATCTAACATTGACATGCAGTTTCACAGTTGCCGCGGTCGTCGTGATGCTATACGATTGGGGTGAGTAGGACAGTGTTCCAAAATCGCTGATATTCTCATGATATTTCCAGTCTTAACGCTCAGCGGAGAGGTACGTCGATGTCATTGCCAGAGCAGCCAACTCGCTGAGAATGGTTGTCATAGATTGAACTCATCTGGGTGAGTGACAAGAGTTCCGTATCAGAAGAATGCAATCAATTCGCTGCAGAGAAAACACTGGTCTCTCATTACCGTGCTTTATTTGATTGTTAGTACCTCATGTTGTGGTTTAGCGTGGTGAGCAACTTGTGCTGACTCCAAAATGTTCTAGATACGCTATATTGGAATACCATATTCTGTGTATGTATAGAAATCAACAACTTCGCACTTTGCTAATGAGTCATCTCTGATAACTAGTATCTCTGTTCTACGTATGTTTCATATGCGCTGTGTTCCATTTTTCTGACCGGCGATACACAGAGTATATGCCATCGGTATCGCTGACAGATGGAGTGAGTATTTTGCAACCATCTTATACCCATCCAAGCAATATACTCATATGTAGGGGTGAGTGAGACTACAATCATCGAACTTGGCTCAACATAATGACTCGATAGGTGTAAGTCGGAGTCTTTGATACTAGTGCGATGGTATTCACTAATTGGGAGTTTTAGGTGCCATCACGGACTACGCAGTAAATGGCTCAATTGTGATTTTGACTGACATGTTGGGTGGTAAGTTGACCAGGTGCAATACCTCTGTGATATTGACCTGACTGACACACGATGCAAGTCATCATGATTTCTCGGTTGCATGTCATGTATCAGGGATCTAGAAAGATGCTTATGTTCCTTGTTATCATCTTCCTGGCTGTAAACATATTTTGCGCAGTAATCGTGGCAATAGCACTCCACGAGACCGTAATGGGTAAGCTTTATTTGTTGACTTGGAGGTCACGGCTCATTGGGCACACCAGAGGAGATGATACTCTCTGACATGCATACGTGCGATTATGGGATTGGTAGCGAAGAGCGGTTTCTTATTTCAATGGCCTGGGGGCTCAACACTGTTTGGGAGGTCCTCGCACTGTGCCTTTCTGTCTGGGTTGCTGTGAAACACTTCCGTGACCTGCGACAACTCGGCCCATCGACAGGATCAACTCTCGGGGACTGGTTCAGAGTGCTCATACAATCTCACGCCCTTTATTTTGCAAGGTGAGCCTTGTAATGCGAATGCGGTTATATTTTTATGCTCAAGTGCCGGACGTGTTAGCTTTGTTGGTGTCTCTTGCCTCCATCTTGCTGCTCTCTCTCCAAAAATTGCGGTGCGCCGACTTGTCGCTAACATCCGCGTGTAACCACCGCTCATCATTTCTGTAGAAATCAGATATTGGAGTTTCGATACTCGGTAGTGCTCTTCAAATTTTTATGGTCATTCAGATGTTTGTGCTGGGACCACGCCTCATCCTGAGCATTCGAGAACACCATGCCAAACTCGTGGCATACTCCGACGCAGAAACTACCATGAATTCGATTGTCTTCCAGGAAGATGTACATGGATCTACTAGCAGTACTGTATAGGGAAATGCTTGCCGAGTAGTCTACGGGGAGCAAAAATATGGTGCAGGATCCGTCGTGGTATTTATTTAACATGCGGTGTTTCGAACTATACTTGGAAGGTCTAGACAAACCTATTTCTTGTTGCATTACTATTGGAATGCCATATGCAGTACCCGCGCTTGAACTAATTGGCAAGGTGAAATTATCCGGAACGTCCAGTAACCAACCTGGTCCTTGATGGGCGATGGAAATATAACGAGAATCAGTAAAAAGGTGGGAAACGCGGGAGACTCGAAGACGTTTTGCAGGAACATTGAAGAGTACCATGACGTCTCGCATGTGGGCTGTCTCGACGACCAATAAGGAAAACAACTTGTGGGTGTGGGTAACCGGTGATATATGATATATCTGATATATTGCACGAATACATTAGCTCAGGATGATCTTGAGGAGAATAAAGTTCCAGAGAGGAACGATGATCCAAGATTCCAGGTGTCGATGGTGGGAAGGTTGTCAATCCCGCACTAAACGGAAGCACGATGAAAAAAGGATGATGTCAGGCTAGATAAGGCATCGACTGTCAGAAATGATGATACGAATCCTGGAAGACACAATATTAGTACAAGGGATGATGACACGAACGATGGCGGAACAATGAAAGTATGTCATTGGGAAGTAGATCGCCAATTTTGTTAGCATTCCAAGTTTTTTTATTCATTAGATCGAGCGAGTTGAAAGAACATACACGTTTAGTTCAAGGCGTGTCTGAGAGGGGTGAAAGGAAAATTAAGGACCAAGAGTATGTAAGTACTTACAATATGTAAAGTGTAACGGTGTTATGCTCGAGGACAGCGGACGCATGAGCACTGATGTCGATGGTCAGCCCAGCATATCGAGAGTAGTGGAACAGGGTAAACAACTTACAGCTGGTCAAAACCAGACACCCTGTAAGCCGTCTCCAACACCCGTACCAGGTTGGTTAGATAGCGAAAGCGATCGTATTTAGAACGAAGACGAGGTGAAGGGTTTGAATGCATTAGAAAATGTGAACATAGTGTTATTGTATCCGTGAAGGGGTGGCCAATCAAGTGGTTGGAGTATCTTTGTGGCGTACAAACAAAGTCCGAAACTGAGGATTCTCGGCAAACACCGAAGGTAGTAATGGCTTTTATAAGTTACAGCTTGTCTGCCTTAGACCAACGCTACAACATGTAATTTTCGTAATTTGCCAATGACGTTGATTCTTAGATTACATAGATACAGTCCTAGACCATTTGCTGTATGTACGTGTGTACATGTGTATCCCCTCCAGTGTATGTAATGTCCGTGGACTCTGGAGTAGGATTTGACTGGGGGTATATCTAGCACGAACGCTGCCCATTTGCTCACACCATCCCTCGAACATGACCTTCGTCTCAAATGATCCCGGTTGGTGGCCGACAATCAATTTCAATTTGTCAGTCAGCTATTGGATAGGTTCGTCACATTAACATGTCTAGATCCAAGGTTGACTTGGGGTTTTGCAGTTGCCGCCGGCGTCGTCGTGGTACACGATTGGGGTGAGCAGGACAGTGTTCGAAAATCGCTGATATTCTCATAATATTTCCAGTCTTAACACTCGGACAAGAGGTACGTCGATGTTATTGCTCGAGCAGCCAACTCGCTAAGAATGCTGTCATAGATTGAACTCATCTGGGTGAGTGACAAAAGTCCCGTATCAGAAGAAAACAAGAGCATGCAATGAATTCGCGACAGAGACAACGCTGGTCTCTCATGACCGTGCTGTATTTGATTGTTCGTACCTCATGTTGTACTTTAGCATGGTGGGCAACTTGTGCTGACTCCAAAATGTTCTAGATACGCTATAGTGGAATACCGTATTTTGTGTATGTATCGAGATCAACAACTTCAGACTGTGCTAATAGCTCATCTATGACAACTAGTGTCAATGTTCTGGGTATGTCTCATATGCGTTGTGTTCCATTTTTCTGACCGGCGGCACACAGGAAATATGCCATCGGTATCACTGCCAGATGCAGTAAGCATTCTGCAACCATCTCATTTCCATCCAATTAATGCATTCATATGCAGGGGTGAGTGAGGTTTCAACCATTGAACTTGGCTCAACATAATGACTCAATACTAGGTGTAAGTTGGAGTCTTTGATACTAGTGCGAGGGCGTTCACTAATTGCGAGTTTTAGGCATTATCGCGTACTACGTATTAAATGGCACAACTGTGGCTTTGACTGTCATGTTGGGTGGTAAGTTGACCAGGTGCAATACCTCTGTGATATCGACCTGACTTGCGCACGATTCAAGTCATCATGATTGCTCGGTTGCATGCTATGTATCAGGGATCTAGAACGATGCTTGTGTTCCTTATTATCATTTCCCTGGCCGTAAACATCGCCTGCGGAGTGATCATGGCAATAATACTGAAAGATACTGTAGGGGGTAAGCTTTACTTGTTAACTTGAAGAACACGGCTGATTGGACAAACACCAGAGGAGCTGGTACTCTCTGGCATTTATATGTGCAGTTCTGAATTGGAAGGCAACTCCCTGCTTCTTGGATCAATGGTTTGGATGCTCAACACTGTTTGGGAGGTCCTCGCACTGTGCCTTTCAGTTTGGGTTGCTGTAAAACACTTCCGTGAGCTGCGACGACTCGGCCCATCGACAGGATCGACCATCGGGGACTGTTTCAGAGTGCTGATACAATCTCATGTTCTCTATTTTGCAAGGTGAGCTTGTAATGTGAACGCGGTCATATTTTTCTGCTCAAGTTGCGCACATGTTAGCTTTGTTGGTGTCTCTTGCGTCCAGCTTGCTTTTCTCTTCCCAGAACTCCCGGTGCGCTGAGCTGGTGCTGATATCTGCGTGCAACTGGTGCTCATCATTTCTATTAGAATTCGGATTCCCTTGGAGTTTCGATACTCGGTGGTGCTCTTCAAATTTGTATGGTCATTCAGTTATTTGTGCTGGGACCACGTCTCATCCTTAGCGTTCGAGGATACCACGCCAAACTGGTGGCATACTCTGACGCAGAAACTAGCATGAATTTGATTGTCTTCCAGGAGCATGTACATGTATCGACTAGCAGTACTGTATAGAGAAATGCTTCCCGAGTGGTCTGCAGGGAGAAGAAATTTGATCGAGGATCCGTTGTGATATTTATTTGACTTATAGTACATCTGAAAGGTCTAGGCAAATCTATTTGTTGTTGTATCACTACTAGAACGAAGTACCCGCGCTTGAACTAAGTGTTAAGGGGAAATTATCCGGAACGTCCTTTGTTGAAATACAACGAGAATCAATAAAAGTGCCTTGAGCATTAATTCTGCGCGTTGGTGTTCCACTGTCTGGACATATAGATACTGCGAATCGTGAAGCCACATGGCTGATAACTCATCAGTGCTCAGATGCGATTTCTTCCATGCGATGGGTCAAGGAGAACGTACGTGGCTCCGAGTCTGATGGCACTGAGAGGGGGACCAGATACGAGATAAGGTGAAAGGAGGACTGAGGACCGAGAGTATGCAAGTACTTACAATATGTGAAAGCTATGCTCGAGGACAGCAAATGCATGAGTGCTGATGTATCGACGGTCAGCCTAGCATATGTCGCCGAGAGTGGTGGAACGGGGTAAACAACTTACAGCTGTTCAAAAACCACAAATAAGCTGTCTCTAACACCCGTACCAATTCTTTTAGGTACAAACTCCATATTGGAACGTGCAGATTAGAGTGGGTGCACATGGGCAGGCATTCTCAGATCGGAAGTCTGTAGAGAAGACGTCTAGGAATAAAATTGAGTTGTGGCATATAGCTATGCCAGCGTGATGGCTAGAGTACGTATAATACTTACATGTAAATTTGAACCTGATGCCGGACGAGGATGAGCTGAGGATTGGCAAGATGAGTTATATCGTGAGACGGGGTTAGATAGCGAAAACGATCATATTTAGAACGAAGACAAGATGAAGGGTTTGAATGAATTGGAAAATGTGAACATAGTGTTGAGTATCCGTGAAGGGGTGGCCAATCAAGTGGGTGAAAAGGGTTGGAGTTATCTTTGTCGCGTACAAACAAAGTCCAACTCAATTCTCGGCAGACACCGAAGGTAGTAATGGCTTTTATCACAGCTTGTCCACAGACCTACGCTCCAACTTCATGTAAATTTCGCAATTTGCCAATGACGTCGATTCTCAGATTAGATACAGTCCTAGACCATTTACTGTGTGTATGTGTGTACATGTGTATCCCCTCTGTATGTAAATGTATGTCCGTAGAGTAGGGAGCGCTGAACGGTGGTATATCTAGCACGAACGCTGCCATGGCATTCGCTCACACCCATCCCTCGAACATGACTTTCGTCTCAAATGATCCCAGTTTGTGGCCACAAATCAATTTAAATATTATTACCAGCTATTTCGAAGGTCTGTTGCATCAAGATGTCTAGATCTAACGTTGACTTGGGGTTTTACAGTTGCCGCCTGCGTCATGGTGGTATACGATTGGGGTGAGCAGGACAGTATTAGAAAATCACTGATATTCTCATAATATCTCCAGTCTTAACACTGAGACAAGAGGTACGTCGATGTCATCGTCGGAGAAGCCAACTCGCTGAGAATGGCGTCACAGATTGAACTCATCTGGGTGAGTGACAAGAGTCCCGTATCAGAAGAAAACAAGAGAATGCAATTAATTCGCGGCAGAGACAATGCTGGTCTCTCATGACTGTGTTGTATTTGATTGTTAGTACCTCATGTTGTACTTTTTAGCGTGGTGGGCAACTTGTGCTGACTCCAAAATGTTCTAGATACGCTTCATTGGAATACCATTTTCTTTGTATGTGTCGACACCAACAACTTTGCACTGTGCTAATAGCTCATCTGTGACGACTAGCGTCTTTCTTCTGGGTATGGCTCATATGCGCTGTATTTCGTTTTTCTGACCAGCAGGACACAGAATATGTGCCATCGGTATCGCTGACAGATACAGTGAGTATTCTGCAACCATCTCATTCCCATTCAATCAATACACTCACATGCAGGGGTGAGTGAGAATACAGGCATTGAACTTTGCTCAACATAATGACTCAATAGGTGTAAGTCGGAGTCTTTGATACTAGTGCGATGGTGTTCATTAATTGGGACTTTTAGGTACTATCGCGGACTACGCAGTAAGTGGCACAATTGTGATCGTGACTGCCATGTTGGGCGGTAAGTTACCCAGGTACAATACCTCGGTGATATTGACATGACTGACACACGATGCAAGTCATCATGATTGCTCGGTTGCATGCCATGTATCAGGGATCTAGAACGATGCTTATGTTCCTTGTTATCATCTTCCTGGCTGTGAACATTGCCTGCGGAGTGATCACGGTAATAGGACTCAACGATATTGTACTGGGTGAGCTTTACTTGGTCACTTGAAGAACACGGCTGATTGGACAAACACCAGAGGAGTTCATACTTTCTGGCACATATGTGTGCGGTTATGTACTATATGAAGGGGACGAACAGCTTCTGTTTTCAATGGTTTCGATTCTCAACACTGTTTGGGAGGTCCTCGCACTGTGCTTTTCAGTCTGGATTGTTGTGAAACACTTCCGTGACCTGCGACGACTCGGCCCATCAACAGGATCGACTATCGGGGACTGTTTCAGAGTGCTGATACAATCTCACGTTCTTTATTTCACAAGGTAAGCTTGTGATGTGAACACGGTTATATTTTTATGCTGAAGTTCCGCACATGTTAGCTTTGTTGGTGTCTCTTGCTTCCAGCTTGCTTTCCTCTCTCCAAAAATCTTTGTACGCCGACCTGTTGCTGACATTTATGTGTAACCGCTGCTCATGATTTTTTGTAGAATTCGACTTCTATTGGAGCTCAGATAATCGATGGTGTTTCTCAAATTTTATTGGTCATTCAGATGTTTGTGCTGGGACCACGCCTCATCCTGAGCATTCGAAAATACCATGCCAAACTTGTGGCATACTCCGACGCAGAAATTAGCATGAATTCGATTGTCTTCCAGGAAGATGTACATGTATCGACTAGCAGTCTTGTATAGAGAAATGCTTGCTGAATGGTCTGCAGGGAGAAGAAATTTGATTGAGCATCCGTTGTGATATTTATTTGACATATAGTATATTTGAAAGGTCTAGGCACAGCTATTTCTTATTGTATCACTACTAGAACAAAGTACCCGCGCTTGAACCAAATATTAAGGGGAAATTATCCGGAACGTGCTTTGTTGAAATACAACGAGAATCAATAAAAGTGCCTTGAGCATTAATTCTGCGCGTTGGTGTTCCACTGTCTGGACATATAGATACTGTGAATCGTGAAGCCACATGGCTGATGACTCATCAGTGCTCAGATGTGATTTCCTCCATGCGATGGGTCAAGGAGAATGAAAGGAATGAATCGTGTAAACTCATGGTTTGATTGTACGTCTTTCGGTATGGATGATGATGCAAATCCTGGAAGACGCACATCAGGATGACGACACAAACGATCCGTAATCAACTTGTGTACAGATAAAAACTCACCTCAGCTTACTCATGCCTTGCAACAGTTTTCCATTGACTAGCCGCGCGGCTCTTTATCGCATCACGGGTATTGCAATACCCTTCATGTGCGCCAATGGTGGTGCGTCGCTTCAGAATGCAGTGAATTGTATCATGTATGCAAAGCACTTCGATTGTGTTGAGCAACCGCTAGAGTGACCACGACAATCTGAATATTGGAGATACACATATTGATCGCAGTCGTTCTGCCAGAGGTACTAATAGTGTCCCACCTAGTGAGTCCCCAGCACACTGTCCAAACCGTGCATCGATCTAGATTCGGGATCCTTGTGATCTGGCGAGTCCAGACAGGCGATATAAGGAAGTCCACAAAATTTTCTCCCTTCTACACACATCATTTGTCCAAGTACAACGCACACGATATCCAGATGAATTATCGTGCGGATGTTATAACTAAGTAACGCGTCGCTGAGATAGATCAATGATGTCAAGTGTGATCAGTTTTAAAAAAGAAACTGACGGCTCGAGTATATCACAAATGCATGCAGCAAGAACATCAGGGGTGGTGAGTGGTGAGTAGAGCAGAAAATCGGGGCTTCAAGTCGGAAGGCACAAAGCGCACCTGCAAAAGTATCAGTGAGATGCCGATCATGAAGTTTTAGGACTCTGCCATACATACTTTGATCAGAATAACATCATATATACAACTGTAAATCATGTGTCAGATATGTATTAGGGCCCTTGCAACAATCTGTTTCCATCTTGCCAAGTAGCACGACTGTGAGAGTAAAATACTGAACGAGATGCATACACACAACACACCGTTGACATCAATTAGAGTCGCTCTAGTGCGAAGAAATGATCATTTGAAAGCATACACTTCACTTCAACAGGTCGTTATCTGCTCGCCCAGGTAGTACATGAACAGCGTGTCTGGATCTAAGTCCGACAGCTGATGGACCAGAATTCCATGTTCATGAAAACTACCGTCTGTCAGCTGTTTGAACACAAAGACCGAAAGCGCAAGAAGTGTGTACGATCTATGGAAGCTCAGATAGCTTGCGACGCAATTGGCTCCGTCGGATCTACTATGTCATCGTCTGAGCCGTTCAGGTGGGGCGTGACGCAACTGTCCCATAAATCAAGGAAAGTAACAGTAGCGTGTCCAAGTACAGACGACTGATAATCCGAGAATTTGACGCGTTTATGAATGCCCTGGATCACCATATATTTGAGCACGAAGGAGGAAAAACAAAAAATAACAACCAAGAACTGACCACGGTTGCAGATTCGTGCATTGGACATGTATGGCCTGTCAAAGTCTTACTAGTAGCATGTCCATCAGTCCAAAATCTTGAACGAGATTATGATATACGTACACAAGGCAATTCAGAGTGGCATTGGAGTAGCGTGTCGAAGCCCATGCAGCTGAGAAATGCAATATTTTAAGAGTGCACGTAAATGAAAGCAGCTGTCTAAGCAAAAAGAATGACCATGATTCATAAAGGCCAGATGGCCGATGACACCATGATATTGAAGAGGTTATCACAGCATGGCGTCATCAGTCACCTGAACAAACAAACAGTGAGTGAAGGACCTGGAAAGGAAAAGTAGCACGTCTGTGATCAGGTGATCGGGTAGTTGACAGAGAAAAAACTTACTATGATGTGTCCGAGGACAAAGAAAGATGGGAAAGGGTGGCCTCCATAGTGGTAGTAGAAAGTTCCTGAACGCGAGGAAGAATGTGTCTGGAGGATCTGTCACAGGAGCAACACTTTAGTCTCACATATATGCCATACTCAAGTATTACTATGTAGGCAGACCAAATACGATAGTCGTTCATTCTGGGTTTGACGGTATAGTGCCCGTCCGTCGAGCTTTACGCGCAGATCTATTCTTGTCTTCCATGACCGATGCGAGTGAGGTAACAAGAGAAAATATTGGCACAGGTGTGAGTACTTGAGTTCCGCATTGCTTGCGGTTACATAGTTGGTTCATTTTTTGACTCCGCAAATGCTGTACACTGCAAACTGCCGCAAACCTTTGACACATGTCCAAAATGGGTACCATGTGTCAAACCTTTAATAATATGTCCCGAAGGGTTTTCTCGCCAGAAATTGCCGATAATTTGAAAATTTGCCTAAGCGAGCCAATGGATTCATGATCTTAAGAGACCTTTACAAGGCACCTAATTATATTTATGAGACCCCGATGGAACATAGACGACCGTAGCTAGTAGTTACACTGGATTAGAATATCCTCCATGTGTGGTTTCAATAGATTGCACAGAGGTCTCGTTTCATAGGTAGCGCAGAGGTCTTATTTCATAGGTAGCACAGAGGTCTCGTTTCATATGTTGCACAGATGTCTGCTCTCATAGACTGGGCATATGTCTCATTTCATAGGTTGTACAGATATCCCACATGATGGGTCACACAGATGTCTTATATCATATATATGTTGGTTGGAAGGATGCCGATCTCGCATGCAGGAATTCAATGCACCTTGGCCATTCGGAATCAGGCAGGTAAAAAAAATCAGATGAAGCACGAGTGTTATTGCTAGTGCTGCCGCGGTCCGGTCCAGAACCACGGTTCGAACCGGACTTTTGGTCCGGTTCTCTGTGGTTCGGTCCATGGTTCCCTCACCAGCCAGAACCGGACCGGAAAGCGGTTCTGGGTTCTGGACCTTCACTAGTGGTCCGGTTCTGGTTCGACTTTCCCGAACCTTCCCGAACCGTTCCTTGACCTTTGAATTCCCTCGACTTCGACACCAACCATGACGACGTCGGTGTCCATGTTGACATCAAAACACCGTCTTCGAGATTTGCATTATTTGTTAATCAGGCTACTGTTAGCCTTTTTGAAGGTAAGTACTAATCAATTTATTCTCAAGACTCTGACATATGTTTACCTATATCACAGATATCTACTTGTTCTAGTCTATATGCTTCCTGGATAGTCATGATCCTCCACCGGTTCTCAACTCTAACAGATCTCCTTGGATATTGTCGCTCTGTCTAGGTGAGTATCTTTTTTTTTTGCTTAAGTCCATGTCTCATTTTGTTACAGTTCTTGACCCTAACTATAAGTTAGCATACGTCGAACAGTGATGGACTGTGACGAAGGTCGCAAACGGGAGGGCTCGTCTTGAGGCAGTGGTGAGTACTATTCAAACTTAAGTACCCTACCGGTCTCTAACTCCAGATGTATTCTTAGTTTGACAAATATTATCAAGCGCCTCCAGCCCCAGGACCACATCCCAAGGAGCCAGAGGCCACGTCATCAACAACGAAAGCTTCGATTTGTTATGGTGCTTCCTGGATGCGCGTGTTACGACAAACGGTCGTGTGCGACTAGGATAATCTAACAGCGACAACCACGACAGTGGTACCGAGTGCTGAGAGTCGTCAGCCTTTACAGACAAGCAAAGGTTGCGTACTCGAACGTAGCTCGTGGTGGTTAACGAGGGGTTACGCTGAGATGATAGCAGGGTTTACAGACAGTGAGAGGCGTCACTGAAGGTACGAGTCGATGTCGAGCAGGTAGCTTTAGCGGGACAAGGAGTTCAAGGGTAAACCTAGTAAGATTAAAGTAAGGAACGTCTACTGTTAATCTTCGACCTTATATAAGGCTACTCTTCGTATCTAAGCTCAGCCTAAAGCTGGGTTCTAATCTGCTTATCTACATGAGTCAGAGATAGCGTCCATGAGGTGGGCTTCTATCGTAGATAGGGTCCATGCGGTACCCTTCTATCAGTACATGAGGCAACACGAGGCTTGCCTTCTATCTTGATAACATAAATAGGTCTTCTAGACCTATGTCGTCATGTGTCGTCACGTGCGGTCCAGACCGCTTATCTAAGCCGGCAGTTGCCGCTTATCGTCTCTCATCATCTGTCATCATCTATCGTTATAGAGCTGGTGAGACTCCGGTATCGTCTATAGCCGTGCGGTGGCAGAGGGCTGTCTGCTGGCGGGGGACTCGTGCCATGTTACTGTAACAGCGCGACGCTATCATGGAACGTCAAGCTACAGACCATCGCACGCGCGATCCTCATCAAGAGCTCTCTGCATACCTTACTTCACCATTGGAGGAGACTGATGATGTTGTGGCATGGTGGGGTGTAAGTCAGCCCTCAAATTCATTGTTCCCCGCTTACATTCTTGATTAGTTACATTCGCTGCAGTACCCAACACTAGCTCGTGTTGCGCGTGATTACCTGCCCATTCAAGGCAGTTCCGTTCCCTCTGAACGCGCTTTCTCCAGCGCAGGCATCACATCAACTCTGCACCACAACGCACTCGCATCATCCACTTTCTCCACGCTACAATTGATGAAGGCAGCCTATAAGAATGGACATGTGTCATCAGCAGTAGAGGCAGAAGGGTATGCAGTTGGTATGCAGTTAGACTAGCTACCCAATGTCATGTAGATGTCTTGTGAATGTTTTTTCCGTTGCTTGAAAAATTTTCGGTTCGGTTCGTGTTCGGACCAGACAAGAACCGGACTGGACCATTGAGAACCATTCTCAATGGTCTGGTTCTGGGTTCGACAATTTTAAAGAACCGAACCATGGTTCGGTTCTTGGTTCTCGTCAAGGACCCTCTGAACTGGACCGAACCGGACCACGGCAGCACTAGCGAGTTCGAACTTCGATGTTCGAAATCGGGGTATCAAATCCGCATTAGTAGGAGTACGTATTGCACGTCCCCTATGTTGGAGTATACATTTGTATTCTTTTGGTCTCAGTTAACGTTGCGATTGGGAGCTATGATTCTAGAACTGCTCTGCTCACGTACATTGTAGTTTCAAAATTTTCAAACTACGCACGTAAAACCCGTTGAAGATATTAGTGACTAGTACTAGTGCTGCCGTAGTCCGGTCCAGAACCATGGTTCGAACCGGACTTTTGGTCCAGTTCTCCACGGTTCGGTCCATGGTTCTTGCGCCAGCTAGAACCGGACCGGAAAACGGTTCTCGGTTCTAGGTCTTCCCAAACGGTCCAGTTCTGGTTCGGCCTTCCCGAACCATTCCGAACCCTTATCGACTTCGACTTCGACAACATCTGCCTCGACATCAGACTGTCGTCTTCGGGATTCACGTTGTTGATTAATCAAGCTACATTTAGCCTTTTCGAAGGTAAGCACTAACTAATTAAACTCTCAAGTCTCTCACCAACTCACCTCTATAACAGGAGGTTCTGTTCATTGAGGACCGGCTACAACACTGCGCAAGACTACCTTTTACTGGAGGTGGATATATTAGGCGCGATCAAGGTGGATTTTGGAGGGATTGTGTCTTGCACTATGCTGCAGAGGTGCGTATTATGATTTGTACTCTGAATGCTGATGGCTCCCTCGAGGGCCAGCACTCATCGCTACCAGCGCACAACCCATCACACACCACGCTACCTGCGCCTATGTTGATGCCTGCCACCTCACCGCATCCCCTCTCACTCGCTTGCTGTTCTTGCCGGCTGACTTTTGCTGGCTGGCTCGCCATGTCTCACTCACCCACTGTCTCTCGCTCACTGTCTCACATGCCCGCTGGCTGCTCTCGCCCACTGTCTCTCACCCTCTGTCTCTCGCCTGCTGTCTCTCACCCCACTTTCAAACCAATATTCCGCGACGACTCGACAAGAGAACAGAGGGGATCCATAGGAACGGCAAAGACACGCATGCTAATCTACTGCCCACCCCCCTTCTCCTCCAGAAGACATGCCATCGAGCTGTGATACGCCTCGCCACTCTACCCCAACGCCACCCTCTCCACCCACATCTCAAACACGTCATCAAGCACCAAAACATATCCCAGCACCATTCATCACTTGACAACCTTCCAAATATACCCCGACGAGACCGCAAGCACACCGCATACAAAGCCGAGGTCGTACATCGGGACTTGAATGAGCTTTCGCTAATATGCTCGAGTAAAAGTCGTGTCATTCACACAGCAGGGAAACTAACATTTTACCACCTTTTTCCGCCAGTGAAATCACATCCTAATGGCGGTTAACCGGCAGCTTACTTCAAATTGCTTGTCTGGATCAGACGCCGCAGGTTCACATTCCCCACGGTAAGCATTGGTTGTTATTGTGTTTTATTTCATTCTCACCATTTGTATAGATCAAATCAGTTAGCTCTTGGATCAGCGGCTACAGAGGCAGAGAGGGGTATGTAGCCATGTCATTGGAGTAGCTACTCAATGTGTAAACTAGTATTTCAATGTTTTTTTTTTCATGCTCGCTGCTGAAAATTTTCGGGTTCAGTTCGAGTTCGGACCAGAAAAAAACCGAACCGGACCACAGAACCGTTCTCTGTGGTCCGGTTCTCGGTTCTCGTCCAGGACCCTCTGAACCGGACTGAACCAGACCACGGCAGCACTAGTTATTGCATTAATGCTGATGCGGGTAGACACAATGTCAATCAAGGTAATATGTATGGGGTGATGCCAGGGTATTAAAAGGAAGGTGCGGTGAAAGTATCTACCAAAGGAGTGAATAGTGCCGGTCATTATGCGAGGAATTTCAGAACGAGCTTCCTATAAGAGAAGTCAGCCCCAAAGCAGTGAGTCCTGGATGGTCGTCTGCCACTGAGGGCTAGTTGTTTTCAGGAGCTTAGGAACGACCATGCTCCCTGGAAACTCGACAAGGTCCATCTGAAAAAATTCAACGAGCAGGCTATGGCATAATCAGCAATCGCATGTGCGATGTAATAACAATAAACTTACTTTCGTACCGCATTTTCATATGTTCTGTGGGCTGACTTCGTATACTCTGGTCCTGCCTCTTCTCTCGCAGCTTTGCGAATAGCTTCGAGCGAGCAATCCACGAAATTCCAGAACTTTGCCTGAGGTGAATTTGGGACCCTTACCGTTTTTTCTTTTGCTAAATCCAGAGCCACTGTTGTTGTTGTTGTCATCGTCATAATCCTCATCGGGTTCTTGCTGGCCAGCTTCTTCATCATGATTCTCGCGAAATTGATCTTCCTCTCGGTTGTCCATCACGTGTCCTCCCTCTCCAAGGTCACCATCACCACCAGTGTCGTTGCTCACTCCAGGTTCTGCTTCAGAACCTCAGCCATCCAAATGGTCCATGTTGTCTTCAAGACGATCTCCATGCTGCTCGCCATTCTCGTCCGCCTCTGTGCCTACTTCGCAATCGAGTGTCATTGCAATTTTGATGCGGAGGTCTTTATGAAGAGAGGGAATGAGCGAGCTTGAGTAAAGGTCCTTGAGTGGGATGGCTTTATAGTCACTGACTCCAATAAGGAAGATTCGCAAGCAGCGTTGCTAGACTCGCGTTAAATACTTTATAACGTGTATTAGAATTAAAACATACTAAAAATGCATATCTGTTCCAATGACAAGCTTCTACCTCAATTACACCATGAGCCAGTGATTTGGCTGTATCCATGATGCTCATACTGCTTGGCAATCAATATGACCAACTTAGAGGTGGTCAGCGTCACGATGATTTGCATGGGACAACGAAATACAAACCTTGGCCTTGAGATTACCGCGAATAGAAGAGAGCAACTCACTAACGATTTTTGAGAGCTGTGCCAAAAGCTCTACGTCTTGCATTAGTGCGGCTGGCAGCTTGAATACCTCGCAATGATTCTTGATAAAATCCTGTTGCATAGTCAATTCGTGCACATACAAAAGGCAGTGAAAAGGGTACCATAATGATTCGTATGTGTATCTGTGACATATGTGGTAATGTTTGGTGATAAGAGACATGCGGTCAAGCAGCTCTGAAGTGCGGACTGTGTTTAATCTTGTCAGTATGGTGCCCTCTGAGAAGGCAGATAGCAACCTTGAAATCCTTGGAATCAATTAGTTCTTTCAACTCAAGGAGAGCAGCCTTTTCTTGATCTTCATTCCTTTTGAATAAGGCAGGCTTTCAGGTCAATTAACATGTGAAAGATGCTTCCAGTCTAATAAAGAGTGTCAATGAATGTGTGCAATCATAATCTAATAATGTTAACATCAATAAACCTATGAAGAGCCTCCTGAGGGCAACAGGTCTCCTCAGTGACTTGGTTTGCATACAACTTGAGTCGTTTTGTCAGTGAAGGCGAATAGTGACTGAGCCATGTTAAAGCCATCATCAGAGTCTGTTCTCCAGTGGCACATACCAGCCATGATAGGCTCATTGAGAGATGCTTCGGATGGAGTCTGCAACATGATACTACCGCCAGGCCCATCAACAACAGTGTGAGAGGCTGAGTGGTGGCTCCCTGGCTGCATTCCCAGCAGTGAACATTCTCGCTGGATAAGACTTGTGGTCCCAGTTGCAGGAGGTCGTTGAAAGGATGCTGAAAGACTCCTGCCCCGAGGCCCCCCAGCAGTAGCTGGTGTCAACAACCCACTCGTCAATCCAGCTCTTCTGGGCTGTGAGCCACCTGTTTTGTTGTTAGAACTTCCAGACCGCACAGGAAACCGTTGGAGCAACATAGTCGAGCAGAGAGTTGGTTGGGTGAGGGAAACTGGAGGGAGCAGCCAGTCAGTGTGTGTCACTGATATCTTCCGTTCCGAGTTGTCATAAGTCTTGTTCGGCTGCATACAAGTATCATGTTCAAGGGAGAAAGATGATAAATCATAATACCCACTGACAGAATTGCATCTGCAGCAACGAATAAAAAATGTGCATATGTGACATAACGGTGTACTATCATGACATAAGGTGGAGGAGACATCACTTGGCGTCCTCCCAGATATAGTAAAACATATACTGGAGGCCTCAAAAACTTTGCTCATCCCTCCTGCGAGATTCCAACACTGTGACCCTCCTTCACATCTCTCCCGCCTTCGAGGATTCTTCATATCCTTGCCGCTACCTGAGGGTTCGTCATATCCCTCCCGCTTTTCTCCCGTTACCGAGGATACATAGAATAGTCCATGAAATAGTGTGGGTGCTGCGCCTGTGACTGTGTGCGAGTGTGAATGGCCTGCACATGAGCTTGAGCCATCCAAGCTTGCTGTTGGTGGTTTGGGTACATCTGGGCATGTGCAACGCGAGGCTGCAAACCCGGTAGCTCGGCTTGCATAAAGTGAGCGGTAGAGGTGTGGGGTTGGTGTGTTGCCAGAGGAGGTTGTGAGCTGAGGAATGAGGCCGTGTGAGTGGGGTGCACAATGGATGCCGCATGTGCTCCTTGAGGACCTGTATCAGAATATGACATGGAGGGTGGAAAGGGAGCCTGAGGGTGATGTGGAGCGTGTAGCAAAGGTCCAATTGGCAGCGGCAGAGGGTAATGCGAGGCTTGCAGTGGGGGAGGCATGAATTGGTGGGATGGGACTGTCAGACCCTGCTGACTGGATGGAGACATCTGTCTCGAGGTCCCAGCAATTGGCTGCCCAACATTTGACGATGCCGTCTTCCTCCTGCCTCTGGTGCTGGTACTGCTTGTGTTCTTTCTTGGCTTGGGGGCTATCTTTTTGGTGGGAGTACGATCGAAGGCAGGAAGTGGTACTGTTGCATTGCAAACACTTTCCTCCACAGCAGTCACACCTTCTTGAGGCTTGGGGATGCTGCCCGATTTCTTTGCTGCCTTCTTGTCTTTCATCTGCTGTATGGCTAAAGTTCGAACTTCAGCCGGATTGGCGACTCTCAATGGTGACTCACAAAGCGCCTCAGGTATGACCAGCTGAATAAGATCACAGTTGTGAATTGAGTAGGCGTTGAGGAAGAAGTATGGAGTTGGCTGATGGTCGACAACAGGCTTCGTTTGAATAGTTTGTATCCATTCTTGATGTAGGTGTTGCTGGCGCATGTCTACACACTTCGAATCGATACAGTTGTGTTGAAGATTGACAGTGCAAATGATATCCTGTGATCCAGCAATGTTCAACAGACAGCTCTGAGTGTTGGAACATGTCACTTACCGTCGCCATTGAGACTGTTTCATCTTCTGTAAGGTCGAGACATGGTAGAAAAATTGAAGGATGTAGTGTAGGCCCGAATGAAAAAACTTGCAGTGCAACATGATCCACGGTTCTACTGGTGCCATGTGATATAAGGATCTCGCGGATACGCCCAATAGACATCTGCACACATATTAATCCTTGATTGCAGACAGACCAAAAATCATTTACCTGTCCATCAGCGGGTCGTCGAAAGATGACATGACTATTCAGATCTGCTCGTTGAAGGTTCAACGATACAGCGAGGCACGAACAATGCTCCTGGTTGTATCTATAAATGTTGTAAGGTCGCGCGTTGCCTAGTCTGCTATACTTGAGACGACAAGTGCGTTCGACCCTAAAGGGGAAGCGAGTGCAGCAAGGATCTAGAGGTATGCGCTGAAAGCGCTACTGGTTGGCCAATGCGAAGCGCGAGAAAGCGCAGGTGCGCGCAAGGCGTGGGAATGCGCGCGTGTATGGCGCGAAGCGCGGGAAAGCGTGCGCGTGTATACAGATATGAGAGAGAGTAAGAGTGAGTTTGCTTAAGTGATGATATGATGTAAGACAAGAGAAGAGAGATGCGAGGTGTAAACAAATAGATTTCTACTATGTTCTGCTAGGTGAATAGTGGGTAGTAACCAGTAAGTCCTCTGTCGTTCTGGTGGGAGAGTAAGTTTGTAAGTAAGTATGTACTGCTGGCGCTTAAGTATGGCGCCTAAGCGCTGTCATGCGGAGCCGAAGCGCTACCGAGTAAGGTATGCAAAGATATATGTAAGTAAGGGTCCATGATAAAAATAAAGATGGAACGATAAGCAAATGTGAGAAATGGAAATATACGCACTAGGGAACTTGGTGGACAGTGGATGGATGCTTCCGGATGGCTGGCGCTATAGGGCGCTCAAGCGCGGGAAAGCGCGGGCGCATATACATCGTGAAGTGCGGGAAAGGTACGCGCGCATGGCGCGCGTTGCGCGGGAAAGCTGCGCCTCATATAGAGATAGCTGCAGGTAGCACACAGAGTGATGCTACAAGTTCGTGCCATGTACTCCCCAGTGAAAACTGCCATATTGCACAATGAGAGGCATGAGTCTCTACATCATTCTCCCTTGCTCGTCACAAGTGATTTGCCATGGTAGTACGAAACACCAGATCGCAGAGTTTTGAGAATTTTTTGCACAGCGAGTATCCTTCCATTGTACTCCGTCTGTTCGTTGTGCCTTTCCATTAACGCCAACAGCAGTATCAGGACTTCCAGTGCCTATGCATACTTAGCAATGGTATGACAACATACCGCCTAACTCACCAGGCAGTGGAGGCTCACACAAGATACTTGAGATACCGAGAAGGTGGGCCTGTTCTCGGTGTTCATTGAGATAACATAGCACCTGCTCTCCTCCACGAACCCATCTCTTAACATTGTGATCATACCAATATCCACCAGTGGCAACGTGTTTCACGATGTCCTGGTACGCGAAGAGTCGACAAGTGTCCCTGCTGGGCGCACGTCGATTGCTGTGAATGCACGACAGTCGGAAAATGTGATTGAATGATTCATATCTCTCAGTGGAGAATATGATTGCAGGTCCGAAACGACATATGAATGCTGGAAGATGAATCAGAAAGTGAAACTTCAGCTTGCTGATGAGAATGCTCGGAGCACATTGCGCTGTGATATTGAGGAAGTCCTTGATCATTCTGGATAATCTTGCCTATTTAAAGAAGATCGGTTAGTCCATGACACCTTTCAACACTTAAGTAGCATAAACTGACGAGATATTCTTCAGTATCTGGTATTGTCGTGTGCCAAATGAGCACGACAAGTTCCCTGATAACGGACCACCCATTGAGGACTGTCTGGGGGACGAGGTCATACACCAGGAAGGGCATAACTTGGGCTAGGCTCTTGAAATGTTTACCTATTAAACCGCCTTTATAATGACATATATAGTCAGCATTCAGAGAGGGTGCGTTCAGTCCGTCTTTGTCAACAGACTCGAGGTGGCTCTGAAAAATGTGCAGCAGCTTGGCTTTCTCCAGGATAAACACGCTCTGACCCCAAAAATACTTCACCACGCCCAACAATACTGTATGGAGGATTTCAGTTGGCGTATCCAAGTGGATGTTGATCCCTGTGAGACAATATTGTGAGTGCGACATGAATGACATTGATCAAGCTTACCGTTCATCCCAAACAGCGGATTCATTGCATCATTGAGCGTGGTACCTCATAATAATTCGTCAAACTCCTTTTCGAGTGCTGCTGTGATCTCGCTTTCGGATGTTGCTGGTAAGCCTGGCCCTCGTTTGCGGAGTTTCTTTCCAAGTTCTACGAGAGACTCAAGGATGGATGCTGAGGCACTGTCACGAACACCTGTGGAAGAAATGGCACTCTGCACTTTTGTCGTGGCACCCGATTTCATTGCAGCTTCAAATTGATGTTGAATGTTGTCAGTGGTCTTTTCAGGTGTTCGTAAACTACCTGACTACGAGTATGAGATTAGATCAAGTAAGAGATGCTGTGATATGTTCGTACCTTGAATATACTGTTGTAACCCTCTTCAGATGCCTTGTATTCTTTCGTGCCGCCAACGTTACACGTCCTGCAGAAATAGTTGCAATCAAGGCCTGCATGACTGCATTCCTCGGCTTGCATAGGATTATCGCCAGCAAGAAAAAGTCCACACGGAATGAGCATAACTTCCTCCTCATCTTTACAGTCCCATGCAACAACGCCAGACTGCGCTGCATTACTGCAAATATTCAGGAATAAGCGAGAATGAATCCAGAGAAAAATGTACCAAAGAGAATCTTTCATTGCTCGCATCAGTTCCATTGGAGTAGCGTGGGGTGACGATGTGACAAATCGCACAAAGAACTCCTTCTCGAGCATTTCACGAGGTAAGTTTGCATTTGACATATAAATAGTGTGGTGCTTGTTCCACTGCTTCAAAATGTTGCCCGAGACATCGTCCATGAAAATTATGAGAGGGACTGTATAAACCATTCGGCCTTGCGCCTTTTCACACAAGGGATTAGGCTCGAGTGACCTGTATTTAGCAGACGACGCTGTTACACACTTAAGTTCACATCTGTCAAATAAGACGACCTAGATCTAACGTACCAGTGAGTCCACAGTCGAGCTCATTCATTGATGAAATATCTTCATATGACCATGCAAATGTTGAAGTCGGGATAATTTCTTGTTCACCATTGATAATAAATCCTGCCTATTGAATGCTTTAGAATAGTACACGACATGATAAAGGTCACTCACATCAGTCTGTTGAGCAGTGCGACCGAGCGCATAGAGGATTTTATTATTGGGACCTTCAACACCACCCTCAACAACCGGAGAGCCAAGGAAAAACTGTTCCGGGATGAAGTAGGCTCCTGAAGACTCCTGTAATAGCTCATTGACAAAATATATCATCCCATCCACTCGTGCTGCAGGAGGAGATGGAAGGTCGAGCAACATCTTTGTGCTGTTGAAAACTTGCAACATTCCTTTCCCACAATCCTCAGGATAATCTTGCATTGCGAAACGTGTAAGTGGGTTTGCATAGTCCTGGAATGATATGAATGCAACACCCTGATACGAGGTAGCAGAAGATGGACCTTTGCAATTGTGTTCACAATATTATTAATGTAGAATATATTCCCTGACCGGGCAGTAACCTTCTCGGTTGGTCAACCAACAAGATCTTCAATGAACAGTTGACACTTTTTGGTCGCATCGAGTGAGGGCACATTTTTGGCGCCAAGCTGTTTTGCCCAATTAAGTACCGCTTTCTTCTGGGCATCTGAGAAGGGAAGGCGTGGAGAGCTGAATAAAAGCGATGTCATAAAATCCTTGAGAAGAGTATAAATGTTTCATTGCACAACTAACGACAAGTGTACTCACAGCTTGTGATGGCCAAGGGTAGGTTGGATTATCAGGAGAGATGTCTTTGAGAGCATATTTTTTCGCTGGAGGTTCATAGTCTGCAAACACATTTAAATACAAAACAGCACGAAAGGAACAACTCGAATTCACTCACCAAAAATATCAATCCCAAAGTCAGGGACGTTGTTACGACAAACGGTCGTGTGCGACTAGGATGATCTAAACAGCGACAACCACGACAGTGGTACCGAGTGCTGAGAGTCATCGGCCTTTACAGACAAGCAAAGGTTGCGTACTCGAACGTAGCTCGTGGTGGTTAACGAGGGGTTACGTTGAGATGATAGCGGTGTTACAGACAGTGAGAGGTGTCACTAAAGGTACGAGTCAATGTCGAGCAGGTAGCTTTAGCGGGACAAGGAGTTCAAGGGTAAACCTAGTAAGATTAAAGTAAGGAACGTCTACTGTTAATCTTCGACCTTATATAAGGCTACTCTTCGTATCTAAGCTCAGCCTAAAGCTGGGTTCTAATCTGCTTATCTACATGAGTCAGAGATAGCGTCCATGAGGCGGGCTTCTATCGTAGATAGGATCCATGAGGTATCCTTCTATCAGTGCATGAGGCAGCACGAGGCTTGCCTTCTATCTTGATAACATAAATAGGTCTTCTAGACCTATGTCGTCATGTGTCGTCACATGCGGTCCAGACCGCTTATCTAAGCCGGCAGTTGCCGCTTATCATCTATCATCATCTGTCGTCATCTATCGTCATAGAGCTGGTGAGACTCCGGTATCATCTATAGCCGTGCGGTGGCAGAGGGCTGTCTGCTGGCAGGGGACTCATGCCATGTTACTGTAACAGACGTCATAATCACATAACTCATTCTCCTTGTTGATGGGGGCGAGTGGTGTCGAGAATGAGATTTCACCGGAGGCAAGATTCTCTTGCAGTTCGGCAAATAGATCAGTAAAGTGTTCATCGAACTCATATACCCAACTTCCAACGGCATTGTTCAAGTGCTCAGACAGCGGGATCTCCAAGTCAGCCTCACATGCATTGTACGAGTCTATCTCCATCAGACCACTATCAGCATCCATATGATCAAGTCCGAATGATTCAGCTTCCACATCCGGGTCCATACTGCGTTGTTTAGGATTATTCCTGGCCCGATGCAAGTTTGCCTTAAAAACAGGATGAAATTTTGATGCTCGGTCACTCTTGAAATTTTTGGTGTGGCATGTGTGCTTGTCTGATACAATATGCTTCTGGATAAAACGGAGTTCCATGGTACAGTGCAGACCGTTCTTCTTGGGACATACATTGCAAATGATGCGACTCTGCATATCATCGCAAAATTGGAGAACTGTAACAAGTGTTAGATTATTATCAGACAGACAAGATATATAACTCACTTGTGCCGTCGATGATATCATGCTTCATGGCTGATTCGGGTCTTAAGTCTTGGTCAGTGTGTCAGAGGTGGGAAGAGGTTGTGAGTCACGTGGTTCACACATGATGAAAGAACACCAAGTCCAAAGTCCCACGTCTTCTTTGAATTCTTGTCAAGCTTGCGCGAAATATAATGCCTGGAGTGCTCACCAACATTGCAACTGTCTATCCCGATGTCCAAAGCCAGGACATGGATGACGCGACATTCAAGCCGCTATTCTTCACGATCAAATTTTCTGGTACCCTTCCGAAGCATCTGATAGAACAAAATATAGTGAGTATTATTAACTGCCTCCAACAATTTGCTACATTCATTCGCAGCCTGTCGAGATATCAGTGTCAATTGCTGAAGAATACGGGTGCTTCACTATGCCCTTCGTAAAAGCTATATCATCGATGGATCGGTGGCAGTCCGATACTGAAAGCATGCTAAATTCAAGCGACTCAAATGTGAGCATATTTTGCTGCGTCTGACTTGATGAAACTTACATTGTGCTTCGAGTTTTCTGGTATCATCGAATGTATTCCCCCTCCCGATGAAATCCCCATCCCATTCCTCCCCCTTCCATCAATGTTCAACCACACTAATCAAGACGATTGGGCGAAGCTATCAAAAGAGATTGAGGGGTGGCTTGTAGAACTCGATACCGAATTGTCGCAGTGGATGTGGGGACGGGACACATTTTGGTTGACATTCATTGCCGCATATCCCTTCTTCCCAAGAGGCACCTGGCCAATGTGGGATCCCCGCATACCGTTGGAAGGCACATTCATTGAATGATGGCTAGAGACTTCGGGTCATAGCATCACAGTCGACCAGGAAATTATGGTGATAGACTTGGGCGATACAGAGGACTTGAAGGAGATCTGGGATGCATTTTGTAGGGATGCCGCCCTTTTCTACCCTTATCCCCTCATTTCTACTGACTAAACTCACTACAATGGTCCAGAGGTTTTTTTGAAGCAGGTTAGATATACATACAAGTACATACCTTAGAGTCATTGTTGTGCCACCACTTGTTATAATATGTCTCAAATGTCGATTATGTTTCATTTGAAGTATCAAATGGCTGCAGGGATAGATAACTTGCAAGCTTGAATGTTTGAGCAGTCATCGCCGATCAGGTCGTTGCAGGCATGGAAGTTTGTGATTAGCATTGTGTAGACAAAAATAGCACGCTCAAATATCTGTAGGATCTCTGACAGATGTCTGTGCTATGTCTCATGCCCGATCTTGTCCATATGACTCATTCTGATTTCCCTCACATGTTCACCATGCGACATTTGTACAACCTGTGGTTATACATGCACAGCCTATTGCCACCTTGGTGGGAGATCAGGCAAAATTCTTTTATAGACTTCTGAATTCACGCCTTTACTCTATGAATTTATTATTTATCACACAAACACCCACAATAAATACAACCCAGCTGGTTCCCAGGAGCACTAAATAGTTTTCTCGTTAGCTCGGTTTCGCCCAAAGCGGCAGTTTGTAGTGTACATCAGTAAACTCACATGCTCTGTACAGAACTGTACAAGCCCACACAGCGTGCTAGGCCTACAACCTGGTACCCTTGTGACAGACAGCGGGTTTCCAAAAGCGATTTGGACAGTACTGTACAATTGCTCACAGACATCCTGCATGTCCACAACTCGGACACTGGCAGTTGCTGAATGTTTGTAAATTACCTTCCCCCAGTGCTTCCCAGTCCCATAGAGTAGCAGTAGTACACACTCACACTGTCACAAGGAGTTCCAAATAATCTGATCATATTGTGCGGACAAAAATGTAAACAAACACGGCCCAGCTGGCCAACATGCAGTAGTAATAGTATCCGAGCGACGACGAGAAAAACACGACAAAACTAGTCAAGTACCACCTTCAAGTGAGTGCGCTTCATCTCCAAGCTGCCACGAGAGTCAACCTTCAGGCCTTCCAACCTGCCGTTGGATAGATACGATCAGTGTCATAGAAAATGAATATAAAAATACTCACCAGCCATATGCGGCCCACTCCTGGAGCTGCTTTACCAGCTTTGGGCCATGATACGCATCATCCAAAACAACGCCCATCATCTCCAGCATCTCCTCATATTCTGTTTTGTACTCCTTCGCAGTGAACTTGGGAAAGACCTTGCCAGTACCGTTCTTTTCGAAGCCAAGGAGACCACAGTCATACTGCAAATAATGAGTCAGTAACCTTGATATTTAACTTGAGTAAATAATACTGCAGTGGCAACGAGAGCTAAGCACGACAAAGACAGCTGTGTGCGAAATATTTCTGGCCTTCGCTGAGCAATTCTGTAAGGTCCGGTATAATAAAATAACACAACGGCTTCTCGAAGCGCAGGACTTGCGAAATTATTGGTCTTTCCCTGTTCAAATCGTACATCAGCACAGTGAGGGGTGAAACAAGGAAATAAAAATAAAAACATTGGCATCGAATCCACCTCGTAGGAACAGAGAATCTTTGCGCTGCCTTGATGCTTCGTGTGAGACCCACACTGGCCGTTCCAGGGCAGGTACCTCAGCAGGGGGAACAAGACCCAATATGCTCAGGGCAAGGGAAATCACAACCTTCTTCAATTCAGACCGCCAAGTCGCAAGATCGTCATAGAGCTGTGATTATATGGTGTGAGCAGGCTTGTAATGATGGAGAAATACTTACCAGCCTTGCCATGTTGGATTTCTGTGCAGGCCACACACCTACGCTAATTGAGACCACAGAACTCAGGAACATGTGAAGACTTACCGGTTTCTACCTGCTTCCCAGCTTGCTCCCATGCAAGCTTGACCGATAAGAGGACTTCCATTATCAAACATGTTAAGTCATGGGTCAGAGATGGAAATGGGTTTTCCAATGCATGGACAGCGCGACATTCTGCCTTCGCGTCCTCCAGGAAGCCTTTCCAGCCAGTTCCGTACCACCCGAGTTGAGTGGGTTTTGCTTCAGACCGCGATGTCGGAGCTTCTTGTTGAACATCAGTTTCAGTTTGCCGGCGTAGTACTTCAAGAGCCTCAGGGTCAGGGAGACGACGCCAGCCATTCTTTTTCTGGTGTTTCTTGAGTACATCATCTACCTTTGGTTGTGTTAACACGAGATTAGCAGCTGCATCGTCTTTACGTGAGTTCTGAACATGTGGCTGCAACTGCACCGAGGTGAGACTAGCTGCTGCACCATTTTCATCTTCGTCGTGTGAGTACTGAAAGTCAAAGTCGGGTGTCAAAGTACGTGGATTTTGAAGTGGCTGAGGTGGTTGTTCCTGCGAAAATCCTATACATATAATAAGAATCAGTGACATACATAAAATGTGAAGAGCGTAACCTGGATGTGTTGTGTGGCGTCCACGAACCGCTCCCCATCCGACAGTATCATTTTCACCAGCATCTTTGACCCCTTCTTTGGTATCTTCATCCGTTGAACTCTCATCATTCTCATCACTTCCGTCAAGATCTGATCTGTCACTTATTGGAGGAGGTCGGTTCTGAGGCTGTAGCGCTGGGCCTGTAGGACCCTCTGGGAGCCTCGGGAGCGCAGTGCCTTTAAACATAGGCTGAATATCGTACTGGGTGACATTCGGAACACTTGGCTCCAAGCACCCACCTACACCAAGTGATGATGGTTGAATCCGCAGTGCCAGGTCTATAACATGCTCTGGCATTTGAGGGGAAGTGGCAGGCTGATAATAATACTTGATAGCATCCGAAAACCTTGGCTCTAAGGGTGCACTCGGGATAAGCGATGGCACTGAGCTGTTAGTAGGGGGGCGTGCAGCTGCAGTACCAATCATGGCAGCCACGTAGGGGTTATTCAGGACCTGCGAGTTCGGCTCTAAGGGTGCGTGTGGGATAAGCGATGGCACTGAGCTGTTAGTGGGGGGGCGTGCAGCTGCAGTACCAATCATGGCAGCCACATAGGGGTTATTCAGGGCCTGCAAGTTAGGCTCGGTACCAGGCGGTACAATTGTCGTTTTGGGCACATCCTGTTGCGTGTTGGATGCCTTAGTAGATAAAATAAATGAATATAAAGGTGGACACAACTTACTTGAGATGCATCAACAAGATTCACATCTGCTGGAGCATATGGTGGGGGAGCAGCGACCTAAGAACTGGAATTAAGCATCAATTAGTGTCTGATTGTGACGACTTACCTTTCTAGACTTGTGGCCTTTACCTTTGCAAGAATCAGGAGCTTGTGGGTTCTTTGAAACATCAGCACCAAAGGTCGTTGAGCCTTTTGAGGACCGTTTACATGATGGTCGTTCAAGGACTGCGTCAAGTTTTTCTAGCTGTGAGTTTCGTCCGCCCGTCCCTGCATTCGAACGTTCAGAACGTCAAGTGCCACCAAGTTCATCTGAAGCACCCCGTGGAGTTTTCTTGGATCGTCCAGTTGGAAGGCCAGTGTCAGGATCTTGAGCCACTTTGGTCACCCCATTTTAGATACCTCTTAGGTTGATTGTTGTCTATAGAGATTTGTACCTAAGAGGTATGTTTCTGCTGGTCTCTCCAACGTTCCACGGTCCTTCCCTATTATTTTTGTGGACCAAAAGAGGATGTACTGCCCATGGACCATAGACCATTGGGACCATGTCATGGCACGTACCACAGGGTATTTTGGACCATATATCTAATGGATTTTCCCAGATATACCGGAGTGTCTGGGGTCACAAACCACCTAGATTTTCATTTTTTGCGATAATTTTCTGTTGATTCTGATGGTGAATAGCATTGAACTACCATGAATGTTTGTGTTATATCTACCATATAGAATCATATAATGGCTGAAATTGTGAATGCAATTGTATATTGCTCAATTTAGTGTCTTGCTAGGAAGACACTGTTCATTCTGAAGTCTGGTAGTATTTGTGGTCATATCTGTTTAGTTCTACTATAATTCAATCAATCTTCTCGCACTAATAATACAAAGGATACACTGTGACAATCAAGCCTGCACTAGGCTTGTATGATTGCATTACCATATTTGTCTATGTGTTACCGGCATACCTGGACCTACCTTTCTTATCTGTCACTCAGCTGAGCCTCTTTGACTAGTTTAAGCCCTATGTCCACACAGGTCCTGTCGATTGGTACATAATAATGTGGTATGGTTGTTACATGCTTTCGCTGCAGGTACACTGACTGAATTTTTACAGATGCATATCCCCATGCACCTACACTTGCTACTGACTTCACCTGTACATTCTGGAGTTTTACGTGGTACAATAAAAAAGAGCTCCAGAGTTGATAGCTAGGATGCTTCCTACCTTGGACCTTGGTAGTGGTCACCTAGTGTTTTAAAATATTGCACAATCATTACCTTCGTTGTGAACCATGGTACTTGTGACTCCCACCTTACCTTTGCCTAGGTGATTTCGCCCATCCTAGTTACCTTCGCCTGGATGCCAGGTTTACCAGTAATATCTTTAGTCATGATCCCATGGTAGAAAACAACATTGACAAGGATATAGACTACTTTGGGAGAACCGTATGTCATGTAGGGGAGACCACAAAGACATCATGACCTATGTAGGGTGGACCATATAGGGTGGACCACACCAACAGTATAGACCAACTAGGGCGGACCATATATCAGATATGGCAGGCCACAACACCATTGTAGAGTAATTAGGGAGGGCCATATGTCTCACAGGGCAGACCATAAAGACATTATAGCCTAAGTAGGGCAGACCGCAACACCATTATAGTCTAATTAGGGAGGACCATATGTTCCATAGGGCAGACCGCAAAGACATTATAGCCTACATAGGGCGGACCGCAACACCACTATAGACTAATTAGGGAGGACCATATGTCCCATAGGGCAGACCGCAAAGACATTATAGCCTATGTAGGGCGGACCACAACACCATTATAGACTAATTAGGGAGGACCATATGTGCCATAGGGCAGACCGCAAAGACATTATAGCCTATGTAGGGCGGACCACAACACCATTATAGACTAATTAGGGAGGACCATATGTGCCATAGGGCAGACCATAAAGACATTATAGCCCATGTAGGGCGGACCACAACACCATTATAGTCTAATTAGGGAGGACCATATGTCCCATAGGGCAGACCACAAAGACATTATAGCCTATGTAGGGTGGACCGCAGCAATGCTATAGACTAATTAGGGAGGACCATATGTCCCATAGGGCAGACCGCAAAGACATTATAGTGTATGTAGGGCAGACCGCAACAATGCTATAGACTAATTAGGGAGGACCATATGTCACATAGGGCGGACCACAAAGACAATATAGCCTACATAGGGTGGACCATATTTCATGTAGGGCAAACCACAACAACATGATAGACTAACTAGGGCAGACCATATATAATATAGGGTGGACCGCAACAACATGATCAGAATGCTGTACAGTACGAATCTATGATGTTGGTCCAGTACCCCTGCCAAGAAAAAAAATTGATGAATTGCGCAAAATGCCCCTTATTTTACACATTTTCACTTTCCCAGATCAGCCCCCCCTCCCTATGTCAGTCCAGCACCCCCGCCAAGAAAAATAGATGATGATCAGAATGCTGTATGGTACAAATCTATGATGTCAGTCAGTTTCCCTTCCAAGAAATAATTGATGATGATTGGACTGCTGTACGGTACGAATCTATGATGTTGGTCCAGTACCCCCACCAAGAAAAAATTGATGAGGATTGGAATGCTGTACGGTATGAATCTATGATGTCAGTCCAGTACCCCCACCAAGAAAAAATTGATGAATTGCACAAAATGGTATGTGAGTTCTTTCTGTCTGTCATATGCACATGTGGGTTAACAAATATCATATTCCGCCATATATGTGCGGACACCTTGATGATCTCACCAAGCTTGTACATCAAGTCATATTCACTCTGCATAGCACCACCACCTGGCATCAACTGCTATACTGGGACGGACAGGTGGAGGCGGGACAGGCATAACGGTGAGAATCATCCACTCAGGATGAGCATACTCATCTGAAAGACCTATTAGATGAAGGTCAGAGTCTGACATCTTCTTGAACATTGTATAAACCTCTGAAGACGGTGTAATCAGCTGCTTGTCAGGCTGCATTGATTTCACATCCTCACCCTCATCTTTGGGTCTCTTGTATTGGACGAAAAGCTTCAGTCCTTCTTTCCTAATGGCCAGTTGTACATGACCACATCCACCATGACCTTTCTTGGGCTCATCCACATCTCCTTCAGCACCATCTTCCTTGGGCTCGTCAGTCTCACAGACCATCTTGGTCTTGCAGTGCGCATGAGACCATATAAGATAGTGTGACATACCAGTTACAGAGACAAGATAACCCATCCCACCCCCTTATCATACACCTTTTCACTTTCCCAGAGATTTCACATCCTCACCCTCATCTTTGGGTCTCTTGTATTGGACGAAAAGCTTCAGTCCTTCTTTCCTAATGGCCAGTTGTATATGATCACATCCACCATGACCTTTCTTGGGCTCATCCGCATCTCTTTCAGCACCATCTTCCTTGGGCTCGTCAGTCTCACAGACCATCTTGGTGTTGCAGTGCGCCCATACAACGGCCATGTGCACCTTTGGATCGCAAATATGGCATGTGACAAAAAATATAAAAAAAATAGGATATTACAGAAAATATTATATTGAAAATTCACTGCATTCTACATGTTGCGCCGCTTGTGTAACGATTTTGTAGGGGAAGAAGGCATGAAGTCATTATCAATGTCATCCAGGTCATCCAGGTCATCCAGGTCATCCACGAGCGGATTTTTCTGGCCATACCTATATTCATCCGCCAATGCAATCTCCTCAATAGCATCCATCAGTTCCTCATCTTCAATTTCGCCATACTCCAGCTCACTCTCTCCATCACCCTCTCCATCTCCTTCCAAACTCTCGTCGTCATCATCCTCATCCCGAAACGACGATCGTGCCTGACTAAAAGCGGCTTGAACCAAAGCCTCGTCTGAGGGTCCCCAACTCGCAGTCATAGGCCACGCGCACGGAATACACTGAACCTTTTTCCTCCAGATGACGCAGATGTTGACAAGTTCATCTGCGCGAGACCCAAGGTGGAAAGACATCACTGGATCTGCGACTGTGAAATAATTAGATACTGTTCAGAACATTTGCACGCTGACGCACCTGCTTTATTCAAGGCAGTTTGCGTACTGTCCCACTCCGCTAACATCCATTCTTGAAGGACGGCCCTCTCCCGCATCAGTCGAGCCTCCTCCTCATTGCACCGGTCAACTTCAAGTTGCAACCGGATACAATTCCTGACCTTGTCATCCGATAGCCACGCTGGAGGGTGCAGAGTGTCGTCATCCAGCCCAACATCTTGCCAGATGTCGTCATCAACGTCGAGCTGAAAGATGCCATCACGTGGGATGATATGAGGGGGAACAGCATAAGGAGGTGCTCGCCGTTGTTGAATAAGAGACCGTAGTTGCAAACACAGACCGTTGTAGGTAGTGATTAATTTGAGGATGCCAGGCTCTCAGCGTTTGATTGAGTGTTGTGTATTCGCATGAAGTTTACGCTCAGCTGGAAAATTATGAGATGTATCAGTGTAATAAAACCATCAATGCACCATTGACTGTGGCTCTGTACGATCTCTCAAGTCTCTCCAATTCAAATTTTCGCTGATGAAGGCGATCACATGTGAGTTTTGATGACGCGAGCATTCAAGTGAACTGTAAGGTATATATCCTTCTTCATCTTCTCCAGGTTGACTTTGTCTTCCGTTCCAAGTGCCGCTCGACGACGTCAGAGAGTGTCAGCAGTTTTTTTATACCGGGACCGAGCATCTACAAGCTGCAGATCGACTTCCCCAATGTTAGGGACACGGACTGTTACAGGCATCTGTAACACCTACTAGAGCCCCAGCTCTGCCTACGCCTGCCCCCGCTCTACTAGACTCCCCGCGCAGCGGTGCGCCGCCCGCACCTAGAAAGACAGCGGTCTGGACCGCTATGACCCCGCCTGGTGCTATGACCCCGCCCCTGGCCTAGACGGCCTTGTACCTGATCCATGGAGGCTGTACGCCTCATGGTCACCCTAGATCAGTGCATGCACGCCGCATGTCACTTCATGAAGATCCGGAGCGCGCTTGGCGCTTCCTGTACCTATGCGCAGCTGCCCTTGGCGCAGCATGCTTGATCAGAGGTTAAGCCTCATGTATCTTATCTGAACCTCATGTCTTGCTATCATAGATTCACGATATACTATTGATTACAGACTGAGCTAGAATACTTGTAGTACTTCCCTATAAGTAGACACAGATTATTGTACTTAGACTTTACTTTAATCTACTAGGTTCATCCCCAGAACTTGCTCATCTAAGCTTACCAGCTTCCTTGTGTGAGACCGCACTTCTAAGTCGCCCCCATACGACTTAGCACGTATCCGCTAGCCCTGCATCTCGACGAGCGCCATCTTACCGAGATCGCCGGAGGAATCCTTGACGTTCCGTCAAGGCAAGACCACGCTCAGCTTCAGTAGACTCACTCGAGTCGTTGCTGAGAAGACCTATCCTAGTTCGCACACGCCGACCGACGGTCAGCGTAACACGGACAGCATGGAGTTGCATCTCGAGTTCGCGTATGGAGGCCTCCTGAGTTTGTAGCGTCTTCTCTAGTGCTAGGATAATGGTGATCACCTCCGCTGCCTTATTTTTAGATTGTCCTACATGATGTTCAGTTAAGCAGTAAGCACACTTAGATATTTACATACGCAGTGTGGGTCGCGTCTGGTGATCAACCTGGGCCTTCCACTCTACACGGAGCATATTCTCGTCCAACTCCAACTCATGTAAACGGTCCAGCGCATCATTCTTCTTTGATTGACAGTGGATCCAATGCCGATGGAGCCAGTGTCCGAATGCTTGCAATGATTTCGAGTCTAAGTGGCGAATTTGAGTATTGAGGACGAATAGTCGCTGATTAGACTGTGCCGAAGAGTGAGATTAATAGACTGATTAGAAAAGAGCATACGTACCCCTGAAACACGCAGGGAAGGGATGAGAGGCTTGAGGAAACTCCATAATCGTTCACATCCCTCACCATCAGACAAGCCGAATCCCTCTCGCTTCCTAGGGTGGTAAACGATCTGACACGGCCACTGGTGACCATACGCATGGAACACAGCAACAGCAAATGCGATGCGAGATAGAGTAGAATCATCCAAGAAATTCCACTTGCGACAGCTCCGTTCGAGCTGGCATCCAATGTCGTACAAAAGCCCGATGGTCATCTGAGTAGGTATATGTTTGAACAATCGGTCCAAGAGAGCAAGCGCATAATGTTGCTTTTCTCCTGCAGACGTCAGGTTCGCAATCCATAGGACACGGTCATGTCTACAAACCAGTGCCATAAGACCAGTATCGGTAAAGAAACGAGTACTTGCCTTCTCCCGCTTTTCGTCTGCAGCAATGAAGGAGTCGCCACATCCGTTCAAGACAGATACTGGTATGCGCATGCCCTTCTCATAGCTATCTTCATCAGGTTCAACCCTCGAGGTCCTTGCTTGCCGTCTGTCTCCGCGACACCTTTCAACAAAATCTTCCATTGCTTTTACATCATCCGTCGGTAGAAAGAAGGATGGTGTCGGGTTAGGAGGATCACTGCCAGTAGCACCGCGAAGGATTTGCAGAGCGTTTCTGTGTAAAGCACGCGTCAATGCAAACGATAACATCTGGCCTACAAATGATTAATCGATGTGGTAGCATAGTAAGAAATAACGCACATAGGAAGAGAATCTCTTGTTCCGTTTCGCCAATTGTTCCCTCCAAAACAGAGTGGGCACCGCGAGCGGAGATAATCACTAGGTTGGTCCACAGGAGCACCATCTTTCCGGGAACCAACGACGAGCGTAGAAATGTGGTCCTGAGCCAATACAGTCAAGACCTGGTACCAGTGGAACGCATTGCTGAAGCGACGCCGTAAGCTATCCTGTAGGAAGGTTAAGCATGGATATGCAACGATGAGATCAGAATTTTTTTACCTTCAGCCTCAACTTATATTTCATTCCGTCCAGAAAGGTCTCCAGCGCATCACACCACGCCGTTTGGTTGGGAGACTGACGAAGAAAAAGAAGGTGGACGAACTCGAGAAGTCGTAAGTCGACTGCCAGGGAGGGTGCCACGGGCGCACATGGAAAAAACCCGCAATGAAGAAGCTGAAGCGGGGCAGGCGAACAAGGGCAGGCGATGATGGTGATTTCCTCGAAAGCTGTAATGTACATCAGATTGAAGTTAGAAGAGAAAAATATGATGACATACCGTCAAAAAACACGCATGCAACTTTGATGCTACGAGTTCTGCACCCAGTTCTGCACTCTCCACCAGTCCGATGACGTATTGCTGGCATGTTGGCATGACGTAGCGATACAGTCTCTTGAATGTATGATAGATAGGGCACTATCATGCGCAGAATTACATCTTCAGACCATCTGCGCCATTGATTAGCCCTTTTCTGGGAGCTGGTGAGACGACGGGGACCAGCGTCATTAGAAAAATGTATTGAGTCGCTGAAGGGAAACACAGGTCCATCAGTCCATCTGTTCAGGGTTCCGTCCTACATATGGATGATGAACGACGTAGCCTTTGCTGTGCTAGACGTTGTCGTCCTGGCAGAACTAAGATGGGTGGTGGGCCAGGAAGATAGAGGTCGAGTTTCGTTGTCTCGCGGGGACGTTTCCATCTAGTTGAGCATCCGAGGTTCGCAAATGCTAGTAGTCAGCTGATATATTGACGGAGGTGATGAATGGTGGGTCGTTGCCTTGCGACGTCGAGGTTTTGGACGGCGGACTGCCATTGCGTAATACCTCAAGACTCGAAGTCAACAAGGCAGGAAACTGTGACACTGAAGTCAACCAGGGAAACTCAGCCCACGGACAGCGCAGTCTGGGGAAGTTTGATTATAGTGACCAGTGGTGGCGGAGGTTGATGGACAAAGTAAAATCGCTAGTGAAAAATCAAAACAATTGCATTAGGCTGAGGAATCACGTAACTTATGTGCGGTAGTGCAAATCATTTGTTATTTGAAATCCTTTCATGGCTATACTAAGTTGTTCCAGAAGAAAGCATGAGCCTTGTTGTCATAGCATAGAACACAAAGTGAACTCACCACCCCGCCATCATGATGAGTCTCTGGCTCAATGTCTGAAACATGCACGCAGTGAATACGTATCTTGATCTGGTGAAGGCATAAATCTAAGAACAAGAAAATAAATCATACAGATTGTAATGCCGGAGTAAGATTGTAGTCCGCTGATGGTAATGATACACAGCCGCATAACGGAATGCACTACTAGAAGGAACATAATGGAACGCACTACTAGAAGGAACACAACAGCATCAATTGCATTGTAAGGTAACGAGAACGAACAACAGAAAATACGCTAGGACAACTATGGAATCATGATTGCATGGGAAGCGAATGGGGTACGATGGGAGGCCTGCCGAAATGATCAAAAAATGTCTGGACGTAAAATGCCATGGCTACACGCTTGACTTCCCAAGACTTGGTATCTGTGAAGTTGTCTGATGTCAGCGGGGTCATAAGAAGAGGCAGCACGCCATCCCAATCGCAAAGCAGTCGGCGAAAATTCTCCACGTAAGGAAGACAGCCCTTCAGGGTGTTATCCCACAACCCGTAATGTTCCGACGGAAATGGCTCTGACCACATCACTAGACCAGCGTCGCCCGGGAAGATGCCATGGAGGAGTTGCTCACGACCAGCTGGATCTTCCTTCCATTGTCTCTGCGCCAAGTGACGATCAAGATCCCTCAACTCGTATCGAAAGCCAAGTTCAAACAGCTCCCATGTGACCTTCTGGGCTAGAAGAGCGGAAGGATTAGTAAGACTGCCGATGGAGATTTCTTCACCCCGAAATTCAACAACTCCATCTGGCGAAAATACATCGCCCTGAGATTCTAGCAAATCATCGCCGAACAACTCCCGCATCACCTGCTTCCGCTTCTCGGTGGCCGTAAGACCATTTCTGTCAGGAGCTTTCTCCTGATGAGATTGTGGCTGGGCAGAAGGCACACTACCAAGGAAGTCGCGCCAGAGTTGAGGAGTGGGATAAGTGCGTGGAGGATCGTGGTCGACTCGGCCTACCCACAGCACACGAGATGCAAGCCAATTGGCAAGATATATCTGCAGACGTTCAGGCAGTTTGGGGCCGATAAGAAGAGCAGGCTCAGGGAATCTATACCCCCGATCGATAACGTAGGGCGTGTGAATGCGCGACTGGTCCCTAATTGCAATTTTCATCGCTGCTTCCCAATGCAGGTTCGGCGGTGGAAGGTAAGGAGTGTCAGGGTCTTGCCACTTGTCCCTGGATTCGCCTGACTGAGCAGGACGAGCTTCAATGGAGTCTAAAATGGTGAGTATCCAACGTGCACAAAAGAAAGAGGCGCTTACATGGCTGGTGCTTTGGCTTACTCTTCTGTCGAGATGGCGCCTTGCCATGACTAGATCCTTTAGGATCGGAATTCGAGCTGGACGATGGTTGAGGGTTGGCTGCCTTGGGGTCTAAGTGCGTTGTACCTGCGTATAGGCGGCGAACGTGCACATGACAACTATGACCACCAGGACCGTGGTATATCACTTCGAATGGGCGAACTTTACTGCCCTCCGTGTACATGCCAATGATGATGTGATCTGGACGGGTAAGTAAAACTGGTTCGACAACCTTCATGTTCGGGGGAATGTATGCGCTTGCGCGAACATACCAAACGGGGACACCAGCGCAGAATAACTTCTCGCAGACGTCGCTACTCTGCACAAAAGTGCCCATCCAATCGCCCCGAACAGCATGACGAAGGCCTGAAGTCGTGAGAGGCTGAGCTATAAGTACCCAGTCGATGTCAGAGTAGATATCAAGAAAGAGACGCTGAGCATCGGTGACGAAAATGAGAAGATCACGAAATGTGAGGGGATGTGACTTCAAGCGTGCGACGGCATGTCGGAGGGACAAAAGGCAGCTGTTACAGGGATCTGTAACACCTACCAGAGCCCCAGCTCTCCCTACGCCTGCCCCCACTCTGCTAGACTCTCCGCGCGGCGGTGCGCCGCCTGCGCCTAGAAAGACAGTGGTCTGGACTGCTATGACCCCGCCCCTGGCGCTATGACCCCGCCTGGCGCTATGACCCCGCCCCTGGCCTAGACGGCCTTGTACCTAACCCATGGAGGCTGTACGCCTCATGGACACCCTAGATCAGCGCATGCATACCACATGTCGCTTCATGAAGATCCGGAGCGCGCTTGGCGCTTCCTGTACCTATGCGCAGCTGCCCTTGGCGCAGCATGCTTGATCAGAGGTTAAGCCTCATGTATCTTATCTGAACCTCATGTCTTGCTATCATAGATTTACGATATACTATTGATTACAGACTGAGCTAGAATACTTGTAGTACTTCCCTATAAGTAGACACAGATTATTGTACTTAGACTTTACTTTAATCTACTAGGTTCATCCCCAGAACTTGCTCATCTAAGCCTACCAGCTTCCTTGTGTGAGACCGCACTTCTAAGTCGCCCCCATACGACTTAGCACGTATCCGCTAGCCCTGCATCTCGACGAGCGCCATCTTACCGAGATCGCCGGAGGAATCCTTGACGTTCCGTCAAGGCCAGACCACGCTCAGCTTCAGTAGACTCACTCGAGTCGTCGCTGAGAAGACCCATCCTAGTTCGCACACGCCGACCCACAAGTCGACGTAACAGCAGCCATATATGACTTGGCCTCTGTCTGGCTGAGCCTGTCTATACTCATGGAGTCGTTGTTCTGCCAGCTTGAAGAGGGATTGCAAGCCTTCGACCTTATCCGACGCCAGTGTGCCCACAGGAAACGAATTCCCAGGAATGGACTTAAGATCATTCTGGGTAGGGGTGAACCAGGCCCAATAAAGTGGGTGAGGAGACAGAAAGGCCTCCTTTCGAGGTATGCAAGCGGCATAGCAAAATGTATCGTCGTAAGCCTGAGGCCATTGGAAACAATCGATAACACCAAAGTGACCATCTGCGCGCACTTGTAAGATTTCATCGTCGAAGTGACGGAATTCCGGAACGAAGTGCATGTTGGGAGTCGTGATGACAAGATTGCCCTGCACAGCAACGGCGCGAGCGTCGAAAGCTTGTAACCAAGCTGTTCGAAACTTTGGTGTTAGCACATGAAAGACAGATGGAGACACACATACTGTCTGGGAGGGCGGTATTCGCTTTGAATAGTGTCAGGGCGTTGGGCATGATGTGTACTACAAGTCTTCACTGCACAACGCAATGAACAAGCGAAAAAGTAGACATACCTTGTGTCAGTTGCGGAGTAAAATTGTGGGAGTTCGAGTTGCTGACCAGGAAGAGAGCAATAACGCCAGGATAAGGATGTAAGAGGAAATCAGTAAAAAGTAAATGAAAGACAAGTGAATACCTCACTGGCTGTGAGACGCTCAATGAAGATGTCAAAAAGAAACTTGAAGGACGAGCGGTGCAGATAAGATCCAGTTGCAAAGCACTCCTGCGGAGGATCTTCAACCCTACTGGTGCAACAGCGGGTGAGCAGCCAGGGCGATCCTCCAGACACGTAGTCTAGGAGTGTTAGACCAGCGACGCGCAGTCAACTGATCAATTAAAATGAACGGCACGAAGCCAGTTCGGATGGATACAGGCCGGAGTTGAGTGATATCCTGGGGGGACGATAGAAACATGGGGATGAGTGAAAAGAGAGGATCAGCGACAGTAGTTAGTAGCAAAAGAGAAATATCATCAAGTGGGAAAATCCCAAATGAAGTTCCGACTAAATGTTAGTTGCAAGTTCGATTGTGGGAAAGTCCCATATCTTTGCACTTACTCAATCTCGCTCGTCCATCGTCTCCATCGTCCATCGTCGTCTCCATCGTCCTCCATCCATCATCCTACCACCCTTATCTTTCGCCCCGACAAACGTTCCACCTGGATTTCCTGGTCCCATCCTATTTTGAATTGGCTTCGTGCCATTCACATCCTGATCCATTGACTTCGTGTCTTTGATCAATCACTCCTAGACTGCATGTCTGGAGGATCGCCCTGGCTGCTCACCCGCTGCAGCACCAGTAGGGTTGAAGATCCTCCGTGGGAGTGCCCTATATTTTCTATCCGCTCGGTCTTGCTTGGACCTTCAGCATCGAGCCTCTCAGTTGAGTGCGCACTTATTTCTCTTCCTCTACTCCTTCTTCTGACTTTCCTTAATGTCTTTTTGGGTCTCGTTTGCCTTGTGCCTCACTTGCTGGTGTGACGCCCATCTCCTTCAGTTGAGTGCACAATTTATTTGTTTTATCTACTACTGATTTTCCTTCGTGTCATTTTGGGGACTCGCGCAACCTTCGATTTTCAATTTCATTGGTCAGTTTGGTTCTCTATCCCTCAATGCGTTCACTCGATCCCTGATACTTTTTCATGTGGCTTACTATCTTCCCGTTCATCCGATCCATGACCAGCACCATTCGTTTTCGGTGTCATCGGTCAGTTTGTTTCTCTATCCCTGGTACTCCCTCATGTAGCTTACTATCTATCAGGAACCTTTGAATCAGAGTTTCATTGTATCACAATGGTCAGTCTACCGCTTGTTCTACTGTAGGGATTCATACTTAACGCAGATCTATCAACTTGTAGCGTGATTGGTTGATCTACTGCATGTTCTAGAGTTGGTTCTAATGTTCATTGTTATCACAGATCTTCTTACCAATTTCTTGGCTCCATTTCGTTACTGTCACATCCTGCATGATCCGTGGCGCCCACTTTGTTCGGCTGTCAAGCGAATAGAATCATTCCTTGGCAATCCCAAACCCACTAACCACCTTAGGGTCTTGTGATTGTATATATAATGCTATCCGATCTGTAGGTACCCTTTCAATTTCTAGTTTTTTTTACTTGCTCTTACAATCAGAATTTCTCTTTCGCGTATCCTTACCTGACTTCGCGTCGGTGCAATACAATTGTGGAGAAACTTCGTGTTTCTTTCAAGATATCATACCTTCTTCGTATCTTCGTGACTACGAGGAACAGTTTCAAATATGCCTCTTCTTACCCGCTCTGGACGCCAGTCAAAAGTCCCACTTCGAGCCGACCAGGTTTCTACCCATACGTCAAAGGATGGCAACGAAGCATGTTCCCACCCTGGTCCAAAGTCGGCCAACGCCAATGTAAGCTTATAGCAGTCATTTGCCATCTACTGACTCGTTGTTAGGTACCTCGCCCTCGGCCTAAGGCTCGTCCCCTTCGAAGGTCCGAACGTTCTGACCCTTTGACATCATCTGCTGAGGAAGAAATTTTCTTTTCCAATTTTGCCAGGCATTCATTCGTCAGGAACAAGTCCAATGATGCAAGTGAGGATCCCGAGGCACAGTTATCTGACCCTGATGGTAAGTTCACTTACCACCTTCTGACTACTGCTGATGATTCCACAGAGGATAATGATACACAGCAAGTTGAAGGTTTGTTTTCTCTTTGGTCTTCAACTTTGAATAACTCTTGTCCCTCAGCTTCTCCCAGGGATGACAGTTCTGTTCTCCGCAATGAGAGTGACACGGGTACAGGTATTGTTTACCCATCTGCAAAATAGTTTTTGGCATTGACAGTGTTTTAGTAACAGGCAACAAAAATCAAACCCAACGTAAGTTCCACCATTCATGTCATTTGGTTGTAAATAATTAATACGTATTGCAGGTCCATCCAATGGTGAATATTGTAGTCCTGCAGCGACAAACGAAAGGGAGACAACAGCCGGTAAGTTTTGTTACATCGTTTATGGTACACAATTAACATATTCCATTATAGCTCCGTCCGACAGCGAGTCTGGCAATCCTGCAGCGACGAACGAAAGGGAGACAACAGCCGGTAAGTTTTGTTACATCATTTATGGTACACAATTAACATATTCCATTATAGCTCCATCCAACAGCGAGTCTGGCAATCCTGCAGCGACAAATGAACAAGATGAGACTGCGGGTGATTTTTCTTCAAACATCTCATGGTACACTGCTAATATATTTATCACAGCTCAGTCTGACGGCGAGCACGGCAGCAACATAGCAACGAACAACGGGGTCAACATTGCAGGTAGGTTTCGTGTTACATTTTTTTTTAAGTGAAATGACCAAACATGTCATACGACAGTTCCGTCCTTGAATGAACCCGATGGTCATGCAGCGGTTAATGAAAGGAGGATCAATGCATGTAAGTTTCTTCATCCAATTCATAGTACATACACTAACATAATTTATAAAAGCTCCATCCAACGCTCACAGCGTGATCAAAACAAACAAAAGGGAGAATACTGCAGGTAGGTTTCACTATACATTTGGTAGTACACCGCTCATGTGTTTGGTAACATCGATAGCCCATCGCCCACGCAGATCCGGTGCCCGGAAGTCATACTTACCTTCTGACGAGGGGAAATCTGTAGAGAGCTCTGGCTCTGATAGCAACTGGGCTGCAACAGAAGAGCAGCGAAAGAAAGCAGAGCGCCATGCAAATCCCATGAGGTCCCCCAGCCCATCTACAGAGGGACATCAGAAGGGCAAAGCAGTGGCAGAGGCAGAGGCAGACGACAATGATGATGATTCTGAGGGTTGCGACGAAGAAGACAAGCTTGAAGACGGGGACGAGACCACGCGCAAAGCGGGCAGACTATCTAAGGAAGCTATTCTGGCAGTACATGAATTTGGGAGGAGGGTCCAGGAGGAAGCGACTGAAATTGGCAAACAGTTTGGGAAACATCAGCAGGTCATTCTGACGGAGGCAGGATTAGCTAGGAAAGCAACTCGCAAGGGTCCATTTGGAACCAGCATCAGGCCTGGTTTAAAACTGTGCTGCACCCATCCAAAGCAGGTATGTTATTGCGCTGAAGGTTGTTCCGATCTATGTTCATACCCTTTCAGCGAGCTTGCAGGCATGGAAAGCCAAGCAGGCTGAGCATTATCATGCCCACTCACACAAGGACCCTAAGAACGCGGCTCTCTGGAAACAAATCCGAGAGCATTTTGATCATGCGGTTGCCACTCCTGACGATCTATCCTCTCGAGAGTCATGCAGTCTTATGATGGCAGTCCGTGAAATATTTGCGAAATCGGTGAGTGCTGTTTTGGTGACTAACGTTTACTGGTAACTAACGTTTATTGATAATGCGACCTTCTGAAGGCTTTGTACTGGCACCGCACATACAGAATTCATGTCGCTGGCATTGTGATTTATCCAGGAGATGAGGAGTCTGGCCGCCAGGCCTCTGGCTTTTTTGCGGGGTCAGATATTGTAAAGGCCCTCATTGACGCTCAACGAGTTGATGCCAAGCATATGATAGATGAGATCACGACAATCCTTAAGTGCGTTTTGTTTTTAATTAGAGGCTACGTCATGCTAACATACTACAGGTACAAGGATTTAGAAGCTGCGCAAGCAGGAGGCAAGAATATCAATTTTCTTCCGCCGCCTGCCCCGGTTGCCAATGCTTCGCTTCTATGCAATGGTAAATCCGACAGGGATAGAAATCGCATGGTTGCACCTGTGGTTATCAGCGAAGCATTTGGTTAGTATCTCTCACCTGATCGTACTGCCATTGTACTCACATTTTTAATAGCTGAAGCCGGTCATGTGCTAAAGACTTCCAATAGTAGATGGATGACAATGCTTGACGTCCTGTACTCGACAAGGTTATGCATCCATGACTGGCCCGCCGGAGTTCAGCCCCCTGGCCCTGATTTTGACCTCAAATCGCTGTCCGCAAGTCAGTTACGCGCCCTGGTGGGTCCGTATTTGAGGATTCATCTCAGTGAGATGTATGAAGCTGAGTTGGGCCGAGATGAGGATGAGGATGATAGCGATGCAGAGAAAGGCAAGATGGCCAAGCGGAAAGGCAAGTCCAAGAAGTCTAATGAGCATCGACGAACAAAGGGCGTGGTCGTGGAGGTGCCTGATGTTCTCTTATCTATCCAGGGTTGGAATCCTCGTGCGTTTTCCCGTATTCGAAATCGCCACCGATTAATATCTTCGCACTACAGTTCAGTTGCAAGACCTTACCTCGTACACTGGCGAGGTGTTCGAAATCCCTCTTGTCATTGATACAGATGGTGTCATCTTACGTCGTCTCAAAGATTCAGAAAAATTTATTAAGGATCTCCCTCCCCACGTCACTTGCAAGCATATAGGCATGATTCGTCCAGAAACTCCGACCTCAGATGCAAGTGCAGAGCATTCTGGCTCAGAGGCTCCACGTCCTAACTTGGTAAATTTATGATTCAACTGAAGATCTTTGTACTCATTACCAGCAGGTTTCTCACACACGTGGTATGGTTCCATGTGCCACCTCTGGGGCTCCGCGCTCTAACCTTGGGGCTACGCGCTCTAACCAATGGGCTTCACGCTCCGCCGCTGGGGCTTCGCACTCCGCCGCTGGGGCTCCGCGCTCCAATCAATTTGTCCCTAGGCACATGGACTATGACAATCACGCTGACTACAGTGACCCCCCAGATGACTATGACAATCTCCCACCATCATCTCCTTTTTCCCCTGCTACGCCTCGAGGTTCAAATGCAAATGCAGCCCATGGACAATCCCAGTACAACCGTCTGTGTGAAGACATCCGCCATTCTTTGGCCTCTAAGTCTGACACTCGGAAACGACCTCGTGGTGATTATGAAACTATCAGTGAGGCCGACGACATCGAGACTGCCGTGGTAGATGATAGGCATTGGGCCAGGATGCGCGTACGTCGTCTACATCTTTATTTTATTTTATTTTTTCAATCTCAACCAACCTTTTGAATCGCAGGACAGGACAAGCATGGATCAAAGGTCTACTCTTGGGCATCAGTAAGTTACTATTCAATTGTCATTTTATTTTACGGTGCTAATTCATTGCCATTCCCTTAGTCATAAGCCGATTGCTCGTGCTCTGTCCATGGCACGAGCCGTCCCAAATAGGAACGCTGCGCGCTTACCATCTCGTTCGTCAGCGGCACCCTATACTGATCGTTCGCCTTCACGCCAGCACGGCCGTTGAGTGGCTGTTGAAGCTGAGTATGAATTTGATTCCTACTGATCTTCATAGCAAGTATATCATTCTCGCATGTTTTGGTTTGGATCCTTACTGGGTTGCAACTTCTCATATTATGTTTTAACCTCACTCACTCGTGCCCTGTCCAGTTGCTCGTCATGTTATGCCCCTTATGTGTATGCCCCTTCATCACTTATGCTTTATGCCTTTTTATTGTCACGTGCATACTATGATCAGATAAGTGATAGACATTGATGCGAATATCACTATGTTTTTCCAGCCGTCTCACTAGAGAATACTGTCCGAAGTGTGACCGTTTAAATTTGCTAGTCTTAATGTGAATTCTCGATGACCTTATTGAGGGTTTTTGGTACGAATTCTACACCTGCCGCCACAGTAACATTGTAAGGTGCATTGTAGCACCATTTTCATTAATATATTCTGACTTCACAGCCTTCATTTTGCACCACCACATCTCATGGTTCTTTACATGCTGGATGTTTCCATGTAGTTTATCATATGGCAAGTACATGTACAAAAAATGAAACAAATGAAAATTGAGTGCATAGACAATAGTTATGTGATGAATCGAGTACATAGGGGGCGGGGAGGCTATCTGGGAAAGTGAAAAGGTGTGTAATAAGGGGGTGGGGTGGGTTATCCTGTCCTTGTAACTTGTATGTCACACTATCTCATATGTTCTGCCTTACTTAGTAGTCTATGGTTAACCTGCATGTGCATATGACAGACAGAAAGAACTCACATACCATTTTGCAAAATTCATCAATTTTTTCTCGACCGTCATCATAGATTCATATGGTACAGCATTCCAATCTTCATCAATTTTTTCTTGGCGGGGGTACTGGACCATCATCATAGATTCATACTGTACAGCATTCTGATCATTCTTGGCAGGAGTACTAGACCATCATCATAGATTCATACTGTACAGCATTCCAATCATCATCAATTTTTCTTCACAGGAGTACTGACCGACATAGGGAGAGGGGGTCTGTAATAAAGGGCATTTTGTGCAATTCATCAATTTTTTCTTGGTGGGGGTACTGGACCAACTTCATAGATTTGCACCATACAGCATTCTGATCATTCTTGGTGGGGGTACTGGACTGACATCATAGATTCGTACCATACAGCATTCTGATCATGACCAAGATGGTCTGTGAGACTGACGAGCCCAAGGAAGATGGTGCTGAAGGAGATGTGGATGAGCCCAAGAAAGGTCATGGTGGATGTGGTCATGTACAACTGGCCATTAGGAAAGAAGGACTGAAGCTTTTCGTCCAATACAAGAGACCCAAAGATGAGGGTGAGGATGTGAAATCAATGCAGCCTGACAAGCAGCTGATTACACCGTCTTCAGAGGTTTATACAATGTTCAAGAAGATGTCAGACTCTGACCTTCATCTAATAGGTCTTTCAGATGAGTATGCTCATCCTGAGTGGATGATTCTCACCGTTATGCCTGTCCCGCCTCCACCTGTCCGTCCCAGTATAGCAGTTGATGCCAGGTGGTGGTGCTATGCAGAGTGAATATGACTTGATGTACAAGCTTGGTGAGATCATCAAGGTGTCCGCACATATATGGCGGAATATGATATTTGTTAACCCACATGTGCATATGACAGACAGAAAGAACTCACATACCATTTTGTGCAATTCATCAATTTTTTCTTGGTGGGGGTACTGGACTGACATCATAGATTCATACCGTACAGCATTCCAATCCTCATCAATTTTTTCTTGGTGGGGGTACTGGACCAACATCATAGATTCGTACCGTACAGCAGTCCAATCATCATCAATTATTTCTTGGAAGGGAAACTGACTGACATCATAGATTTGTACCATACAGCATTCTGATCATCATCTATTTTTCTTGGCGGGGGTGCTGGACTGACATAGGGAGGGGGGGCTGATCTGGGAAAGTGAAAATGTGTAAAATAAGGGGCATTTTGCGCAATTCATCAATTTTTTTTTCTTGGCAGGGGTACTGGACCAACATCATAGATTCGTACTGTACAGCATTCTGATCATGTTGTTGCGGTCCACCCTATATTATATATGGTCTGCCCTAGTTAGTCTATCATGTTGTTGTGGTTTGCCCTACATGAAATATGGTCCACCCTATGTAGGCTATATTGTCTTTGTGGTCCGCCCTATGTGACATATGGTCCTCCCTAATTAGTCTATAGCATTGCTGCGGTCCACCCTACATAGGCTATAATGTCTTTGTGGTCTGCCCTATGGGACATATGGTCCTCCCTAATTAGACTATAATGGTGTTGTGGTCCGCCCTACATGGGCTATAATGTCTTTATGGTCTGCCCTATGGCACATATGGTCCTCCCTAATTAGTCTATAATGGTGTTGTGGTCCGCCCTACATAGGCTATAATGTCTTTGCGGTCTGCCCTATGGGACATATGGTCCTCCCTAATTAGTCTATAGTGGTGTTGCGGTCCGCCCTATGTAGGCTATAATGTCTTTGCGGTCTGCCCTATGGAACATATGGTCCTCCCTAATTAGACTATAATGGTGTTGCGGTCTGCCCTACTTAGGCTATAATGTCTTTATGGTCTGCCCTGTGAGACATATGGCCCTCCCTAATTACTCTACAATGGTGTTGTGGCCTGCCATATCTGATATATGGTCCGCCCTAGTTGGTCTATACTGTTGGTGTGGTCCACCCTATATGGTCCACCCTACATAGGTCATGATGTCTTTGTGGTCTCCCCTACATGACATACGGTTCTCCCAAAGTAGTCTATATCCTTGTCAATGTTGTTTTCTACCATGGGATCATGACTAAAGATATTACTGGTAAACCTGGCATCCAGGCGAAGGTAACTAGGATGGGCGAAATCACCTAGGCAAAGGTAAGGTGGGAGTCACAAGTACCATGGTTCACAACGAAGGTAATGATTGTGCAATATTTTAAAACACTAGGTGACCACTACCAAGGTCCAAGGTAGGAAGCATCCTAGCTATCAACTCTGGAGCTCTTTTTTATTGTACCACGTAAAACTCCAGAATGTACAGGTGAAGTCAGTAGCAAGTGTAGGTGCATGGGGATATGCATCTGTAAAAATTCAGTCAGTGTACCTGCAGCGAAAGCATGTAACAACCATACCACATTATTATGTACCAATCGACAGGACCTGTGTGGACATAGGGCTTAAACTAGTCAAAGAGGCTCAGCTGAGTGACAGATAAGAAAGGTAGGTCCAGGTATGCCGGTAACACATAGACAAATATGGTAATGCAATCATACAAGCCTAGTGCAGGCTTGATTGTCACAGTGTATCCTTTGTATTATTAGTGCGAGAAGATTGATTGAATTATAGTAGAACTAAACAGATATGACCACAAATACTACCAGACTTCAGAATGAACAGTGTCTTCCTAGCAAGACACTAAATTGAGCAATATACAATTGCATTCACAATTTCAGCCATTATATGATTCTATATGGTAGATATAACACAAACATTCATGGTAGTTCAATGCTATTCACCATCAGAATCAACAGAAAATTATCGCAAAAAATGAAAATCTAGGTGGTTTGTGACCCCAGACACTCCGGTATATCTGGGAAAATCCATTAGATATATGGTCCAAAATACCCTGTGGTACGTGCCATGACATGGTCCCAATGGTCTATGGTCCATGGGCAGTACATCCTCTTTTGGTCCACAAAAATAATAGGGAAGGACCGTGGAACGTTGGAGAGACCAGCAGAAACATACCTCTTAGGTACAAATCTCTATAGACAACAATCAACCTAAGAGGTATCTAAAATGGGGTGACCAAAGTGCTTGAGCCTTTCTCTTACTAGTCTTGGACTTCCTAGGGCTGGGCATCGTTGCAGGGAATAAGACAAAAGCTAGAACGCGTGAATTTACCATCCGAACTTACTCATATTTGAGTCTTCGTGTCCAGATTCTACGGCAGACTTTGAAGTATCCAGTGTAATATCGCAGCAGGTGCTGCCATCCGATACCATACGGTTGCCCTTCCAAGTCAATATAAAAGTAATAAATCAGTGCAAGGTAGACAAATTGAGTAACACACCTCCAGGTGCACATGTAATAGCAGTCATGCCATCCGATCCCATCCGACATCTCCTTCGCTGTAGATCCGTCCTTCGCCAAAGAACAGAGTAAACCTGATGCATACTAGTAGTACTAGTAGCACGCGATCATGAATGTCAGTTGAATGTGAGAATCCGCGAGTGTATACTGCTCATGTCACGTGATAGAAGAAAAAAAGAGTTGAACTCAGTGAACGCATTGGCACAACTTGAAGATGTGAAAATGAGTCATAGAAAAGTTCGTAGTACTAGAAGTACATTTACTAGTACACTATTCTACAAGAAAGTCATGCTAGAGTAATGTGAGATTAGAATCGCAATAGTAGTTTGAGGGAATTGTATTAAACAACAGCCTTCGCCTGCTTCTGTGTAAAATAAGTCCCCTTGGACTCTGGGATAACTCTCTTGCGCCTCACAGTATTTTCCCCCAGAGGAATCTTCAACTCTTGTGATGAGAAATACCGCTCTGGAGAGAACTCCTCTGTCTTGTAATTAGACAGAAAAGAGTCCAGGAGCTCCAGCACTGCATCGAAGGCTACCGGATGCTCATCATTGTGCCTCATCAGTTCCAACCAATCATCTGCGAGCTGGGTAAGGTCCGCGAAGTAGGGGTCGATTTGACGAAGGAATGCTGCCTTCCCTGAGTGGTAAAGGACATATTTGGACCCGACACACAGCGTGGTGTTTGGGTCATTCCAGCCTTCCGTCATCAACCCAGCTTGATTCTGCTCCATCCCGAGAGGGCCCGAATAATTGAGGAGAACCCAGAGGAATATCCATAGAACGGATTCAAGATCATCGGAATGGTTTTGCACTATTGTTGCAAGCGGTTGGGGAGGAGCACTGGTAGACGATGTCTTATGAGACTGTGGCGGATTGGAGAAGGTCGGACTGACGATGGGCTGAGTCAAATGGGCGAGATCAGCTTGAACCAATTGACTAAGGAGTTTGCGAGACATGAATGGAACTGTGCCCATACCGCCCCTGGTGAGGATGCTACGGGTATTATTGTCACAGTGAGTATTAGAGACATTGATTGCGAACTCCCAATTCAATCAAACAACCCTGTATGCCTCCAGGGAGATCTTCGATCATTGCGTTGTGAAGGCTGCAATCACGATGCACAACACCACGATCAGGATGCTGCATGTATGACTGTGTTGGGGGGGAGAACAATCAGTAAGGGATTGGCTCGAGCATTCAAGGAATACTTACTGCAAATGATATCGCGTAAGGCTGTCAGCAGCTCTTTCTTAGTTCAGGAACTTGATGTAATGGACGGGCACATGGTTTGAGAACAAGGCGAACATGGGCGCGAAATGCGTGGGATGTGCTCTGGATATGCTTGAAGCGAAAGTCACCTGTTGTATCTGGAACTCCCTTCTCCCTCTCAACAATCCAATAGTCTTCGAGGTGAGGGACACCAGGGACACCTTGCATCCACTTCAGCATTTCCACCTCATTCAGGATGTCCGTGTCATCCTGTCCTTGCACCCAATGGTCTTTGATAATGAATTCCTCACCCCCCAACTCGACCAAATAACAAACAGTTCCCCTGCCCGTAAGACCTCGACTGTAGAACAAGGTGTGGAGTATATTGTAGAACTTCTCCTTGACATGAATTTTACCAATGGGGTCCTTGTTGGAGGGGGGAGGGGGGAAGAGCGCTGTTGGGATGTCCTCGTTTGGCTCCGGAACAATTTCTGGCTGAAGTACCCCTGTAGTAGAGGCAAACAGGGCGTAAAGAGGAAACGGGCCATCTTCAAAAAATTCCACCAGAGTGCCCTCATGTGACGTGTCGGTGGGAGGATCATAATGTGTCACTTCTTCGGAAAAATTGCTGCCTCCACTGGCAGCGACAGAATCGTTTGAGCTACTGAATGGGTGACTTTCTTCGGCAATACCAGGTGCAAGCGAGCTGATGTCTTTGGAAATGTCGTGCATGATGGCCTGGTGTGGCGTGGCAGTGCGACGGGAAGTGCTGGCAGGTTTGGAAGGGGTGACATAAAATACGACGGTACAATCGTAACCAAGACACTGGGGACCTCCAAACACGATCCCAGCGAGTATTTGCAAATACATATCTGGATTGTTGTCGATGTTGAACACAGGGGACACCAGCCCCCCAGAATGGTCGTACAGATGGACGTGAAGGTCACGGTATCGATTACAAAAGGACAATAGCAGTACAAAACGGCGCCATGGCTGTCCACGAAACAACAGGTAAGCTTTGGTGTCCATGGAACTGCCAACACGTGCAGCAGGCTGGTAAGCGCTAAACGTGAGTTCAGCGCATACCATGAAATTGTTCCAGCCCAGCTGGACGACATGGTCGGATAGAACTAAGTCAGGCTTCCGTTGGATATCTTGAGTTGGAACTGCGTGGGTTGCAAATTCTGAGTACCAAACGCGCGATGCTTGAGTAAGTTGTTTGAGGTTGGGATTCGCGATCGATAAGGCCTCTGAGACAACATTGAGATAAAGACCAAAGGAAAACTCATTTGTCTCCTGGGCTCCCTACCAACGTGATTTGATCAGTATCTTACTATCTGTGAAAATCTGCATATGCACTGCTGGAGTGATCCCTGATGAAGGGAAGTCCCAATTCCAGCATTTTGAATTGATATCATACAAGGGCACCATGTCATCGTCTTTGAAGTTTTGAAAGTGAACCTTTGCTGCTTTGCTACACCGCAGCTTTCCCAACTTAATCTTCAGCTCACTTGCAAGGGGAACATTGTCTAGCTGAGTGAATGATTTGAAGATCAGTGGTAGATAATGACCCAGCCCGATTCCTTTTGGATCTTCATGAGTGATCAGATGATCAAGCTCTTTGCTGGTGAGCTTGTTCATAGTTGTAACATTATGCGAACGGGGCACGACAGGAAACGATCCCAGTTTTATTGTGGGCGCGACAGTTCGAGCTACTATGGCCATGATGACGGACGTAACTAACAAAGACTAATTTTACGAAAACTTATCCCAATTTGATAAATTATTATGTAGATAAGGAGAAAAATAATTGTTTGTTCCAGTATTTGTTTAGCCAAAACTCCGAGCAGTGTTCCATGCAGTTAGAAGTAGTGAGACGGTTATCTGCAATGCTACCAAACCGAGGTATGAGGTTTATGGGAGACTTGACCTGGGACAGTAAGATTACATCGCCAAGGCGAGTTCCATTCGACCTCTTAGCCCTCTTGAAGACATGTAGCTGTGTAGTCGGGTCACGACCATCAGATCCCAACAGTGTGACAGAATCAAAGCGATGAACGTAAGTGAGGAAGCAGTCTTGCAATGCATTCCCTGTGAGAAGCCTCATAATGAGCCTGATTTGAACCACGCTATGACCTAAGGGGAAAAAAGTCGAAAAAACACTCATGGATTACGTATGAGCGTACCTTGAAACCCACTGGCAGGCCACGAGAAACCAGCGCAGGTATTAATGAGAACAGTATCAAAGCGGCCCCAGGGCCATGCAGCACAAGGGGGTGTGCAATTGAGGGTTTGCACAGGTTGTATAGCGCTGGAATCATGAAAGTCTGTGTCTTGCAAGCGCAGTTTGAACCACACTTGCAAGTTGTCGAATGGAAGTTGTACGTCAGGTCCAGCTCTTCGCCCCCCACCTACTGGATGGACATGATGTTGCCCATGAATACCATGGTGGTAGAGAAAATCAGCGATGGCAGGTCGTAAGTCCGGAAGACCAAATTTTACAGCTGCCTCGTCAACAGTGATACTTCTGATTGATGGACTGTAAGCAAGATGGAATGCTGTCTGTCCAACAGTGAACATGTGTAATGGTCGAGGGACAGTGCCAACATCCTTGTGGCATAAACTGTTTGGAACCATGAAATAATTCATGATTGGCCGTGAGCGACCAGGGAAAGCAACAGTGGATAAGAGGTCCGCTGGTATATCTTCATCAACATCACCCTCATCACCCTCGTCACCCTCATATCCCTCGTCAACTTCAACCACAGTTGTTGATCGTAGCTTGTTGTGATCGAGTAGACTTGTGGCAAGGTCAAAGCGACAGCACTTCTCCTCACGATCAAGATGACGGCAGATTTGCGGGTCGTAATTATTATTGTTGCTCGACCGAGCTGGAACTTTAACGACAGTGATATGAGCATGTTCTGTTGCATCCGCAGTCCATTGCATGGGGACACCAGTATTGCAGATGCTCGGGACAATGCTCTGCATGAACTCAAGTTTGGGGATATGCCAGTTGGTGATGACCTTTTTACCCTCCCCACGACGAAGACCAGCAGTGATGATGGCGTCTTTGTGGGCATAAAATTTATTTAGTGCAGCAGAAATACGCTCAAGGCCGTCATCGTCGATTCGGCTAGCTTGCACAAGATACCGGAAGTCCATGAGAGCACATATGGCAGTAAGGACACCTTGAGGTGCAGCATCAGCACAGACTGCAATGATATAGTGTTGGATGTCGTGTTGACACCGGCCAGTGACTTGTTTTAACTTCGAAATACCTCCATGGAAATGTCGCAACCCAGTAATGCGAGGTAGGACAGAAAAGCGAAAATCAATCTCAGATTCCCCAAGAGCATTAATGAGCCATTTCGCATCGTGATCCCAAAACTCCCAGTGTACATGGTGCAGGAGTTCAGGAGTGAAGAAATGGGATGGTTCGGCCAGAATCCAATCGCGCCAAAATGACTCAGCAACTCCATTCAATTGAAATTTCTGCGCTTCACGGAAAAATGCTTCAAGATCAAGGGGGTCAGCCCATGTATAGACAACTTTGAGTTGTGCGAGAGTGGTGGACTTCGTTCAGGGTTCATGTCGAAAAGTGTCCCCAAACTGCTTAAACATTGCCATGGTCAATGGCGATGTCTTACCCCCAACAGCACATAACATCATTGCTTCCGGGGTGTCAGCAATATAACTCGCAAGTCCTGTATAGCAGTGCCGGCTATTACCCATGGGATCCAACATCATGACTCCAACACGAGCGGCTCTCTTAAGCGGTTCAAGAACGATGTCTAAGCACTGGTGTATGAGGCGGTCCTCCAATACACCCCGCATGTGTTTCTTCTTGTGAATGAATTTAGGCACCGGCAGTAGAGCAGTAAGGAGAAAGGAGTCGGATGAGATTTTGGCGCAAGTGTTCATAGATATGTTCGCTAGACTGATTATGAGAGGGTGCGCGACTCTATCGCCAGTCAGAGCTGAAATGGTGGTCTTATCAGAGAGACAACATAATTCCGAGGAGAGTAGCACCATCAGGCAGCGCTGACTGCAATGAGATGAGCGAGTGGAAGTCAAAACAAATTATTCAACATACCTGCATATTCCATGCGTCGTCACCTGTCATCCATTCTGAGTAGATGCGACAGGTTCGCTTTGCGGTAGAGTACACCTTTTGAGGCATGACATTGAATTGATTGCGAAAGGAAGGATTGTTCATAATGCTGGCGATGCATTCTAGAGGATCCCGCCAGTACAGAACCACAGGAGATTTCGTGGGATGTGCCGTTTCGATCACCCTAGACAACCATCGCAGTCCACTTGGCAGCTGCTCTGCCCGACCTCGTAACTCCTTAGCAGAGTGGAATGACAAGGAGAGGGCCTTGATCTAAGCATGTCAAGTCAGACTATCACAGAGGGAGATGAGCCAGAGCACTACTAACCATCTCTAGCGATAAAAACGAGTCAATTTTACCCATGCTCAGGCCTGAACGCAGCAGCCAAGATGCGACCTCCCACTCTTTCCGTCCACTAAACGGGTAATAGGGATTATGCACACGATGCGCACTATTTTCATCCGCATCAAACAAACCAAGAAATGTATATCCTCCTTCATACACTTCTGCTGAGCCCGGGAAGAGATCGAGAAATTCATTACGGGAGGCTGGGATGTGTTCTTCTTCAAATAGTCCCCCAGCAGCCTGAATGTTAGTGTCATTGTAAGAAGCCGAGTGGTAGTTGTCATGAACGAAGGACTCCTGGTCGACATTGATGGGATCATCTTCCAAGGGCTGAATAATTGTTTTCAGGCGGATGACATCTTCAATCCAGGTACTGCACACGGATCTAGGCTGGCTCATGTGGTGTGCGACGGCTTCATGAGTACTGAACCCGTTTTTGCGGCACGAAGGACACTGAAACATCTTGATGATGAAGTTGCAGAAGCAATCACTGCCAGCATTCACCGATTGAACTCTGAATTGTAGTAAGTAAGTTGATGACTAACTTTGATATACATATACTCTAGTACTACCATGCCCGGACTTCAAGATTTCAATGCACACTGGCATGCCTCCTGTTCTCTACCCCCCAATCGCTCCCGGACAGAGTCAAAACATATAGGTCAGGATTCTCGCGCTGAGCTGCACAATGTTATTGAAGCTTTGAATACATCGGTATGTCGGAGATTTTCTTTTCGCCACGTTATGCTGATGCAGAGGTGTTGCAGACTGTCGATAATCCTGAAGACCTCAAAGCATATCTCATGGTAGATCTGGCGAGGGTGAAGCGTGAAGTTTTTAGAGCAGAGAAGCTTCTCGCAGATTGCATGGTGCGAGAACATGAGGTCACGGCTAGTTTGTTCAGAATCAGAGCCACCACCTTGGGGAAGAAACTGGATGCTACTGATGACGAGCTTGGTTCGCATGTGGATCACCTGTAAGAATAACAATCTCATAGTACCAACCTGCCACCCTGATGGTATGTTCCACACGAATTTCCTTGACTAAAAATGATGTCTTTCTACTACTAGAGCCAAATATATATCGCATGCACCGCGTCACTATCCAACTCGACTAACGCTAACGGGCATGTTGTATCGTGACTTGGATTTTTTTATACCCATCTGAATGTGTAGTCTGCGTTACTACTATGTATGAGTAATATACTTGTTTTTGTCTCGCATTGGAACAGGTGACTTTCGCTTCAAGCATATCCAGAGCACATCCCATGCATTTCGTGTCCATGTTCACCTTGTTCTCAAACCATGTGCCCGTCCATTACATCAGTTCTGAACTAAGAAAGAGCTGCTGACAGCCTTACACGATATCATTTGTATACTAATGTTAACTTGTTGCCTACCAAGAACGCGAATTTACACTACAAATTGCTGTATGCACTGGTGATTATGTGAGTATCTGTGGCCATCTGGTGCCGTTGTCTGCGAGAGGACTGTGTGTGCTGTGTGAGCTGTCGCAGCTGTGTAAGTCTGTCAATGCTTGGCCGCTTAGGCCAAAGTCTGTGAGAAAATTGTGGTTTACTGATGTAGGTAGCGCTGCGGACTTTGATTACAAAAAGCTGTTCTTCGCTTCCTGACAAGTTATTTTTGACCCTCGTTTCCATTCTCCGTCGATAGCAATTCTAAAGCCTTAGTAATTTGGTGTTGCCACAGGTACACCATATCAATGTCATGTATTTAACACTCGATGACACTAGGATCTGTGCCTATTAATGCAGGATGGACCTATACGAGAACGATGGGTTTCACTCTTACATGTTGACCGAAACATGATGCCATCGAGATGAGCCTGCACAATCAGAAATTAGCTTCCTGGCGTGACATCAAGTGCACGATGCATTGAACATGGTGCGCTTTGTATTGTCTGAATTCTGCAGAATGATACTTGCTCCATAAGAGTAATTGGAGAGCTGTTGCGCCTCGAGCTCAGTCAGTGATGCCGAAGAGTGTGTACATACTTGTTTCATGCACATCACACATTGACCTGATTTGATCGATGACTACATGGTCAATACCAATTTGGAAATCAAAATCTATTTTGATTGCCAGCTTTTTGTTTGACTTTGCACCGTTTCACTCCTTGAGGCAGGATCAAATATCCATATCCGTTATGCTGATACAAGGGCCGAACGGTGGTATATCTAGCACGAACGCTGTCGTTATACACCACTGACATTCCCCACTCGCTTACCCATCCCTCGAACATGACCTACGTCTCAAATGATCCCATTTGGTGGCCGACAATCAATTCGAATGTTCTTTTAAGCTATTGGATAGGTTCATCACATCAACATGTCTAGATCTAAGTTGACTTGCGGTTTCGCAGTTGTCTCCGGCATCGTGGTGGTATACGATTGGGGTAAGCAGGACGGTGTTCGAAAATCATTGATATTCTCATCATGTTTCCAGTCTTGACACTCGGACAAGAGGTACGTCGACGTTATCGCCGGAGCAGCCAACTCGCTAAGAATTATGCCATAGGTTGAGCTCATCTGGGTGAGTGACAAGAGTTCTGTATCAAAAGAAATACGAATACATTGATTTGGCGACAGAGACAACGCTGGTCTCTCATGACTGTGTTGTATTTGGCTGTTCGTACCTCATGTTGTACTATAGCGTGGTTAGCGGTTGTGCTGACTCCAAAATGTTTTAGATACGCTATGTTGGAATACCGTATTCTGTGTATGTGTCGAGGCCAACAAAATCCAAATTGGCACCGTGCTAATAGCTCAGCTCTGACAATCAGTGCCAGAGTTCTGCGTATGTCTCATATGTGCTGTGTTCGATTGTTCTGACTGACGGCACACAGCAAATATGATATGGGTCTCGCTGACAGATGCAGTAAGTATTCCGCAACCATCTTATTCGCATCTGATGAATACACTCATTTGTAGGTGTGAGTAAGATTCTGACCATCATGATCGAGCTTATCTAAACATAAACACTTAATAGGTGTAAGTTGGAGCGTTTGATCCTACTATCATAGAGGGTGTTAACTAATTAGGTGGTCCAGGCAATATTATGTACTACGCATTAAATGGCACAAGCATGGTCGTAGGTGCCATGTTAGGTGGTGAGTTATCTAGCTGCAATACCTCAGTGATATCGACTCGACTGAAACATGATGCAAGTCATCATGATTGCTCGGTTGCATGCAATGTATCAGGGATCTAGGGCGATGCTTATCTTCCTTATTATCATTTTCCTGACTGTAAACATTGCCTGCGGAGTAATCATAGCAATAATACTGAAAGATACTGTAGGGGGTAAGCTTCACTTGTTGACCTAAAGAACACGGCTGATTGGATAAACACCAGAGGAGTTGATAATCTCTGGCATGTATATGTGCCATTATGGATATGAAGGGGACGTCCAGCCTCTTGTTTCAGTGTTTTGGACACTCAACACTGTTTGGGAGGTTCTCGCACTGTCCCTTTCAGTCTGGATTGTTGTGAAACACTTCCGTGAGCTGCGACGACTCGGCCCATCGACAGGATCGATTATCGGGGACTGTTTCAGAGTGCTGATGCAATCTCATGTGCTTTATTTTGCGAGGTGAGCTTGTAATGTCAATTTAGTTTTCTTTTTCTCAAGTTCCGCCCGTGCTAGCTCTGTTTGTATCTCTTGCCTTGAACTTACAATTCCCGCTCAAGAGCTCATGGTGCGCTGACCCATTGTTGACATTTGCGTGTAACCAATGCTCATCATTTCGGTAGAATAAAAATTCTATTGCAACTCAGATACTTAATGGTGCTGTTCCGATTTTATCGGTCGTGCAGATGTTTGTGCTGGGACCACGCCTCATTCTTAGCGTTCGAGAATACCACGCCAAACTCATGGAAGACTCCGACGCAGAAACTAGCATGAATTCGATTGTTATTGTTTTCAAGGAGCGTGTACATGTATCCACTAGCAGTACTGTATAGGGACATGCTTGCTGAATGGTCTGCAGGGAGAAATTTGATCGAGAATCCGTGGTGGTATCTATTTCACATATGGTATTTCGAAGTATATTTGAAAGGTCTAGGCACAGCTATTTCTTGTTGTATCTGCCAATAGTCTCCTCGCCGATGGCCCTTCTCCACAAGGTCTACCTAGCTATGAGTCGAGCCTTTTCTACTCAATGAATGTAGGATCGCGAATATGAGCACGTGGAACGGACTTCTTCGGTCATCAACTTATACAGACAAACATCACCGTACCCTGAAAAATTGGACCGTGAAACATGCATACCAATAACGCTAGCTATAGTAGAAGTAGCGTTGCCGAGATCGGACAGCTTATAGTACAAATTGAATAAATTATGAGCGATATGACAGACTTTAGCTTTGAACCTGCATAATTGGCTGAAGGTGTGCCTGGGAAGCCATTAGGGTGACCAATGTAGTTTTTGAATGGACTTGTTTCTGATGGTCCTTCTCCACGTTGTATACCTTCGATAGCGCCTGTGAGTCGAGCCGTTTCTGTCGAATGACTAAGGGTTGTGCACAAGAGCGGAGCGGAATGGACCAGACGCATGTCTAACCCTATATCATCCATCTGGGCTGCAGAACGAATTGTGCGTGAAGAGGCGAAGTAGGCACTATCGCGAGTTTGAAGTCTATTCAAACACGATGCAACCATATTTAGCATGATGATTTAAGAAGGGACTGACGGGGGAGTATATGCTTTTGTCCCGAATGAATGCGCGTGGCAAAGAGATGACAAGTGCTGAGTGGAGAGTATAGAAGCGATCCAAGTCGAAAAGCATCAAGCGCGCCTGGGAAGTATCAGCAAGGCGCCCACCACCCTTGAGATCTGTTGACACCTATCATAGAGAAAGTTGCACGTCTGTCAGCGTGAAGCATCGAACCAGATTATGACACGGACCCATCTGTTGACACCATCGTCATCAATAACTGTCACCGTGAGTAGCATGTCGGTTCAGACAGCTGGTCTGGCAACGGTCTCGCTCATCCATCTAGACCAGTTGGTGGACTCGGGCAAATGGAATACAAGGGAAAATTCTATTTTTGAAAACGAGAACGAAGATTTGCGGAAGCCCATATAGCTGATAAAGCAATGGTTCTTCATGGACATCATCATCCATCTGGGCTGTCCATGCCATGTAGATGGATTACGAGAGGAAAACAAGCGTGTTGCAGGTAGTGAGAGCATATCCTAAACGAAACCCATAGAAATGCTTACCTTGAGCATTGAAATACGTAGTTTGTTCGATAGACTGGTGCATCATCCTCGGGTGGGGTTGGGGTAAAGTCTAGGTCTAGACGCAGATCAATAATCAAGCGATTCTATTGATGCTCGAGGACGGCGGACACATGAGCACTGCTGTATTGATGGTGAGTTTAGCATATGCCGTCGACAGGTGGAATGGGGCAAACAACTTACAACTGGCCAAAACCAGACGCCCTGAATAAGCGTCTCTAATGCATATGCCAGTGTCAATTCTTTGGGGGCGCAGTCCTATATTGGAATGCGCAGATCAGCGTGGGTGCATATGGGCTGGGATTATCAGTTCGGAAATCTGAAGAGAAGACGTGTCACTGTAGGAATCAAGGAATAGAGCTGCTCGTGAGGCTGGCGAAGTATTTCATGGCGTACAAAGAAGGTCCAACTAGTACTCAGCCTCAGATGGCATAATGCCTGTCCGTCGAACTTGACGCGCACGTCAGTTCTGGTCCTTCTGTTAGCCGATTACTTGCAGAGCACTGCGACAGTCAGATCTGCTAAGCAGAGTTTGAGCAGAGTGGTTCATTCGTCGACTCTCGGCAAACACCGAAGGCAGTAAATGGCTTTCAGAGTCAGACCAATTTTCAACGTCGTTAGTACGTTGCCGATGGAGGCCCCGTATCTTCTGTACTATGTTTGGTGCGCGCCAGAAAACACTACTATTATTCATTGATCATGTCCAATATCATGTATGTCTTGAGCCCCCTGCTTCAACACGGTCTATTCTTTCTCTGGATCATCATCATACCCAGCAGCGTGTTTGGTGCCTTTATTGAACACAACCGGTGACCAACGGGCGATTTCAGCAATCAAGCCTCAATGCGCCTGCAACCACAGGCCCTACCAGTTCTGCTAGTTACTTACACTGCGACTAAGATTCTGAAGCAATGGTATGTCTGTACGATAATGAACGTTCCACCTGATCTTTTTGACACCAAGTACTTCAATCATGATCTGCAAATAGGCCCGTAGAGCTGGAGGCTATGCAAGTTATCCGCGCTGCCACCCGCATGAAAATTAACTAGCGGGCAACCCTGAACTATGACTGCAAACCAGCGTCTTGCTCGTGACCCAAACGTGGTTCAGTTCTACTGACCAAATTACTAGACTGGCTGGAAAGATTCGAAGGCGCAAGTCAGGCACTAGGAGGAATAGTATGAGAGAAGCAGAAACCACACTTGATCTTCAGCTGCACAGATTTCGTGTCCTCGGTTTCCACATTGAGCCAACAGTATGGATGACGTCTTATATGTTTAACAGATATCAACCGCACAGCGCGAGTGAAGATGTATTTGCCAGTGCAATACACTACCATCGCATCAAGGGCACGATTAGATGCACCAAATACAATGCGCTGCTGTTTTTCTCATCTGACCTTGCGCCATGCCATAGAATACCACCCTATTACAAACAGCAATCGGAGGAGCTGATAGCAGGCCTCGAGCGCAGATCCTTGTTGCGATCACATCGCACTTGGACCTGTGTTAGATCGATGGCTACATAATTTGGTACGGGACACCTCAACAATATTAATGGTGTTGGAAATGCAAATCAAATTCTACTTTGATTATCGAGAGCTTGCACTCTTTGCTTGATTTCGCAACCTTCCACACAGATTATCCGGGTCCTTGAGGTGTGATCAAATATCCATGACTATCCTGCAAATCTTGGCGACACAAGCGCCAGACGGTGATATATCTAGCACGAATGCTATCGTTATACACCACAAAAATTCTTTACTCTCACACCCATCCGTCGAATATAACTCAGGTCTCAAACGATCCCACTCAGTGGCCACTAATGAATCTACTTATTTTTTTCAGCTATTGGAACGGTTCGTTGTATCAAAATGTCTAGATCTAACATTGACTTACGGTTTCGCAGTTGCCGCTGGCGTTGCAGTAATATACGACTGGGGTGAGCAAAACGGTGCTCGGAAACTGCTGATATTCTCACAATATTTCCAGCACTAACACTTGGACAAGAGGTAGGTCGATGTTATCGCCGCAGCAGCCAACTCGATAAGATTGGTGTCGTAGATTGAACTCATCTGGGTTAGTGACAAGAGTCTCGTATCAGAAGAAAATAAGAGCCTGCAATGACTTCGCGACAGAGACAACGTTGGTCTCTGATGTCTGTGCTGTATTTGCTTGTTCGTACCTCATATTATGCTATAACGTGATTGGCAGTTGTGCTGACTCCCCAATGTTCCAGATACGCTACATTGGACTACCATATTCTGTGTATGTGTCCAGGCCAGCGAATTGGCACTGCTAATAACCCATTTTTGATAATTAGTACCTATATTCTGCGTATGTGTGTGTCATATGCGCTGTGTTTAATTCTTCTGATCGTGGCACAGAAAATATGCCAATGGTCACTCTAACAGATGCAGTGAGTATTCCGCAGCCATCTCATTCCCATATACTGAATACACTAATTTGTAGGGGTGAGTGAGATTCTGAACGCTGAATGTGGCTCAACATAATGATGCAATAGGTGTAAGTCGAAGCATTTGCTACTAATACAAGCATGATCACTATTTGAGTTTTCAGGCAATATTACGATGTACGCGCTGACTGGGGCAAATGTGGTCATAACTGTCATGTTAGGTGGTGAGTTACCCAGTCGCAGTACCTTTGGCATTGACTTGACTGAAACATAATGGAAGTCATCATGATTGCTCGCTTACATGCCATGTATCAGGGATCTAGAATGATGCTCATCTTCCTTGTTATTGTCTTTCTGGCTGTTAATATTGCCAGCGGAGTAATCTCGTCGATAGACGTCAAGTACATTGTAGCGGGTAAGCTTCACTTGTTGACTTGAAGTATACGGGTCATTAGACAAACACTAGGGGAGTTTATACTCTTTGGCACACATACGTGCAGTTTTGGCTTTGGGATAGATGCTCGGCTTCTCTTTTCAATGCTTTGGATGCTCAACACGGTTTGGGAGGTCCTCGCACTGTGTCTTTCAATCTGGGTCTCTGTAAAACACTTCCGTGACCTGCGACGACTCGGCCCATCGACAGGATCGACCATCGGGGACTGTTTCAGAGTGCTCATACAATCACACGTTCTTTATTTTGCAAGGTGAGCTTGTAATGTGAACGTGGTCATATTTTTCCACTCAAGTTCTGCACATGTTAGCTTTGTTGGCCTCTCTTGCCTCCAGTTTGCTAGAGTCTCTCCAGAATTCTTGGTGCGCCGAACTGTTGCTTACATCTCCGTGTAACCACTGCTCATCGTTCTGTAGAATCCAAATTTTATTGGATCTCAGATGCTCAATGGTGCTCTTCAAATTTTATTGTTTGTACAGATGTTTGTGATGGGACCACGCCTCATCCTTAGTGTCCGAGAATATCATGCCAAGTTCGTGGCATGCTCCGATGCAGAAACTAGCATGAATTCGATTGTCTTCCAGGAGCATGTACGTGTATCAACTAGCAGTACTGTGTAGGGACACACTTGCCGAGTGGTCTGCAGGGAGGAGACATCGAGGATTCTTCAGTATTTATTTAATATATGGTGTTTCGAAGTATATTTATGTTGAGGCTTATGTAGACAAACCTGTTTCTTGTTGTATTACTACTGGAACTCAGTGAACTGGCCGCCCACACTTGCACCAAGTGGCAAGCCGTAATTATTCAGAACGTCTAGCAGCCAACCCAGTCCTTGATGCCCACGACAGGTCATTTTCGACGCTCGTTTCCGTTTCTCCTCTACCACTGTCGAGGGCAATTATAAAACCTTGATTTATCGCTGTGATTTGGTGTCACAGGTCAGCATATCATAGCTTTGATGTGTTAGATATTCGATCTGTGCGGACTGAAAAACATCACTGAAATATAATGGCCAGCCTTTTGCCTGTTACGAGCTTCTTGCATGTGCGATTTGTCTTTCGGCCTAGTATGGATGACGTCTCATATATTTAACAGATATCAACTACACAGCGCGAGCCAAGATGTATCGTACACTGCTATTTTCCAGTAGATTTCCCTAGACCTTTCCACTTGACAAGCATTTCCCTACACAATACTGTTAGTTGGTTCATGTACATGCTCCTGGAAGACAATCGAAGTCATGCTAATTTCTGCATCGGAGTCGGCCACGAGCTTAGCATTATATTCCCGAACGCTAAGAATGAGGCGTGGTCCCAGCACAAACATCTGCACGACAAATAAGATTTCAAGAGCGCCAGCGAGTATCTGGGTTCCAATAGCACTTGAATTCTACAGGAATGATGAGCAGGAGGTACAAGTAAATATCAGCGAAAGGTCGGCGCACCGAGAGCTCTGGAGAGAAGTAACCAAGCTGGAGGCAAGAGACACTAACAAAGCTAGCACGTGCGGAACTTGAGAAAAAGATAACCGCATTCACAAGACAAGCTCACCTTGCAAAATAAAGCACATGAGATTGCATCAGCACTCTGAAACAGTCCGCCATGGGAGATCCTGTCGATAAGCCAAGTTGTCGCAAGTCACGGAACTGTTTCACAGCAATCCAGACTGCAAGGCACAGTGCGAGGACCTCCCAAACCGTGGTGAGCATCCAAACCATCGAGGGCAGAAGCAGGAGATCCCCCTCATATTCTGCATTGCACGTATATGTACCAGAGATTATCCACTCCTCTAGTGTTTGTCCAATTAGCCGTGTTCTTCAGTTTCACAATTAAAGCTTACCCGTTACAGTATCCTCGAGTCCTATTGCCGCAATTACTCCGCAGGCGATGGTGACAACCAGGAAGATAATCACAAGAAAAACAAGCATCATTCTAGATCTCTGATACATGGCATGCAATCGAGCAATCATGATGACTTGCATCGCATTTCAGTCCAGTCAATATCGCTGAAGTGTTGCAACTGGGTAACTCACCGCCTAACGTCGCAGATACGACCACATTTGTCACATTTACTGCGTAGTTCGTAATATTACCTGAAACACCCAATTGGTGAGCACCCTCGTACTGGTATCAAACATTCTGACTCACACCTATTGAGTCATTATGTTGAGCCGAGTTCAATGGTCAAAATCTCACTCACCCCTACAAATAAGTGTATTTATTGGATAGGGATGAGATAGTTGTGGAATACTCACTGTGTCTGTCAGCGAGACCGATGGTACACTTGCTGTGTACTGCCAGTCAGAAAAATCGAACACAGTGTATATGAGACATACGTAGAACATAGGTACTAAGCGTCAGAGATGAGCTATTAGCATGGTGCCGATTTGTTGGCCTCGACACATACACAGAATATGGTATTCCAATATAGCGTATCTAGAACATTTGGGAGTCAGCACAACCTGCCAACCGCGCTATCGTGATAGCACAACGTGAGGTACGAACGACTGAATACAGCACAGTCATGAGAGACCAGCGGTGCCTCTGTCGTGAATTCATTGTATTTCTCTCGTTTTTCTTCTGATCTTGTCACTCACCCAAATCAGTTCAATCTATGACACCATTCTGAGCGAGTTGGCTACTGCAGCAATAATATCGACGCACCTCTTGTCCGAGTGTTAGCACTGGAAATATGATGAGAATATCAGTAATTTTCGAACATCATCCTACTCACCCCAATCATATACCACCACGACGCTACCGGCAACTGCGAAACCGTAATCAATGTTAAATCGAGACATCGTGACGTGACGAACCTAGCCAATAGCTGAAAAAAATGTTTGAACTGATAGTCGGCCACCAACTGGGATCATTCGAGACTACGGTCATATTTGAGGGATAGGTGAGAGCGAGGGGTGATGTTGGTGGTGTATAACGGGTAACATTCGTGCTAGATAATAAATATACCGCGTTCCGCGTTTCCATAGCCCAAATCTACAAGAGTTGGATATCTGATCCCGCGGCTGTCTCAAGACCCTTGATCATGATGGATGATCAGCGCTCAGCTGAAGTAAGTATGGCGGTGCGAAATCAAGCAAAAAAAGGAAACGATCGATGACCAAAGCATGCAAACCAGTATTGCGCACGCGACGTTGAGTAGTTCTTTATGACGTCATGTAGTCAACGATCTAACACTGATGTGATCATTTTGAAACAAGCATGTGCATCAAATGTACACTTCCTTTGGCCTTACTGGCAGAGTCACAGCCTCCGATCACTCATGGCATAGCACCAGATATCTATATATCACACTTGCCTGTCTGTCCACTTCCTCCATTTCCTACCGCCTGTGAACACCATGTCGCTGTCTGCAGCTCTCAGTCTACGGCTGCCATGTTCTCCCTCCAGGTCACTAGAATTCTGTCGGCAAGCTGACAAGGATAACGAGATTTGCATGACAGTTGACATGGATGATGGAATGTGTGATGGTGGCTGATGTAGTAGACAACAGGGCAGTTGCGATGATGAAGACAAGCCTTTGACCGCGCGGAACTTTCCGATGTCCCCAGACTTTGGCGTAGAGTCTGCGCAGACTTCATACAGACTGACCATTTCCTAACTGTCCTCGAACTTGGACTAAGTAGTAAGTAGTAAGACCTTTGAAGGAGTCGGGTGAAAATCGGCAACTTGGGCGTTGCCAAACTCACACAAATACATTTCGGCTTGTCGTAGTCACCGTGTTGATACCGGCAATCATCCTGCTACCCATACTTATGGCCGAGGCGCAAATCAAGGAAGCTGAAAGATTAATGAACCTCCCAGCTGCAGTGTTCTCAGGTATTTCAGCTTCCTTGAAACTCGCGCTTAATTCTTATCCATGACGCCCTGGAAAGTCGACCAACTTCAATGAGCGAGACTACTTCACATTACGATCCAACTGTATGTGCTTCTCTCCAATTTTTTGATTGTTTGTACGGTACACTACTCAGTTGATACCCTCATCAAGCTAATGCGCTTGAGAAAAACGACTTAACGATCGACCGGGCGGTATATACTGACGTCCTTGCCTTCCAAATTCCCTTGCAATTGGTTGTGCTTGGACTTACGGTGGTCTCAACTCGACAGCACCTTCAACCTCATCTCCATCGATACCGTCTACTACAGTCTCCTCCATCTTCACCTCTGCGAAACCAACTTTTTCATCATTATCCTATCAAGTCAACATCTGCGTGACGTACTTTCTCTTCTACCTCTGCCATGTCAAACCCATATTCGAATATCACACCCTATCTAAACACGCTCGCATTAGGATCATCATTGGTGTCATTTTTTTACTTCTGCTTTTTTTATCTAGTTTATTCGTTTAAACTTGCGCTGACGAGATTCCAGGACTACCACACCTATATGGACCGGATGGAATGTTCTTACCGCCAAAGCACCACCACTGATGGTGGACTTTGTGCATGCCCGGATAACTTCACTTCGAACCTATACTACCCCACTCCGAATTGAATATGAACATGAGCCGGAGGAATTACGACCGTCCAGGGGTGCTGCTATGCGCAAACCTTCCGGCCAGTACCCACTTTCAGGGGGAAACCAGTGCGCAGTGCATCAGAAGCTCGGCCGCGCAGCCTGCAGGATGACGACTCCACGAACACCCGGCCTGTGTCACCCGCCAGTTGGCGCAACTCCTCTCGTCTGCAGAGCAGATAGTCTGGATCCTCGTCACAGCACATAAGATCCAACTCACGGACGAGATTGGATGAAGGTTCTAAAACGGCGCAATCGCTCATCCGCAGGCTCGTGTAGACCATACCCCAGTAGGGAATTGTCCAATGTCGAACATCGGCGCTAAGAGAAGACCCAAATGAATGGAGGTCAATTTTTTGGAATTGTAAGTTTAGAGACCGCCCCGTTGACAATCTTGGACTCACGGTATCTATTGGTTCAGCCTCAACCCGTCCATCAAGGTCATTTCTTGGTCTCTTAGTGAGGGTCACTGCACTATATGCGGTTGCACTGTGCCCATACTCTTATGCACGTCGATCTTCAGGCTCGGTACCTACTCTGGACACGTTTTGAATCTGTCGGGTCCAATCCTTCTCGACCCCCTGAAGTCTCAATGAGCACACCTGTACCATGGCTTCAAGGACCAATAACGGTCGAAATGTGAAATGACTCAGTGGTGCTACCTCCTTTTATACGTGATCTTCTATGCTTGCTACGAAGGCTGACATGACTAATGATGATGATCTCCTGGATCATGTCCTTTGATGCTGTAGGTGAATGATACATCGGATATCTTGGTCACTTTATTTGTGTGCTCATGGAATTTGTTGAAGTCGAGCTGGTCGCTGGATCCGGGCCACTATATAGAAACGACTGTATTCCTTTCCATTTCCCGACTGCATAGTACTTACTAGGGGAAACTCCGACGTCACTTATGTTCGGAGTATCTTTCATTCAATCTCATGCATATGGGTCAAGTATACAGCCGAAATGGCAGACCTCGCCTAACTTATGTTCAATCTTGTCATTTACTTAGATGGAGCAACATCGTATATAAAGAATTATCCACCAGCGTTACAAGTATGGTAATTGCATGTCGATCATCCGAGAGTGGCGGTGCCACTGAGTTCATCCATCAAGTTAACCCAGTACTACTCAGTTTTACAAACATTTTCGACAAGACAACATCGTCTCACTCCGCTTGAAAGCTCAAAACTTCGTACCTCTGAATTTCTGTCTCTACACTGCCATGCCTAAGGTTTCCAAAAAAAAGGCCAGTGGAGCCGACGTAGCGAAGCCAATTCCCAAACTCCTTGTTCTCAAACATGGTCAAAAACGTGTAATGGTTAACCGACACAAGTCGTATAACGTAGGTGGAACAACCATTGAAATCTTAAAAATGGCTCATCGATATCATAAGGTCATGCTTGACAATGCATGTAAACATTTCCCAACCATTCCAAGAAACGCTATGACATTCCAGACCAACCAACTCGACATCTGCGAAGGTCAACTTGTGGATATCACAGCTGAAACATGGGACAACGTAATCGAATCGCTTACATCCGTTGAAGTGACTCGCGCAGAATTACCATTGTCCATCGCACTTCCGCCCAGTGGCAGTAGTAACGCTGGGGTTATTTCATCACGCAGCAACAACGACAAAGTCAGGCTCCATTTGGTTTTGACATCTGGGGATGTTCTTCCTGTCACGATAGAGTTGTCCGCGCGGGTGCAGGAACTTGCTGATATTGCTGCTCGCAAGTCGGGAGGTGAATCTACTAATTACAGGACAATGTGGCGTGGGTCAAGATTGGATCACGACAGCAGTATCAGGTCATGCAATATCTTGAATGGAGACTCTATCTATTTTATAGTGGCACAGGTCGGTGGAAAGCCAGTGATCTATCTATATTCGCCCTCCAATATCGATGTCTCGGTCAAACTATCCCTCAGTCCTGAGTGGAGCTTCTCCGCTATCTATCCCGTTGTTACCCTGAAGCAAGAACACGGACAGCATGTCGAATGGAATGTTCGCACCCACCAAGACGGGAGTTTGACTGAAAGGAACTCTGGTTTAGACGTATCGTACTTATTCTGGGAGGCAAAGTGAGTTTCCTCATCACATGGAAATCACTCTCATAATTAACTCACATGAATCTTCGCAGGACAAATTCAGATGCATTTCCGCATTCACCAGCATCTGAACTGCAATCAGTGGATGTATTCAGTCCTACATCCAGCACTCTTGGCGACATGGATTCCATTATCATCTCAGTGGACAAAGTAACCGTTTACCTCGATAAGTCGCTCAAGGCTCTAGGACTTCACACTGAAGCCAGAACATCCTTTATCACGTGCGTCCGTATATGCATCTCGGAGCATCACACTAAAACTCATTATTACCACGGTAGCTACTGGCTACCGTCTATCCTCAAGCATGAATACATCGCCCTCCGATTTGTCCCTCAACCGGCATATGAACGTGCCGCTCCTTTAAGCCTTTCTCCGCAACCTGACATCGTGACTCGGGTATTCATGCTGTTCAGAGGTATCCGTAAGGAACACTTAGCGGATTGGCCTAACGCGCGAATGCAAGCAGAGAAAGATGTTGCTTGGTGGGCGGATGTAGTTGGAGTTGATCTTGCAAGAGCCAGTGATACAGCTTTGTTCAGGGTGTTGGAATGGGGCGGGATGGAGGTTCATGTTTGATGTTCTACCAAATCGCTCAATATGTTACGAGTCAAACTCGACTATTTTCCGGTCATCGGTCATCGGTCATTTCGATGGCCCGGGCCCTGTGTATTAGTTTTCCCCTCGAGTCTTGGCTGTGTCTGTGTACAATACGCTTGCAATTTTGTCAAACTGTTGCCGATTGATGCTACAATTGATTGCGGGTCCTCCGAGCATAGTTGAAGGGTCCCGCTTGCTCTGAACTCATTCTTCGAGCGCCTGTCACCAGTGCAAGTTGATTCGAGTTTGTAGTTCCAGCATCGTGATTCGTCTCGCTCAGGAATCGTAGATATACTTAGTAGGTTGGGCTGGACCGAGCGCTGGCTCGAGGTGGGACACAAGCAGGTGGAGCCGCTTGGGAGGGCGGGAAACCTGCTCACTGATCGTGTTAATGACTCTCTGACAGGCTGAAACGGAATACGAGTATGATATCATTGACACAGGATGGAATTTATATAGCTAACAAAGAATAGGTGACAAAGAAAAATTACGAGGGAGTGCCAGATGGGGCTAAAGAAGACATGGTATAGGTGGAGTATGTGCGAACGTGGTACGACGAACGGGAGGGGAAGAAGGAAACGAATATCCCAAGCGAACAACCCTACCGCGCAGCTGGACGTCCGATGCCGAGTGATTCCGGCGAGCTACATTACCCAGCACCTTGATCAGGCACTGGGCCACAGTGTTACCGCGGGGCCACCGTTCGGCTGCCAAGCCATAACGAAAACAAGGTACCACTGGCCTAGTGTAATAGAGCGTATTTGCAGTGCATAATTCACATCTCGCACAAACTTGAAAGTTTTGTTTCACTTGCATAATACGCGACATCCCACCTTGCTTGC